TATAAATTAATTACATAAGGATAAAACAAGGCATAAGGGATTACTATCCTTATTATTTTAGAACTATTAGTTCCTAGTAAGTTACTAGCTTATAGGCTATTAGCCTTTAATAAATTATTTAAACTATTATTAGCTCTAATTACCTTAAGTAAGTTACTAGCTTATAGGCTATAGGCTATTAATAAATTAATTAATAGGCTATTAGCTATTAATTTAGGTATTTACTTATTATTTATTTTACTATTAGTAAGTATTTAGCTATTAGCTATTAGATTAATTAATTTAGAACTATTAGTCCCTATTTTACTACCCCCTATGTTAATATTTATAAAAGCTATAAAAAAGGCGCTTAGTAGTAATAGTAGTAAAGTAAGAAGAAGTATAAATTTTACCTACTTATATAAATATTCTAGTATATTACCTAATTATAAAGCGCCTAGTAAAGTAATATTAGCGTATTTAATTACTTTATCTATTTCTTTATTAGCTTTTTTATATACTAAGGATTAATTACTAGCTGTAATTAGCTTATTAATTTATTATTAAATTACTATAAGATTAGCTTTATAAAGCTTATTAAGTAATCTATTTATTAATTTATTAAAGATTTATTTCTTATTAAATATTATATTATATATAGTAAAGACCTTATTTTATACTAAATACTAGATGTAATATAAATTACTAGATATATACCTAATAAGAAATCTAATCTATATACAGGCAGTAAGCTTTTACTAGTAGTTTTATAATAGTTATATATTTACTATTAGCACGTACACTTAGTATCTATAGGCTTATAAATATAAAAGATCTAGCTTTACTATTAGTAAAGGCTTAATATACTTATTAAGTATAAAATATAAGTAAAATAATTAATATAAGGATTTCTACCCTTAAGCTATTAAAGGCGTTTAATTATAAAGGTATATAGCTATAGTTATAATTTTAGGCTATAAGACTTTAGGTAATTTTATATTAATTTATATATATTACGCCTTAAGTTTAATAATTATAGTAATTTACTTAGTACTACTATTTTAAGCCTAAGTATTTACTACTAATAGCTTAATAGAGATTTTATAATTAAAGAGTATATCTATAAGTTACTTAAGGCGTAGGATTTCTTAGTTAGCCTTAATAACTTTTAGTATAATTAAATATTTAGTTTTTAGTATTATAAGGAAGCCCCTTATTATTAATTTAATAGTATCTTAGTAGTAGCTATATAAATAGAAATCCTACGCTAGGCCTATTACCTAATCTAAGATTATTATTACTAAGTAGTATCTTATATAGCCTTATTTAAGATTATAAAAGTCTAGCACTAGGTAATTACCTAGCGCTATATTTATAATAGATTTATAAGGCTAGTAGTAAATCTACTACCTTATCTTACTAAGACTATATAAATTATAGTCTTATATTATTATAGCGTTAACTTAGGTTAGATATACTTTATAGGCAGTATTTATAATCCTTTATAAAGCCTTAGCACCTAAGTAGCTAAGACGCTTATACTATATTATTATATTACTATAAAGTAGTTATTACTATATTAACGTTATATATTTATTTCTTACTTATAGGGTTAGTAGTAAATTATTAGTAGAGTGTGTAATAAAAGCGCCTTTACTTTCTTAGCTATAGCTATATTACCTATAATATTTAAGTACTTATTAGTTAGCTTATTCCTTAATATAGCCTATAAGGCTATAATCTATACGCCTTAGGTAATTATTACCTAGGCTTATATCTTACTATATACCTTACTAGTATAGCCTTATAAAAGAAATAAGTAATATAGTAAATACGCTATAATATATTATGTTATATATATAGAGCTTTATTAGTAAGCTATTAGCGCCTTTTAAAGTAATCTTTATAGTACTATATCCTTTAATTACTACTTAGGTAGTACTAGCCTAGATATAGTTACTAATTAAGGCTACTACTAATATAATAAACTAAGATATATAGTTAAATATATAGTTAGTAGTACCTAAATTAAGTAAGGCTAAATTACTTAGCTTATAGCCTTATAAAGTAGTATAAAAAGCCACCTTTACGTAATATTTACTATATAGTTAATATAACTTAGCTTTAATTCTTTATACTTATTTAGTAAGGTTAGGATTACTTATAATATACTTATTAATTTATTACTAATATTACGTATTTACCTACTAATTATTAGGCCTTTATAACTTATTTATAAAGTAGTAAAGTTATAATAAATAGGCACTAAAGTATATAAGGTATTTTACCTTTTTACTTATACTTTATTAGTAGTAATACCTTTTATTATTAAATTTACTATCCTTTACTACGCCTTTAGTATACGTTAGGCTATTATTATTATTACTTCTAGTTAGGCTAAATACGCTATAGCCTACTTAGCTATAATATAATAAGTTATTAGTAAGGGCTTTAACCCTCTCTAGTATTATCTTATAAAGTAACTACTAGTTAAAATTATTCTAATTACTTATTATTTTACTTATTACTATATATAAATCTAGTTAGGCGCTAAGTAAACTATATTATAAAGTAGTAATAAGGTTATTAAACTAGATTAATAGCTATTAGTAGTTAAGTAAATTAACTTATACTAATTTACTATAGGCTACGTTCTATTTATTAAGCTATATAGTAAAATCTTTTTTAGTAGTTAGGGCCTTTTACTAGGCTTTTACTAACACTTTACTATATTTATTATAGGTATACTTTATATACTCTTTTTTAGTTATTCTTACTACTACGCTAAGCTTATTAAGCTATTTAGCTAGTAATTTATTAGATTTATAATATCTTTCTTAAAGATCTATAGATATAGTAGATTTAACTACGTTAGCTACGTCTTTAATATCCTTTTACTAAGCAGTATACTTATATACTTCCTTATAATAGTAGCTTATCTAGCTATTTAAGTATATAAGATTATATAGGTTAAGATTATCTAGCGTTATTATATATTTATTTTTATATATAAGCCTATTAGGTATAGTTATAATAGCCTTACTTCTTATTATATATAGCTATATAGTTACTTACTAAGATATCTTAGTAATTACTATAGCTATAGTAACCTCTTAGTAAGTAGTAAGCTTATCCTTAGTTAAGGCGTATAGATATTATGTTATAAGCAGCTTTATTAGTTTTTTTAGATATATCTTAAGGATTAATTAGTCTGCTACTATAACCTTTAGGTTAATATACTCCTAGAAATTATAACGCTTTACCTTTACTTAAATAGCGTTAAGCTATATAAACTAATTACTATATAATTATAAGATAGTTACTTTATTATTATAGTTCTTATTAATTATTATAATAGTATTTAATTAGTAAATAGGTATATTAGTTATTATAGACGTATATATTAGACTATTAATTATTAAATAGTAAGGATTATAATAGTTACTTAATTCTATTATATATTATATATCTATAGTAAATTACTATAGAAATAAGGAAAACCCCCTATTTCTTAGTTAGGAAATCCCTAGCTAATCCTAGCGATATTATTAGTAGACTTACCACTAGAAGTAGGGCCAATTCACCGCCCATTCCCCAACAATTCGCCATAAGGCAACCGTGCATTTGCCGGCTAATTCACATATAATTCCGCCACATTTAACAACACAACACATAACAGAATTAAGCAACCATTACAATCCCTACTATTTAACAGTTACACACTTATAAGAGCAATTAATATCTAACTCACCCCCTCAAGGGCTTACGAAGCTTATAGGCCTTAGACACGTTATGTAAGGTAGAAACCCTAGATTCCTAGGTAAAGACCCTCTATTATGTGTGTCGCGACCGTGCATCAAACTCAGTCAATTGACTAGGAGCTGGGCTCATAACCACTAAGAAATGCGACCGTACAAAAGAGTACGCAGGTCACCTGTTTTGTTACTGCAATTAAATAGTTACACACTTATAAGGGCAATTAATATCTAACTGTAGTAACCCCCTTCTTTAGCGCTATTATTTAATAATAGTAGTAATAATAATAGCAATAAGCTTATTAATTAAGGCTATTTACACTATAGTATCTACGTAAAAATCTATAAATCTATAGGTAAGTGGCCACCTAGTAGGGTAACCCCCCTGCGTGACCCTAACTAGGGTGGTTATGATGGTGTTTCTAACGCACGGACTGAAAAATAGGTTTTGGACGCTGCCAACGCAACAGACTGTATGTCCCATCTCCCAGCCGTCCTGATGGAGGTTTACGGCTGGCATTGATAACGATATCAACCAGTGATATGTGACAAGGTGCCTGTTTGCTTTTAATGATCCAACCCCTTGGAACGCAGAGGTTGCGCGGGACGGGACGGCAGCCAGCAAAACTGGGGATGTGACTTGCAGAACTATGCATACCGCATACCCCGGCCAGACAACTACCGGTACATCCGGTCGGACCGTGACGAAGGCTCGCGTCGACAAATACCGCCCGACATCATTGGAGCAGGACAGTTGTACACTCGCCGAGCACTTCGTCCACATTCGGTATGCACTGCGCATGCAGAGAGACGCAAACGAAAGGTCCGCCACGTCACATTATGATAATTGTATTGGCAATTGGTCCAGGCCTCGCTGAGGGGGGGAGAGGGTTGCAAACAGAACAATATGTTATCTCTGTCGGGCGTCGTCGACTGGCTGTCGCCGACATTGGCTGCATGCCGTGCGCGATGCTCTTTGCCTATCGTCGTGGATCGATAGCCTCTCTTTTCTGTTTTCCTTCTTCCCCGACACGGCAGTGGGCAAAGACACGCCATTTCCCAATCAACCCCTTGTCCCGCTTGGTAAACGTGTCAGAGTGCGGTGAGCTAGCTAGCTGGAGAAGATCCCATCACTCCCCCCCCCTGCTCCCCGTCCTTGGTATATCTACTTTGCTCGCCCACGCGCACGGACAACCAGTCTCTGCCTTGCAATTTTCAAGCATCTCGTATTTGTTGGGAACTTCAGTCCAACGTAACGTGTACTGTATGATCATGGGCTTCTCTTCCGACCTGTACGGCCTTCGGTGGCCCTTTGCTCTAGCCGTGCTGCTCTTGTACGCGGGCCACAAGATCCGGACCTACAACCGCCTGAAGGCCTTCAAGGGGCCGTCCTTGTGTGGGTGGACAGAAGCGTGGCATGTTTGGGCGATCCTTTCCTTCAGATCGCACCTGAAGTACGATGGCGTTTGCCGCAAGTACGGTGAGTCGGGCACCGGCCGTGCAGCCAGCCAGCATCGCACAGACGACGACGACGACGACGACGACAACGAAGACGACGGCGGCGGCTAACATGGCGTCTTGTCTACCTAGGGACCATCGCCCGCGTCGGCCCAAACGATCTTGTCACCTCGTCGCCCGAGCTGCTCGCTCACATGAGCGGCATCCGGTCACAATACACCAGGACCGAATGGTACTACCGGGCCTGCAGGCACATGCCGGACAAGGACCATGTCTTTAGCGAGATGGATGAGAAGAGGCACAAACGGCTGAGGCAACAGACGGGATCCGGGGTGAGTGTTTTTTTTTTTTTTTCCTTCTTCCCCCCCCCTTTTTTCTTCCGATGATGATACCTGCTTGACTTCCATAGCATTCCCAAGAGACACCGCATGGGATGGACGTTGAACCGCTGACATGCGAGAGCTCAAAGTACTCGGGCAGAGAGAACCCCGGACTGGAGGAGTCGGTCGACTCTCACGTCTCGGACCTGATCCGGCTGATCCGGTCGAAATACACGTCGACGGAGGCGGCGTCGAGGCCGATGGACCTCGCCCAGAAGATCCAGTACCTGACGCTGGACGTCATCAGCGACATCAGCTTCGGCAAGGCCTTTGGCGACCTGCGCGTCGACGACGACGTGTTCGGCATCGCCGCGTCGGCGGACACGGGCATGATCGTCTTCACGTACAAGATCGCGCTGGGCCTCTACAAGATCCTCCAGTCGCCGCTCGCCGCGCGCCTCTTCGGCCCCAGGGAGACGGACGCGACCGGGTGGGGCCGCATGTTCGCCAACGGCCGGGCCATCGTCAAGGCGCGGCTGGCGCTCGACACGCAGAAGCGCTCCGACATGATCGCCTCCTTCATCCGGCACGGCCTCAGCGAGGAAGAGATCCTGTCCGAGGCGACGCTGCAGATGATTGCGGGCTCGGACACGACGGCCGCCTCGCTGCGGGCCGTCATGCTGTACCTCATCACGAACCCGCGCGTCCACGCGAAGCTCCGGGCCGAGATCGACGCGTTCGTCGGCAGCGCCGCCGCCGAGGCCGCAGGGGCCGCTCGAGCCCCGGGGATCGTGTCGGACGCCGACGCGCGGACGATGCCGTACCTGCAGGCGGTCATCAAGGAGGGGATGCGGGTCCACCCGCCGGTGACGAACATGGACCCCAAGCGGGTTCCGGACGGGGGCGACACCGTCGTGGTGGACGGGCGCCCCGTCTTCCTGCCGGGCGGGACCAACATCAGCTGCGCCGCGTGGCCGCTGCACCTGGACAAGGGCATCTTCGGCGACGACGCCGAGCTGTTCCGCCCGGAGCGGTGGCTGCTCGAGACGGACGAGAAGAGGCTGATGGCCATGCACCGCGTGCACGAGCTCATGTTTGGCTACGGCAAGTACCAATGCCTCGGACGGCCGATCGCGATGATGGAGATTAGCAAGACGGTCTTTGAGGTGAGTTGAAGTTGCCCCCCTTCCCCTCTGCTCTCCCTGTTCGGCGTAGCAGAGAGAGAGAGAGAGAGAGAGACAGAGAGAGATAAAGGATCCATCATGCTAACACTTCCCCCCGTCAACAGCTGGTGCGCAACTTCGACTGGTGTCTCGCCAAACCCGACATGCCGTGGAAGGAATCCAACCATGCCGGGATCTTCATCCAGACCGACATGTGGGTTCTCGCCTCGGAACGACCAAGTAATTGATAATATGACTTGCTGTCCATCTGGCGGGTTCATGCATCGCCCCTGGGCGGAGCGGCACCACTGTAAAATTAGGTTTATGGGTAGGGGCGGGTGGGGGATATGATATGAAAGGGCTTTATCTTGTTTTATGTCGGGTAAATATGTTGGCGTTGATAGACGGGATTCGCGATCCCAAATCCGGTTAGGAGACGGTTTGTGGCTGATTTTATTGTGGATATTCGGCCCAATTCACCGCCGGTGGCGCTCGTCAGGTCCCCGCGTGGCTGCGGCGCGGACCGGGATTGAGGTCCGTCAGTCTGGCCGGCTTCGTCGACGACGACTCCTCCATATTGGCTGAAGGGTTCATGCGGATGTAAAAGGGGGGTCAGCGCGGGACTTGACTTGGCTCTTTAGAAAATATATTTAGGATGCGTCAACCTCCTCTTACTTGGTGATCCGTCTTCAATCCGTTGCTCTCTTTCACTCCCTCTTTTGACACTTGACCCAATCAACACAAGAACCAGCACCTAAACACCGAAAGAACAATCCCCCCTCTCCATACTCACCACAGAAGACATGGTATTTTCCAACAGCGTCTCGGCCGAGATCGAGATCAAGGCGTCGCCGGCTGACGTGAGATCAGTGGTATGCGCCCTCCAACGAGACCAAATTGTTCCTCCCTTTTTGCTAACCGGGCGCCGCGCAGTTCCTGGACTTCCAGCGATACAAGGATTGGAGCCAAGGATGGACCCTAACGCCGATGGAAGCCGGCAAGAACCCCTCTGACCTGAAAGACGGCGACCAGATCCAGGCCAAGATGAAGGACATGACGTTCAAGCCCGTGATCAAGGTAAGCCAAAGGGCCACCACCCTCTGCAAGTTCCCCCCTTTCCACTGACATCAAAAGGAAAACACGAGCGACGCCCTGCACTGGGTCGGCTCGCTGCCGGGCATCTTCACCGGCAGGCACCAGTTCTACTTCAAGCCCAGCGACGTGAACCCGGGTGGCACGCGCTTCGTCCAGGCCGAGGACTTTTCCGGGCTCTTCGCGTTCCTCATGGCGCCCGGGTGGTCGTTCCGCGACAAGACGCTCGCCGGGTGGAACGAGTTCAACGCCGACCTGAAGAAGGAGGTCGAAAGACGCCCGTTGTAAGGGAGAAGGGGGTGGTCTAGTGGCTTTTCCTGTGTTGTTACTCGTTTCTTTTGTGGATATGTAAACCTTTTTTCTTCTTCTTTTTATTTCGCCTTCATATCCGGGAGGGAGGGATCAAAGGTTTTTCCTACTTGATGCAATTATGAACAGCCTCAATTTGGGGGCGGATCAGGGTCGGGGAATAATGGCTGCATCAAGCGCTCTCTTATCACTCATACCATCACCATCATCATCAATCGTCATCATCCAGAAAAGCCTCCCAATTCTTTCATCAAGGCAACTACACCCTCTGCCGCCAGCTGTAATGCGCTCTCGGGTCCCGCATCAGGTCCCTCATGTCATCGACCTGCCTCGCCCCCGGCCCCTTCTCGAGCAGCAGCTGCTCCTCGGCGCGCCTCGCGTACTCGAGCGCCTCCGCCTCCATCCCCAGCGAGTTGTAGTTCAGCGCGGCCAGCCGGAACGCGTCGGCGCCGTGCGACTGGTCCAGCTGCTCCTGCCGGTACAGCCCGACCAGCCGCTCGATCATGTCCTCGTCGACCGCCTCGCCGTTCCAGTGGCTGAGCTGCTGCTCAATCTCCCACATGCGCACGAGCCGCTGGTCCGACGCCCGCACGAACGGCTCCGGGAGGCTGCAGTGCGCGCAGCCGCAGCCGAAGCCCCAGTTGCGCCGCGCGCGGTCCTGCCGGACGACGCGCGCGCTGAGCGAGTCGACGTACGAGATGGTAAGCTCCTCGCCGGCCTGGATGTCCCGGACCGCGTGCGTGTAGTGACGCAGGTCCGAGTCGTCAATGTAGAAGGCGACACTGTGTCCTGGGTCAGTCGTGAGCCCAGCGAGGGGAGGTGGTATAAGCGCCTACTTGGGTCTGCAGTCGTGGTTGAACCGCGACACTTCCGGGTAGTTGCCAAAGTGATGGCCGTCCGTGATTTTGAGGCCCAGCTCGAACGAGTTGGTGTGCATGATGTCGTGCACCTTCTGTCCAGTAGACCGGTGGGCCGCCGCCGCCGCCGCTTGGCCCATCTGCGCCATGAACACCGCCCTCGCCGCCTTGGGGAGGTGCGTGACGGCGTCCTCGAACACGCGGTACTGGTCCTCCGGCTCCATGTCGTCGACGAATCGGCGGTGGACGACGACCGCCGGCGGGTGGGCCATGATCCGCTGCCCGCGCCGGATGGGCTGGTTCGCGACGAGGCCGAGGCCCTTGCCGGGCATCTCAACGACGCTGAACAGCTCGCCGTCGCCCTCGCCTGCGATGGACCCGTCGGCGAAGGCGGGCAGGCGTGAGGCCTCCTCGGCGCTGGACGGGGTGGTCACCAGTACGATGCCGCGGCCTCCGGCAAACGACGGGCGCGAGTAGCTGCAGTAGACGCCGGCGCAGGCGTGGGGGCCATGCCAGCCCTCATCCGAACGCCAGATGTCCTTCTTCTTCTGTTTCGGCGGCGGCGGCTTGGTGGTGGTTCCGTTGGTGACGAGCCTGGCGAGGGCCGGTGCTTCCGGCGCAAAGATGGCGCCTTTGCCGCAGGCGATATGAGAGTCCGGGAGGAGCGGGCTGGCGGCGCACGATTCGAACATTGGGTACTGGGACTTCATACCTTGTGCGTGGCCGAAGGCCAGGGCCGCGAGAACCATGCGCGTCCTCATGTTGGCGATTGGTAACAATGTTTCCCTCTCTTTCTGGGTGTGATGAGTGTGAGATGGGAGGAAGAGTTGGTCTGATGTCTTTCTGTAGTTCGGGAGAGCAGAAGTAGTCGTGAGGGCCCCGGCGAGGGCATTCTCGTTGTTTCAAGGACGAGTTTCAAGATCGCCGCACCTGGGTCCGTGGCCCGGTGGGCGGGCCATGCGAACCCTGAGCTTGGTACAAAGCTTAAACGTGAGGAACCCCCTGGAGAACTAGGGTTGGTTGCAAACAGTTCAAAAAAGACAGAAATGCAGTTCTGGGTAGCTGTCGGCCTGGCCCGGAGTGTGGGTGGTCCTGGACATCCAGTCAGCTCATATTTGACGCTGGTGGCTGCATCGACCCGTTCTGGCGGTGCAGCAGGCCGACCCGGGCCCGGATTTCCAAGGCTGAAGCATAGGCCCCCCTGCCATGGCCTGGAAACTGAGATCAATCCGACGAGCGCTCAATCAAGAAGATGGTGGCATCACTTGGGGGGGGGGCAAAGGACCCTAAGCGTTTGACTGAAGAGTGTCATATTATTTACTCGTAAAAGTGTTGCTGACTTCCCTCTCAGAAGCCATGTGACGTATCATGGGCAACCGACTGAGAGGCTTGAACTAGGTACCAAGAATTATTCAAAATTTAATTTGTGCATTAAATCATCGCCTTCCATCATCATGGGACCCTCTTCCCGTGGCCCCTTTACCCCCACCCGTGATCGCTCATCTATGGAGCGGCTGTGGCGGTGGGCAAGCAGGCGCAGGCGCTGCTGGCCTGGGCGACCTTGTCCTCCTTGGCGCAGTTCGTGACGGCGTGCTCGGGAAGGACGGCGGCGTCCTTGATGGGTGAGGAGAGGAAGGACTTGCAGAAAGCCTGGGACTCCTCGAGACGGCCAGGAACGGAGGTGGCGCGGAAGGAGCGCAGACAGTTGTCGGCGTTGCAGACCGGGGCCTTGGGGCAGTCCTTGCCGGTCAGCTTGACGACGAAGGCGCCGCGCTCGATGGTGTTGATGAAGATGTAGCCCGAGGGAAAGTAGGCGTACGAGGACCAGGTGCCGACGAAGCCGACGTAGCCGCCGCCCTCGAAGTCGTCGTCCTCGGGGTAGATGTCGAACCAGGCGGCCTCGCAGACGCCGGCGCCGGTGGGGTCCGAGGGGATGGAGGTGCCGTCGAGGACGCGGAGGCCGGCGCCGTAGTGGGACTGGTAGATGTAGTTGTCGATGACGTACTGGTTGTGGTCGATGGCCTTGGTGGGGTGAGTGAAGGCTGTGCAATTTTCGATTAGTATCATGGAACCAAATGACGGGAAAGGCATTATGGGATCTCAGAGAAGGAGAAAGCGGAGAGAAAACTTACTTCCGGTCTGCTTAGGGTTCTCGAGGTCGCGGATGTCCCAGATGAAGGTGACGGGGTAGCCTTCGGCGGCGGGGCCGTTGCCGCGCGACTCGTCGAGCTCATCGTCGAGGACGAGGAACTCCTGGTTGTTGACGTCGAGGACCCAGCCTTGATGGGTGTAGGAGGCGCCCTCGTAGGAGATGCGGGAGATGATGTTGGTGACGTTGGCCTTGTCGGTGACGTCGTAGATGGTGAGGGTGTCCTCGTTGTAGCCGTAGCAGATGTCACGGCCCTCGTAGCGCTTGTCGGGGCCGCGGTAGACGAGGCACTGGGCGTCGTGGACGTAGCCGTCGCCCTTGGCGCAACCCAGGGAGACGGGGTTGGCAGGGTCGGTCAGGTCGAAGAAGTTGAGGCCGGCGGCGCAGAGGGGGTCGGTGCGAGGCATGGCGCCGACGGCGACGGCGTAGTTGAGCTCCTCGTTGACAACGACGTTGTGGGCGCGGCCGAGGGGGAGCAAGGTGTTGAAGTGGCTCGTCAGGTCGAGCTTGGCGTCGAAGACAATGGGGCTGGCGGGGTCGATGTCGAGGAGCTTCTTCATGTCGAAGATCTGGATGCCGTGGCCGACGGCCTCGGAGCCGATGACCATGTAGTGCTTGTACGAGCGGATCTCGCGCCACTCGGAAGGAGACGAGTACTGGGGCAGGCGGCCGAGGTAGACGAGCTTGCCGTCCGAGAGGATTTCGGCGAAGGCGGTGCCCTCGTACTGGCCGATGGCGACGAACTCGCGGCCATCATCGTTGGTCCAGCCCCACGAGGAGGAGCCCTCGGCAAGGGGGCCGCCGAGAGCGGCGTGGCTGAGGAAGGAGTACAAATCGGCCTGGGAATGGTGTCATTGGGTGTTTACAAAGTCACAGAATGCAGGGTTTTTGGCGAGGCAACTCACGTTGTGGCACCTGAAGGTGTTGTTTCTGTCTCCGACGACGGCCTCGGCCCAACCGTTCACACAAGGAGTGTAGCCCAGTTCGGGCCATACCTCACTATTGTAGGCGCCGGCGGCCTTCTGGCGAGCGAACTCGGCCTGGAGAGGGGGGGTTGTTAGCAATTCTGCCCGGCGGCGGCGGCGGCGGCGGCGGCGGCGGTAAGGACGACCGGGGGTTTCGCGGAAGTTCTCTCACCTTCTTGCTAGCAATGACCTGCTCGTGGATCTTGCCCGAGTCGTAAAGCTCAGCGGCGAGGGCCTCGTTGGGCTGGATCTCCTTGGCCACGGCGGAGGCGGCGAGGACGGCAAGGGAGCCGAGGTAAGACGAAGCGCGAACCATGATGACGGGTTGTCCAATGGCACAAACACAGCAGGTGCGGGTTTGCTTGATTGATTGGGAGGGGGATTGGACTGGGTTGAGGCTGGCAAAGGAGGGAGGAAACGAAGGGATTCCTAGGAGATCAGCAGCGAATATTCATGGGAGAAATGGGCGTGGCCCTCGGCTTATATTCTCATGGCCATCGCGTGGACGCGGTGAAGCAGGGTAGCAACGGTCGATGCCGATACCAGTAAGGAAACCTGACATGCAGCATGTAGGTAGTGGACATGCTGGGACGCATGTGGTACCCAGCTAAGAAGCATTGATCTGGGCATAGAAATTGGCCAGCCGGACGTGTAAAGCAGAGCAGGCAGGCGGGCGGGTCCACAACACTGTCATGAATTAGTGTACTTGGCTGGATAGCATGCATCTGCAAGCACTGCGAGATAAAAAAAAATAAAAAATAAAAAAGGGAAGAAGAAGAAGAAGCAGCCATTATTGGCCATGATTGGATACCTAATCATCAACAAGCAATTCCGGACGGGTGTTCGGTGCCATTGGCCACGCCGCGGCGGACCTTTTCTTGGAGGCTCTTGGCGACGAGCTCGAAGGGGAAGGTCCCGGGATGACGAGGTACTTGGCGGACAGCGGTCCGGGGAAGCCACGAAAGCGGGTCCATGTGGGTCCACTCTTCCGGGATGGAAGGGGAAGGGGTGTGGGGGTGTCGCTCTTTCTCCTTTTTGCTCCCATTCCCTTGCTCCCACCCAATTCCTTCCTCCCATTTTCTTAAGCCAGAGTGATGCTCGACGTAACTTGATGCACATGTCCGTCCGCACACTGTTTCTGTTGTCCCAGCTGCGATACATACTGCTACTACGAACAAGAAGCCTGCCTGCCTGTCTACCTGCCTTTGGTCACATACATCTCTGTTGTCTTGCGTACGCCTATCGGGAGCACAGACAGCCGCTGCCACTGTCTCGTGTCTTGGATACTGAACCACTCCCACACGGCAACGTCCTTTGGATGATGCCTCGGCGTCCCGTGTCGAGCTTCCTCTCCGGATCGATCTACGGCGTGCGTCCTGGTGCACCTTCTGGAAGCCCGCTTGCCTGGCATACGACGGCTCCTGCAAGCCGAAATGACGACGCGCACCGGTGTGGCGTCGCTAGCTTCCCACCTAGCCAACGCGTCCGAACCATGGATACCGTGGAGGCAAATGCCTACGCACCGCGAGGCGAGACTGAAATTTAAGACTCGCCGCTGCCAAAAGTGCCTGCCAAGATCGCTCGGGTGCCTGGAGCAAAGTACCATGTTGCACGGCTATTGGACAGACGGACTCATGTGTTGATAACCAGCCCGCCAAGCAAAGCAGCCAAGAAGCATAATGCGACGGGCCTGCTTTTCCCCTATCCTTGCTATCACGAGGTGACTGCCTACCTATCTCTTAATCTGCAGAAAGGTTCGGACGACGCAGATCTTTTGCCATTGAGCCTCTCCGAGACATGAGCGAAGCTGTTACAAATAATATGCATCCCCTCGAGTACATGACAATCTCCCCTCACTGCCACCTAAAAGAGTACGGTAGTTGCATTTAAATTACCTAGTAGCCGTACCAGTGCGTGTGGCATGAGCGGCTTTACTTTGGCCCAACTCTATCGGAAAGTCAAAAGAGTTTATTTCCCCTCAAGCTGGGAAGACAGGGGTCATATCAAACAACATGCGGTGGGTTGTACACTACCTAATACATACATCGTATATTGTATCCACCTTAAAAAGGCTCGGCATTGTGCCCGGCGGCACCACCCACATTCCTATTTCATCTATTGAATCAAGCCTGTCGACGAAGCAACACTCACCCGCTTCCTCCACCTCCTCGCTCGCCACCAGACAAAAGGCCGCATCTTTTACCTTGTTCCTAATGACTCGCCCGCTTGTCCACCTGCTGCTGTCTACTATGCAAGCCTCACTAAGCCTGCTTTGGCAGGAGACGAGAGCCATCACTCTGGGCCAATATCAACCGGCCCTCTCTCCCTCTCAACCTCTCCACATCCACAACTTGGCCCTGACGCCTGTCATTTCCCCCCTCTCTCCATGCATCACGGCCTTCGGGCTTGAAAGTCACACCCTATCGCCGAGGAGCCCTTGCACAGCCGCAATGCCACCCGTTGTGGTACCTCATCCCAGTTTCCCAACTGTCAGATCCGATATCTGAACTCCCCTTCAGCGGGCAATCAAGCAAGAGGTCAGCCCCCCGGCTCCCAAGAGGACCTATCACTCACATCCAATATTGAAGCCAAGAGAACCGTCAAGTCCGATATTTCTTGCCCTCGGTTGCCGGCATCCGGCATGGTTGCCAACCAACAGCCCTCCGAGAATCCCTGTATGAACAGCTTCCTCTTCTGAACGGCGCCGCGCACGCGTTGCCAACCTAAACTGCCTGCCGCTTCTGTCTCATTCATGCACGCGCGCGTGCGTCATCTCGTTGCCGCATCGACCATCCGACGCATGGAGACGCGGGATGGAGCGCATACCATCATTTCCGGGCTCCGTATGGCTTGCTTTGCTTCGGCCTCTAGCTCCGACCTTCGTTCCAGACCGATGTGACCGTAGCAGTGACAGGATCCGATGAGTATAGAACCAGAGCTGAGAAGAAACCAGACCAAGACTTCTCTAGCCGAAAGTCCGGGGGACATTTCGCGGTCCTTACTTGTCGTACGCTCCGATGGGGCTGTGGCGTAGGCCAAAATCACCGAGGGGGGAGCACCTCTCGGAGGTGCTCCCCCGACTACTCTCTATGGGTATTTTTGAGACAGCCGATCGTGTTCCCGTGCCGCAACCCCGTATCGGAGGTCGCGCAACGGCCGGGCGTCACGGGTGTCAGGTACCTAAGTAGGTCGTTGACCTTCGGGCCCTCCGCATCCGGACCCGAGCCCGCCGCCGAACACTGCCGCATATCGGCCAGTAGTCAGCTTCACCTCTGACTGGCTTCTTTCCGATCTTCCCATATTCACACAATGGTTGACAAAGACTTCAATCTCGACATTCCTGTACAACTCGGCATTGTTCGGCGACTGGACAGGCCGACATTCATCCCTTGCCTGATTAAGCCGCCTAGGCCGCCGCGGAAGCGTTTGCATCGCGGCCTGTATAACACGGAGCGGGCCAAAACATTATCCAGGGAGTATCGGAGAATCCCTCACTTGCACAGCACAGACGCGGCATCACCTCGACTCTTTGTTTCTGTCTCGCTCAATCGGATCCAAAAAGACCACCCACTCATTGAGCGGGGACGAAAATGCAACTCCCCTTACATGGACGCAACTCCTGTAAACCACCCGATGAAAGGGGTCAAACTTCACTCAGTCCCACTCGGCACAGGTATGAAATCAGTATATAGATGCACGGCCGAAGCGACGGGACTCTCCCTTCAGCTTCCTACGCCCACTCAACTGCTGCCTTCTCTCCACTGTCCGTCTTCCTTCTCTTTGGCCCTTCTTGGCGACAATGCTGCTCTCAGTCGGCTGCCTGGTCTCGCTCGCCCTAGCGATCAACCTCGTCGGCGGCTTGCCCCACGACATCGCCCCTCGCTCGGACGTCTTCCCCCGTGCCCTCGCGCCCTTGGAAAGGCATCCCGTCCAATGCCACCGCGAGAGCGACTTCCCCGGCCACGCCGACATCAACTACAACATGCAGTGGGAGGCCGTCCACGACTTTTGCGACAATAAGGCGTCCGAGATCTTGACCTCGACCATCCACGACCCGGACATGGGCAGGTTCCCGATCGTGTTCAAGCACCGTATGAGGTGGAAGTCCTGGCCGCATTGGATCAACTACGACTTCTTCGTCGAGTGGGTTCGGGGTTGCAGAACAGAACACCACTTCCAAAGGCTGGACTTCCCCTTGCACAAGGGCGGCGTCAATTGCCACACTATCATGAGGGATAACTACCTCCAATGTAAGACTCCCCCCTTTCCAACCTCCCATAGGGATTCCAACAGCATAACTGCTCTTCGTCCGAGAGACTATACTGATGCGGCATACCACAGGCAACAACGGAGGTGTTGGTGGAAGCACCCAGGTGGGATGCCTTCTCTACACCTTTACCGGGGGAAAGGGGGGCGATTGCATCTTGACGGATGAAGAAATCAAGTTGAGAGAGGAATATGACAAAAAGCACAACATTGTTAGGCCGTATGGCACATGTGGTCTGTGAGAAGGTCCTCTCTGATTCGCAAGCGGCGGCAGCAAGCCCGCCTGGATATAATTTCTTGTAATTACCAAATACCCCGACATGACCTGCTTCTGCCACCGCACTTTGCCGCTTTTCTTGTGAGTAAACAGACAAAAGCAGGCGTTTGCAAACCCTGCTTTTGCGCATTCTCAATCGTGCAGTCGTATGGAATCAGCATTATCTTGCTTTCTGTATGCTCTTTCTTTTACGTGCAGTACGAGAAGGGTTTTGTACTGAGCCCAACACTGGTTTGACAAGCCCTACATTTATGCGCATCCTTTTTTTTGTTCCTGCATTCCTGCCAAGATTTCAAACGCTTCATCTCCCTTGCGGAGGATTACCTATAGATAGCAAGGATCATCTGGACGGGGAAACGCCTTCCGCTGCTGATGAGCCTTGGCAGGATTCGAATCCTTTTGATAGGCCTATTGGGAGGCCGTCACTGTCAGCGTCCTGTTACGATAAAAGAAATAAGAAAATATGATTAATAAATAGAAATTAGACAAAATAAAGAGAACATAGTAAATAAGCTTCTTAGACAATAAAGTTTAACTCATCGTTTTCTAATTTGTCAGTGTCTTCCACCTATCGAGGCGTTTGTTGTTGTGTAGTAGAAGATAAACCTTTCTTAACGAAACCCGTTTACGGTCTCACCACAAAAGTGCCTCTGTGACGAAACGCAAGAAAAAGTATTCGTATTAGAAGTTCCCACAGAGACTCGGATCGCTCGAAAAGTCACATAAGCCCGCCTAGGGCCTTTTAGGGGTAAGTACTACTTGACATCCCCGTCGGTTACAAGCAGTGATGGCAAGCTCTTCCTCCCACTCTCCTTGATCCATGTTCTCTGCGTTCTGAAACTCCTGCAGCATTCTGACTGTGAGATACGATGCTTCGGTCAATGCATACTGTTGGCCAAGACATATGCGTGGACCTCCGTTGAACGGGAGATACTCCCAAGTGACTCGTATGTTGTCCCAGCGCTCAGGGCGAAATTTATCTGCATCTGGTCCATAGATATCTTTTCGTCGGTGCATAGCATACACGGACCATCCGACGGCGGTACCTTTGGCTACGTACACGGGACTGTTCCCATCGGGGCCACCGCCCCTTGGGAGGATTGTGTCAGCCATGGCGATGCGTGTATTGACTGGGACGACAGGATGTAGCCGCAATGCTATTGAACTCAGGAAATCAGTCAATGTTTTTTCGTGAAGTAGTGGCATATAACGATGAGCCCGCGAAGACTTACACTCTCGCAGACAGGCTCGAAGATACAGCATATCCCTCAAAGTAGAATAGTTCGGCAGGGCCCCGTTTAAACCATCAACCTCATGACGTAGCTTGGACCAAACGTCAGGTCTCTTTGATATCACAAAGAAAAGATTCCCCAAAAGACTGGCAGTGGTGTCGCGTCCGGCCATCAGCACGTTCAGCAGCTCGTAGCGCAAACGGCTTCTGTCCGTGGTCTGCTTGGCCAGTTCCTGTAAGAACAGATATTTTGGCTTCCCCCCTCCGGCATCATTCCCCTGCCCAGCTTGATCGTAGTCCTTGCGGAAGGCTACCGCCCTTTCGACAAACTGGTCAATATAACGGTGTACAACATCCACCTCCTTCTGCGACTTGACCTGCGCATACTTGGCAAGGGGGCCGAGTCCGACAAACTCCATGCACTCTGCTTGGGCAGCAGCAAATGCCGTCTCAAACTGCGCATCTAACCTATCCGTCTCGTCCTGCCTGTTGAGATGCCGCTTCAGGCTGTGGACGCTTTTGCCAAAAAGGAACTCGGTCGCCGAGTCGAGCGTGAAGCGGAAGAAGTGCTCTTGCAGGTTTACCGGCGTCACCCCGTCTCTCGGGAGCAGTTTGAATAAATCTTGGACGTGAACCTCCAGTGTCTCAAGGTCGGCGATCTGATCACGCACAAAGTTGGGTCTCAGCAAGGCTCTCGAAGCTTGCCACTTTGCGCCGTCCGTCGTGAAAATGCCGTCGCCAAGGAAGTGTCTCAGCGCCGGCTGCCGGAAGGGCGCAAGGGCGTAGTCGTTAAAGTTGGTGTTTATAACGGAGCGGATGTTTTCTGGATCCATGGTGATGATGATGCGAGCGCCGAAGAGGAGCTTGCTGCTATAGGTTACGCCTATTGAGTAGAAGCGTTCTTCAAAGGTCTGCAGGCTGCGATGCTCGCGCGCGGCTCGCGCATTGGCAAGCATTACATCGATACCCATGATGGGGTCTCGGAGTCGCGCTTTTGGTGGAGGGAGACAGCCATGTTTCCGACTAAACTGGCGTCCACGGTAATAGTTACGTAACTTAGAGATGATTACGTGAAGCGACAGGACTGTGAAAAGGTAGACGATGACTGCTTGAACAGTGGTGAGTGGAGTCATGACGATGGACGACTGGTCGTGTTGCTTGTGCTGCTAGTATTGGGCTTAGGCAGTCAGTCTTGCAGGGTGAGCAATGGCCTTGAAGAGCACAGTACCAGAATAAGGAACACACAAAGAGACGAAAAAGCCGAATCCCGTCTACTTGTTGGCAAGACAGTCAATAGACCTGGCATGATTCAAGGTGGACCAGCGGTTGATTAAGTTCAGAAGAGCGACCGGGCAGGCTTATACTTAAGCTTTCGTCTGATATGGTGTACCGCCCCGCCTCAACGCCTGCCACTACTCAGGACAAACTCTACTTTGACTTCGAGACTGGTTGACCTACTCGATACTTTCAGCATGTGCCCTGAATGTAGACGCAAACTGTAATAGGCAGAGGCTTTGGCTTTTGACTCTCTGCTTGCACCTTTGAAGACATTTCCAGCTTCTTCGCTTCGAATGACCATCCGGTACTCGTTTGTCTTCGCGCCTCTTTCTTTCTTCTTACTCGAAGAGAACCTCTCGAATAAACTCTGGTCCACACAGGCGCCCTTGCTGTATGTTCGAGTCAGATGAGGTCTATATCAGGTGATGTGACACGAATAATGATTCTTCAAAGAAGGTTATTCAACCATATGATAGACGAATTAGATTACTCGGTAACGACGGAAGCAATACCGAAGAACATGAGAAGACCTAGCTGCAGTCTCCGGTATCTGATCTCTTTTTGTCCTCTTCGCGAAGACCGTATTTGGACTCGAGTTTGGTGCGCAGTTGGATTTCATTCTCAAACAGCGAGAACACAAACCCAAACCCTGAAAAAGCAATCGAAACTAACCAAACTATCTGAAGTGAACGCTCAAATACACTAATCACTTGGATTCTAGGAACATTGCCCAGAAGAGACAGACTCTCGCGGGTTCCCTGTTCGTACGCATGCCCCCCTAAGAACTCTCTACGAACCTGGTCTTCTGTGATGCTGCCTGCCAGTTGCGCGAAGCGATCATTGAAAACTGCCATGGGTATGGCCACGCCCCAGACGTTTCCAAAACTCCGCAAGAACGCCCACGAGCCTGTCGCGGCTGCAACGTCGCTCTCAGGAAGACCTGCTTGAAGCGCCGGCAATAGTGTGTTAAGGACCATGCCGATACCACTGCCGGTAAGAATCTGGAACATGACCCAGCGGACGGCAGAGGAGTGACTGTCCAGAAGCGCGTGTAGACCAAGCCCCAAGGTGAGTATACCGAAGCCAGCGTTGTGGAAAATCTTGTACCGGCCAATCCAGGAGAGTACAGCAGATGACCCTGCCGACACCAAAAGCGAACCGAGAGTGCTAGGCATCATCTGCACTCCAGCCCAGGTGGAGCTTGATAATAGTACAGCCTGGAAGTAAACAGGGCGGAAGTAGAGCATCCAGTAGCTGAGGATCGACGTGATCAGTGTGTTGGCGAAAATGATTGCTCGGGTTCGATCTTTGAAGAATCTCAAGGGGACCACAGGAAGGGAGCAGAAACGTGATCCTTCGAAGCAGACGAACGAAATGAAGCCTCCCATGCCGATCAACAGAGGCACAAGGACCTGCCAGGAACCCCAGGGATCGGAAGAGCCTGCTAGCGTGAGAGCATATAGTACGGAGACTGTGGACCCGATGACTAGCGTGTTGCCAATGTAGTCGATGTTCTTGATTTTGTCGCGCAATGGGGTTGTCTTGTCGTCCTTGACGCGGAGAAGTAGGTAAAGAAGACCAAGTGAAGTGCCCCCAATTGGGAGATTAATCCAAAAAACCCAGCGCCAGCCCACATTCTGGGCAAGACTACCGCCGATGAGGGGACCGGTGCCAAGTCCCAGGGCATAAGTGAGAAGAACGAGAGACATAAAGTAGCCCCGTTGTCGGAGAGGTACGAGGTCGGATATGATGACCTCGATAATCATATTGATGCCACCACTACCGATACCTTGAACGGCCCGGCCCGCGAGAAGCATGGGGCCGTTCTTGGCTCCGCCACAGATGCCGCTGCCAAGAGTATGCGTGCCGACGATGACCAGTGTCAATCTTCTTCGTCCAAACACATCCGCTAATTGACTAAACAAAGGCTGGACGGCGGCGCTGGGTCGATTTATTAGTCCATCTAGTCTTGGCTGTGCCTGATATAGGACTCAAGCGTCTTACCTTGCAACGAAGAATCCATTCGTGATCCATACGTAGTTTGACCCAATACCCAAATCTCTGATCATGTATGGCATAGAGGTTGTGATGACGGCATTCTCAAACGAGCCCAACAGGCTCGTGAAGCACAGAGTCGCTATGACGGCCCAGAATGACGTATTAATCTTTAAACCACTGCCGGGGGGGTCGGGCTCTTCGGCCACTGGAGAGTCGACTGACGGCTTTCCGCTTTGTGGCATCTCAGATGCCTGCATATCAAGACTGTCTGAACCAACTGGTGCCATGAGCGTTGAGGCCGTGTCTTTCAGAACTGGCTTTGGGGAAAGAGACTCCTGTTGATCGCTGGTCATCGTCGAAGGCGCTAACTGCTGAAAATGATACTGATGAGTGGGGGAAGATCACCAAAGGGGGCATTGGCAGAGTATTCTGTGCAGCCAAGTGTATTTCCAAATGAATTATGCCTCATCTATAACTGGAGTAAGACCACCGTTACATTTGGGAGGTCACAAAGTCAAGCCGGTCTCAAAGTCAACCGGCACTTGTCGTCATCTTCCTTCACCTTGGATGGGCTCAATACTTACAGACTCTGAGTTTATCATCTTGTTAAAGCCAATTTACTGACAGCCCAATAGGTGTGCCGAGCCAGGAACCCTCAGATTTCATTACTAGCGATGCTTTTTCACGCCTCTCTAGGTTTATATCGCAACGGTTTTATGCATTACGAGAGCTTGCGACGAGAACTTTACTGATCGTAGCTATGGGCGCACCGACTTAACTCAAGGCATCAAAGTCTATTCGGCGAAGCTGCAGATAACGACGACGACGACGACAACGACAACGACTCGGTGGTCTTTCAAACTTATGGCTGTTACCGAGTGTTACCAACTCAATTTCCAAGCATGAAACCCCAATGTCAATCAACCTTAGTCGCGAGCATTGATTATCAAAAGGCTTCAAGACGACACGTGATTTTGTTTCAAAGTACTGAACTACGTTCAGCAACTTCATGTGGCTAAGACGGAATGTGCTCGGTAAGAGAGCTCGTAAGCCAGCAAGGCACAGTCTACAATAAAGTGAAGTCGCCCGGTAACTCACCCACCCTACTTGCGAGTAACCCCCACATCCGGGACATCCGAAAATGCTACATCATCAATACCACCATCTTTCTGATGAATTCGGCGCATCTGACTGTCTTGGTGAGGCTGAAAGCTGTATTATCGTAATGAAAACTAAGCCTAGTAGATGATTGATTAAAATAGTGGATTTTAATATAGCTTTGATTGTTGGGTAGGCAAAAAGGGAGTGATTTGACTTGAGTACACAAACATCCTTTATCACCACTTCGCCATTACAACATGACTGCATTCGCAGGAACCAACTTGGGCAGCGCTACATGCGCTTGTGAAACCTGACTCGTACTTCCGGCCTATCCCAAATGAGAAAGAGCTTGGATTCTCTCTCCCAATCAGTCCCATGATTGAGCAGCTCCATATCGTAGGTCCAGATCAGTTTCGCCAAAGTAATGCGGGCTTGCATCATACCGATTTCCCGTCCAGGACAAGCCCGCGGTCCTTGTGAAAAGGGCTTGAAGACCTTCATGTTGTCATAACGACCGAAGCTCTCGTCATACCACTTATGGTCTTGTCCCAAGAAACGCTCCGGCCAGAACTCCCTTGGGCGGAGGAAATATTTGGAACTGTGAGTCGCCGCGAAGGACGCGTTTTGCACAATGGTCTAGAGATAAATCAGCGTGTCGGTCGGTGTGATGATGCCCATGATTACTTCAGCTTACGCCTTTCGGAATGTATTCGCCGTCTACAACAGCCCCAGGGCTATATCTAGGAAGACCAAATGCCGCGTTTGTATGAAGGCGCATGGCTTCATCAATGACAGCTTGGATATACTTGGTGCTTTGTAGCTTCTCAGCCTTGATATCAGCATAGCTGTCGAATTCGCCTCTGATCTCGTCTTGGAGTCGGTCACGCGCGCGTGGCGTCTTGCATAAATAATAGAGTGCCGATGTAAGAATGTTGGTCAGGGGGTCGAAGCCGGCGGCGAGCAGAACGTTCGACTGCGCGACCAACCACTCTTCAGAATCTACACTGGAATCTTCCCGAAGTAGCGATGAGAAATAATCGGCACCCTCAAGACGCTCCCGCTTCGAAAGACGCTCTGCTACAATTTCACGGTTGAACCGGAACCAGGTTGGAATGGTTTGAGCTAGGGACTTGGGAACGAACAAAGGCGTCAATGGGAACAGAAGGGGGAATTTCTTCAGTACTTGTCGAATCGTACCAAATCGACCAATCTTGATCGACTCTCGTAAGTAAACACACGTTTGAGCTGTTTGAATTAGCAGACATCCATTTGCAACTCATTAAAAGTAGAATCAACCGGCCTTACCGTTTTTCAAATTATCAAACTCATGACTCCAAGCCATGTAGCCGGCGATATCGCAGACGAGCCAGTCAAACCACTGTAAGACTCTGATCAGAAAATGGAAGAAACTCAAGAAAAGTCGGATTTGATGACGTACCTCTCTCATATCGACACCAGTGGGGCAAGTGCCCCCATGCCTGGACAACTGCTCGACTAGTAGGTCTACATACCGGTGTACATGAATCTCTTGGGCATGCATGGCCCGAGGAGAAAACGCGGGAGTGAGAAGCTTGGCAAGCGAGCGGTGTTTTTCTGGATCTCGCTCAGCCGTGATGCCCGGCTCGTCTCCTCCGAGATCCTGGAATTCCGTCTTGACAAAAGTCTCGCGGTTACGGACTGCTGCTGTGTATATGTCGTGCTGGGCTTGTGGTGACCTCAATGCAATTTCATTTGGCCCGACGCGAACAATCTCGGCTGTTATTTATCATGAAGGTTAGCAGCAGGGTACTCAACTGTTAGACCGCATGAGCACCCCGACGAACACTTACAGTCATACTTGTCAAAAAGCTCTTCCACAGCCCACGGGTATCTCCCTTCAAGCCATTTCTTTGCGTACCAGATGTATGAAATGGCAGCGAGAGAAGGGCCTGGATACTTGGCCAGCGGGTGCATATAGAGAAGGTAGATGCATCGCGATATCAAGCCGAGAGCTACGAAACAGGCCCCCGCCAGGAACAAAGTCTGCAAAGAGACCACAGAGAATTGAAAGAAGGAGAACGAGTCCATGTGTACACGTTTTGGAGAAGATGATGAAAAGTCTCGTAGAGAAACAGTGAAGCATTACACATCTAGGTATCTCCAAGGCTTACGCAATATATTTTTTACACGTCGGTCCATGAAGTAAGGAAATAGCATAACGCCAATCGAGGTATTGGCAAAATAAGATTAAGCCTGCACACTGAAGATCCCAACTCATTATCTTACTCACCAGGGTCATTGAAACTTGCTCTTGTGCTACAGTTCACGATGAGTGCCACACCAGCCTTCAGCCAATCATTAGTCAATCATGTGTTAAGCCAACTATTACGTACCCTGTGTATCCTAGGTATCTAGGTATATGTACATTGTATAACTACCGCCCTCTTGTATCAAAGTTGATGCTAACCTTATGGCTTATTAAATTGTGAATCAAAGTATAAATTACTAACTTTAACTAAGGCAGTCAAGACAAGTTGCACTGTAGCGTACCTCAATACAAACTAGAATACTACCCAAGTACTGATTAATGGCTGTTTTCACACGTGATATTGCCCTGTATCAGGTTGTTTGTACTCACCGTACATAGTTCTAAGGGCATGACTCTTGGGCGGCACCTATGCCTCCCTAAGCTCAAAGAGCTTCAGATAACTTAGCCTCGTCATTGGTAAAGTGTATTCCAGAGTTAAGTACACTCTTTCAGCCACTATAAAGCTGTTCCGAGCAGTTCAGGCAACCGACTGTACCTCCGAAACTAGAAATTAAAGCCTTTAGCAACAATACACCTCCAAGTGAAACCCCTAGTCTAAACTATGTATCAATAGCCATCAAAGTTGCGACCGGTCAGAGTTAGGCTTTGTCATAAGCTTATCTCAGCTTCGCTTTTGCTACAGGTATGGGTAGGGTATTACTACCGGCGGTAGCTTATGCAACATAGAGGTTTCAGGATACCCTGTTAATATTCCTAGTGTTAATATTCCTAGTAGCAATTCTAAGAGATGTCTACGCTAAAACCTTACTAGGACATATTGAAAGCTTCTTAAATCTTACTGTCAAGTTGTTACAAGGAAGGATGTACCTTGCGCAGTATACTACTGCATTACACCGTCATAGAGAATAATATTGCTCCTTAATTTAGAAACAAGTAGTATTTAGGTACAGGTTATAGGGCATGCTTTACAGGAAAGTAAGCTACCTTTAAACTAATAAACTACCCCTATTGTGAGCCTGCTTTATAATGCTAGTTTATGGTGACTTATCTAACTAGGTCTTTTTAAATAGATTAGCCCTCCTCAGCAGCAATCATTCATCAAGTCGACCACACCGACTTTAGTAAGATGCACCCATCTAGAGGTTTCAATAAGCGTGTTTATTTGTCTGCTCTCATCGAGCGCTGGCAGGAATCTCGGCGAGGGTGGCTCAGTAACTAGATTTAAGGTGTTAACAGTCTAAAAACCAGGCCTGCCCCCATGGTACATTCAACATTTGATATTTAATTACACCTTGTACTGAATGACGTCGTTTTCGCAACATATAATCTCTCGGATTTGTTTCGAACTTTTATGTCCCTGTTCCGTATGCTAATGGGCTGCTCAAGTAACAAATTAGGTTAATGAAGGGTTAGGGTTAAACCCATCAAAAGGAAGTTCAAGTGTAAGGTTAGATTACCTGCAGACCAGAAGTAGAGCTCTTTCCTAGAGATTACCTGAATCAATAACGCAGCAGTCTTGGATGAAACGTCCAGTGGCCAAAAAAGTCTAGTTAGACAGAAACAAAACTATCAGCAGAAGATGTGGTAGGATGGACCTTTCGGTAAAGAAGCTCTAATGCTAGACAAGAGCTGCCACATCCGTTTTGAAAAACAGAATTTCGATCTACGCCGATGAAGGTTCAGAAGATCGCGAGATCATCGCGTGGTGTCGGCAAGCTGCAGTTTGCATGCGTACCGGGGAGCCAAGCCCTGGATATATCAGTGACAGGGTGTCGGCCAAAAGAACATAAGTAAATTGCAATATCGGGAGATACAGAGATTTCTGAGTTCCTTCTCTTGTAATGAGTCTTGGTCTTTGTCACTACAATGGCTTCATTCCGTGGTTCATCAGAGCCCATTGCCGTGATCGGCATCGGCTGTCGTTTCCCAGGAGCATCGTCTTTTCCAGAATTAGCCGATGCATTGCATGAACCCGCAGATTTGTCGCAGACCATTCCTTCGGATCGATTCAGTATCGATGGTTTTCACCATGAGGACGGAAAATACCATGGCAATACCAATGTCCGAAAATCTTACTTTCTACGGGATGGCATCCGCAAGTTTGACAACAACTTCTTCAACATTACTGCGGTAGAGGCGTCTGCTATGGACCCTCAGCAGCGACTCTTGCTTGAAACAGTTTACGAGGCCTTTGAGAATGCCGACGTCTCCACGCCACAACTCAAGGGCTCAGACACAGCTGTTTACGTGGGCTTGATGTGTGGAGACTATGAGAATATCCTATTGCGTGACATTGATAGTGCTCCAAGATACCAGGTAAGGGCGACTGGGAATTTAAATGTCTTTGAGACCATGGAAACCCACTGCTAACAGGTGACATCAGGCTACTGGTGTTGGTCGCAGTATCATGGCCAATCGAATCTCATACATATGGGATCTACATGGTCCATCAATGACGATCGACACAGCTTGTTCTTCTAGCCTAGTTGCTTTGCATCAAGGTGTGCAGGCACTACGTCTGGGCGAGACCCAGTTGGCTGTTGTTGCTGGGTCCAATCTGCTGCTGGGACCTGAATGGTACGTCACGGAAAGCAATCTGAACATGCTCTCACCGACCGGTACGAGTCGCATGTGGGATGCGGACGCCAATGGGTATGCCCGAGGAGAGGGGGTGGCTGCTGTAGTATTGAAGCGTCTAAGTGATGCCGTTACCGATGGCGACTTCATTGAGTGTGTCGTAAGGGAGACGGGTGTCTGCCAGGACGGACGGACTAATGGCATCACCACTCCGAGTTCGGAGTCTCAAGCATCTCTTATCCGCCACGTTTATGCCAAGGCCGGTCTTGATGTGGTTAAGGACGGCTGCCAATATTTTGAGGCACACGGCACCGGCACTCCCGCAGGCGATCCTGTAGAAGCAGAAGCCATCCACTCTGTCTTTACCGACTCCTCTCGAGATGGCGTTCGCACCGACCCGCTCTACGTCGGATCAGTCAAGACGGTCATCGGCCACACTGAAGGTACAGCCGGATTGGCAGGGCTTCTGAAAACAACAGCCGCCTTACAACGGAAGACAATCTTCCCCAATAGACACTTCAAAAGGCTTAACCCCCGCATCGAGCCTTTCTACAAGAACCTGAAGGTCCCAACTGTCGAGATTCCGTGGCCTAAACCACCAGAGAACCAGCCGCTCAGAGCTAGTGTCAACAGCTTTGGATTTGGTGGGACAAACGCGCACGTTATCTTGGAAAGCTACGACAACAGTGTTTCGACGAATCGAGCTTTCGATGGCACAACCCCAGTTTTTGTGCCGGTTGTTTTTTCGGCCAAGAGCATACACTCGTTGTACGGCGGGCTTGAAGACTATGGCCGGTGGCTAGACTTGCACCCAGAGGCCAACCTGCGTGATCTGGCAATTACGGCTTCTAGAAGGTCGCCCTTTGCCTACAGAGCCGCTATTACGGCTGCGAGTGGTCCTGAATTCTTATCCAAAATATCGGAAGCAATTCGAGAGCGACGAGTAGTAGCACCAACGAGCAACACTCTGCAGACAATCGGCATCTTCACAGGTCAGGGGGCTCAGTCTTTCGGCATGATGGCTGAGGTCCTACGTACCTCCTCGTGGGCACGGAATCGCGCGCGTCAACTAGAAGGGGCATTTTTGGGTTCTATTCCGCCCGAAGACAGGCCACCTCAGTCATTGGTTGACCATCTGCTTTTGGGCCGATCTCAGGACGGCTCATCAGTGATGAAAGCTAGCCTTTCTCAGCCCCTGTGTACCATGGTACAGATTCTCCTAGTGGACGTGCTACGGACAGCTGGTGTCAAGTTTAGTGCCGTCGTCGGTCACTCTTCTGGAGAAATCGCTGCCGCATATGCTGCGGGTTACCTCACGGCAGAGAGTGCCTTAGGCGTGGCTTACTACCGAGGTTTGCATACCAAGTTGGCTGGGGGCCAGTCCGGACAAGAGGGGGCCATGCTGGCAGCTTCCATGTCTTACGACGAGGCATGTCAATTTTGTGCGCGGCCGCAATTCAAGCAGAGGCTTTGGGTGGCAGCCAGCAACTCCCCAGGCAGCGTAACTCTCTCCGGGGACCAAGATGTCATTGTCGAAGCCGAGCAGTCTCTCTTGGTTGAGAACGCCAACCCGAAACGTCTGATGGTCGACAAGGCGTATCACTCTCATCATATGAACCTATGCTCCGTTGCTTACCTAGAATCGCTCAGAGCACTTCCGGGGTGGACGTCCGATCCCGATACGCCGACCCGATGGTTTTCTAGCGTCTATGTTCGGGAGGCTAGCGAGATCCATCTCACAGCGGATTATTGGAATGAGAACATGGTCCGGCCAGTCCTTTTCTCCCAAGCTTTGGAGAAGGCATGCCACCAAATCGGTCCCTTTGATCTTGTTGTGGAGGTCGGACCACATCCAGCACTCCGTGGTCCTGTTTTACAAACTTTGATGAACTTGGAGCCGCAAAACCAGCCAAGTTATGCCTTCTTACTCCGGAGAGGAGAAGACAGCGTGCAAACTCTGGCGGCCGGATTTGGCCAGCTTTGGGAAGCCGGTTTGAACCCCAACCTGGCTGCCGTCGACAAGTTGATGTCTGGTATCGCAGGCCAGCCATTAAGGGGGCTTCCCACATACCATTGGCAACACGACAAGGAGTTCTGGCACGAATCGCGCTTTGCCAAAGCTTTCAGGGGCCGCAAGAAACCAACTCACCCGTTGATAGGCAACCCGCTTCCCGACAGTTCCTACTTGGACATGAGATGGCGCAATGTGCTTTTGGAGTCGGAGTTGCCCTGGCTTGCCGGGCACAAGATCCAGGGTCAGACAGTCTTCCCTGCCGCTGGCTACTTATGCATGGCCATCGAAGCGGCGCAGGAACTTGTCCCGGAGAATCAGAGCATCCAGATCATAGATGTCACCAACTTGGACATTGAACAAGCCCTTCTCATCCCATCAGACGACCCTGGGGTAGAGGTTGTATGCACGATGACAGACGTGCGTCGTGATGACAAGGCCAGAATCGCAGCAAACTTCGCCATATACTCTAACGTCGGGGACAACTTGTCCCTTATGGCTAAAGCCGCCGTAGACCTACGCCTTGGGTCATTACAGAGCGACATAATGCCCAACATGAGCCAGCAAGACAGCGCAGACTGGTTGATGAGTTCCATTGACAGCGAAAGCCTATATGCGGCATGGAACAGCCTTGGCTACGGTTACACAGGGCCGTTCCGCGCTATCCAGCACGCTTCAAGGAAGCTCAGCGCAGCCAGTGGATCTATCGGCATGATCCCAGGTGGAGGTTCATTGCTTTTCCATCCTGCCACATTGGACGCCGCTATCCAGACAATCTTGTTGGCTTACTGCCATCCAGAGGACGGGAGTCTGTTCGCCATACATGTTCCACGAACCATCGGTAATGTTCGAATCAACGCCGGACTGGCAAGATCAGTCTGCCAGACTCACCAGAACCTTAGGTTTACTGCAGTCGTCCCAGACCGTGAAGGTGACGGTCTCTGTGGGGATGTCGAACTGTTCACTCCAGAGGGAAAAGGCTTCGTGCAGATTGAGGCTCTCCAGTGCATTCCTCTGTCTCCGGCAAGGGAGGAGAGTGATGCCAAACTCTTCTACGGTACAAAGTGGGCGCCCGCCTTGCCCGACGCTGAGGTTGTTTGCTGGGACGGACGGGCCACAGCGGACGATTACGAGCTGGCACGGAACCTAGAGCGTCTATCTTTCTACTACATGATGCAGCTTGAGGAAGCTGTCCCGCAGGGCCACCCACAACGTCAGCATCCCCATTGGAAGAGATACTTTGGCTTTCTGAGCCATGTTCGCGAACTTGTTGAGTCCGATGTCCATCCGTATGTTGAGAAGAATTGGCTCCAAGACACGCCCGAGGTAGCTGCCGCCATTACGGCGCGATATTCCGACAATCTGGATTGCAGAGTTATTGGAGCCGTGGGAGAGAACGTTGCGGAGGTTATATACAGTGGCGGTACGATGCTGGAGCACCTGCTCCGTGACGGCCTCTTGGATGATTACTATGCCCATGGGATGACCAACCAAAGCTACCTCCGCTACATGGCCCGCATGGTAGGGCAGCTCACTCACAGATATCCTGGAATGAAAATTCTCGAAGTCGGTAAGGCGAACACAAATCAAATGCTTGGCTGGGACTCCGGATGCTAATTTGCTTGTAGGAGCGGGCACTGGGAGTGCAACCAAGACAATCTTTGGCGAGATTGGCCGCACTTTTGACTCCTATACATATACGGATGTATCTATTGGATTTTTTGAGAAAGCCCGTGATGTATTCGCAACCCATGAAGATAAAATGGTCTTCATGAGTCTCGATGCAGAGCGGGATGTCATGGAACAGGGGTTCGAGCCGCACTCCTACGACTTGGTCGTCGCCTCCCTGGTGCTTCATGCAACATCAAACCTAAAGAACACGCTTTCCAACGTCCGGCGTCTTCTGAGGCCTGGTGGTTACCTCATCATGCTTGAGATTACCGACAACGATCCCATTCGACTCGGCTTTGTCTTTGGAACCCTGCCGCAATGGTGGATTGGCGACACCGAAGGCCGCATACTCTCGCCCTGCATCGAACCCCCAGAATGGGATGCTGTTCTCCAGCAGTCCGGTTTCTCATCCATTGACTCAATCACCCCTGATGTCGACCGTCTTCCGTTTCCTCTTTCAGTCATTACGGCTCAAGCGGTGGACGACAGAGTGCAGTTGCTACGTAGCCCTCTTCTCAGCAATATTGTGTTCTCTCGCCTGCTTATAATTGGGGGCGCAACTGCGAAAACCGTCCAGCTTGTGAGCAACTTATGTGAGCTGCTAAAAAGTCACTACGACATCGTTTTGAGTATCCGCACGCCCGGTGACTTTGATAAGAAATACTCTGGATGCACGGTATTGTCTCTGGCGGAACTTGACAGGCCTGTCTTTGAGAACATCAACGATGAGACTCTCGCTGCTCTGAAAAGCTGCATTTTAAGCTGCCCAATACTCTTCTGGGTTACACAAGGTGCACGAGACAGGTGCCCTGGCTCCAACATGTCTGTTGGCTTCTTCCGCACAATGCTCTGGGAGATACCCGACCTGATATTTAGGTCGATCGACTTTTCGGATACAGGTCTGCCGGACGCTCGTGTAATCTGCTCTTCACTCCTTGAGTTAGAGATGGCCGTCTCATGGGATCTGGCAACGAAGGGAACTGATATACTCTGGTCGGCAGAACGGGAGCTCGTCTACAAAGACGGTCGCCTGGATATTCCACGGCTGGTGGAGGCACCCGATCTCAACGACAGATACAATGCCAGGCGACGTGTCGTGGTTCGAAAGAATGGCAATGGCCCGATCCGACTCCGCCATGACGGCTGGCTTGAACAAAAGATTTCCTTGCTTTCGAACAATGCATTGCCCTCAAGACAAGGCAACCGTCCCCAGCTCCAGGTTGAGTACTCGACCTCATTCTCAGTACCTGTTTTGAACACGGGTATCAGCAAGTCATACGTGATCTTTGGCAGAATTTCAAACATTGGCAACATTGGCCGTTCAGTACTCGTCTTGAGCTCTGAATGTGCCTCGACGATGAAGCCGTTACCTTGCTCAATCTGGGAACTTCCAGACGACTCTGACCCGCCACTTGTTCTAACACGAGTTGCAGCAGCGTTGCAAGCAATGTATCTGCTTTCTGACGTTCCCAGAGGCCAGCGCTTACTTGTGCATAACCCCAGTGCGAGGCTTGCCTTGGCGATCAAGTACTTGGCCAGGAGTCGAGGCATCCGAGTCACTCTAACCTCAACAAATCAGAATACTGAATATGTTGTATTTCTACATCCATTATTGCCAAAGCGTTTGCTGAGAAGCAAGATCGATTGGAACTTCAACTACTTTGCGGACCTTTCTGATACCACAGAGTCCCCATCAGACGCATCACTTCGTCAGCTTTTGCCAGAATCTACAGTTATTATCGATACGCAGCCCATATTTACCACTCAGGGCCTGCGAACTGCCACCCTTTCGGGCTATGGTAACTCCTCAATATCGACCACAACTGCTCCGCTCTCTGCGCAACTCGCTGAAGCATACAACTTAAGTCGCGGGCTTTCGATGCAAGCGCTTGAGCTTGTTTCCTTGAGCGATTCCCCTGGTCAACGGCAGAATCCAAGTAGGATTATCCAATGGAGTGACAATAAGAGCGCCTTGGTCCGCGTTCCACCCACGGGACGTCACATAGCCTTCCTGCCACATCGCACTTACTGGCTAGTTGGCCTCACTGGAGACTTGGGGCTGTCCATCAGTGAATGGCTCGTTCGAAAAGGGGCGCGTTACGTGGCTTTGAGCAGCCGTAACCCCAAGGTGGACTCAGAATGGCTAGAAAGCCACCGCAAAAACGGAGTCAACATCACCATAATCCCGTGTGACGCGGCAGACAAAGACAGCCTCGAATCGGCCTATAATAAGATCAAGAATACTCTCCCACCTCTGGCTGGAGTGGCTCACGGCGCTATGGTCTTAGATGACGCACCACTCAGAGACTTGGACGCACAAAAGTTTGCCAAGGTAGCCGGTCCCAAGGTCCTGGGCAGCAAGAACTTGCAGAGGCTTTTCGACGAACATGGCGAGAGTCTAGACTTTCTCGTCTTCTTCTCGTCTATTGCAGCAGTCTTCGGTAGTCACGGGCAGTCCAACTACACAGCCGTTAATTCGTTCATGCAAAGCTTGGCCCTGCAGCGGAGAAACCGCGGTCAACCTGCTTCTGTTCTCAATCTTGGCCTCGTCATTGGCATAGGGTACGCTTCGAATAAACTCAGCCGCAGCCAGCGTGAAACTTTACGCAAAAACGGGTTCAGATGGATCTCCGAGGACGATCTTCACGACGCGTTTGCTGAAGCCATTCTAGCAAGCCCTCCTTCAGATCATGACCATGAGATCACTATAGGTGCCGACACTTTCCCAGCTGGGTTGGCTTCGGTGCCGCCGTGGGCAGAGGATCCGAGATTGTCACATATGTTCATCCACGGCGCTGAAAAGAATCATGTATCCAAGGGAATCGGTCTTCATGCACAGAAGACCCCCCGTGAAAGATTAGCGTCTGCTACCTCGGCATTGGAGACCGAACTCATAATTAAGGGTAAATATCCACCCACCTAACAGACTATCTTACCTGCCTTAGAAAGTGTCTATTTGCTAATGATTACTAGAATGTTTCCTTACTAAACTCCAGAGTATTCTGAGGTTGTCACCTGCTCAGATGGAGAATGAGCCAGCGCTTCTCAGTTCAGGCACCGATCAGCTCGGATTTGACTCACTCATCGCAGTCGAAGTACGCAGTTGGTTCCTGAAGACATTTGATGTCAGCCTATCGACTCTCCAAATCATGAACGGCATCACTGTTCAGGGCATTATATCCTTGGCCTCGTCCAAGCTTGGCAAACAGTTCAAACCAAGCTTGACCATTAAGCCAGGAACAGAGTCAGATAAGACTGAGACTTCTAGCCCCCTCTCCAAATCATCCCCGATGTCGCTATTCGAGGATTCTCCAGTCTCAGGATGTCAAACTTGGTCTTCTACTCCGTCATCTGAAGTGTCAGTTTCCCAGATGATCCCTATTCCCAAGACCATGAACTGGGACGGCCCTCGACAATCTCCTCGCTACGGACCTCACCCTCTTTCCTTTGGCCAGGAGATGTTCTGGTTTGTACAAAAGTTCACGTCGGATGCCAGCACTCTCAATAACACGGTAGTGTACCGTATGACTGGCGCGCTAGATGTAGCGAGGCTCGCCGAAGCCGTTCGAGTGGTTGGAGACCGCCACGAGGCGCTAAGAACTGCAGTATTCGAATCAGAGGATGGCATGGCTGTCCAGGCTGTACTGGACCATTCCAAATTGCATCTAGAGAAACTCTCAGCTTCTCTCAAGGACGTTCCGGTCATCATAAATGATCTTGCCGGCTATCATTATCAACTCGACAAGGGCCAAAACATGCGCATCCTCCTCGTCTCCAGCTCGCCTACGGAGCATCATATCCTCTTCGGTTTCCATCACATCAACATGGATGGAATCAGCCTTCAGATAATTCAGTCGGAACTGGAAACCGTTTATAAGGGGGAAGATTTGCTCGGATCCCCTTTGCCGTTCACAGACTTCGTCAAACGGCAGCGCGAGAATGACTGGTCCGAACTGCTGTCATTTTGGCAAAGCGAGCTTTCTGGTATCTCCGGGAACCTTCCCATATTGCAGCTTCCCGGTGCCTCTAAAGTGCGCCACCTGTTGACCGAGTATCGAGCTATTGAGGTTGAGCGCCGAGTCAATTCTCCTACGATGGCCAAGGTCCATGAGAGATGCCGCGAGCTCCGCGTAACGCAATTCCAATTCTACCTCGCCATTTTCCGGGTCCTACTCACTCGTTTGGCAAAAGTGGAAGACATCTGCATCGGCATTGCTGATGGAAACAGATTGAGTGAAGACACTCTCGACGCTGTTGGCATGTATCTCAACTTGTTGTCTCTGAGATTTCAGTCAACACAGAAGATGACATTCTCGGATATTGCTCAAGATACGAAACAAAAGGCACAAGCTGCTATTGCTCATTCAGCTATTCCATTTGGTTTATTACTGAGCAAACTTGGAGTGGCACGATCCGCAGAACACAGCCCAGTCTTCCAAGCTTTTGTTGACTATCGGCAAGGGGCACGAGAGCGACAATCGTTTGGTAACTGCAACCTCGAGGTCAGCTTCTATCAAGGGGCCAGAGCCAGCTACGATATCAGTCTCGACATAATTGACTCAAAAGACGCCCCTACATTTATACGGCTGGCTGTGCAGAATAGCCTGTACTCAAAAGGCGATGCCGCCTTGCTTATAGACAGCCTGATGAGTCTAGTCGATTACTTTGCAACCTCCACTGATCAGAAGGACTGCTGTATTGAAAGCGTTCCAATTTTCGATGCCAAGACTATTACAACGGGCTTGAGCCTTGCAAAGGGTATTTTATAACAATATTGTATCCCTAGAAGTAACAGATTTCTGACAAGCTTGCAGGGCAATTCGAGCAGTCATCGTGGCCTGAAACCCTTGCTCGCCGGGTTGCAGAAGTATCAATAACATATCCCGAGAAGGCTGCGATTAAGGATGGGAGCGGCACCATCTTGACGTACGCAGAAATGTCGGACCGAGTAGCGGCCATCACAAGCGGCATCTCGAGTTTTCAAGCTCGACCAGGATCTGTCATTGGAGTCTTCCAAGAACCAACAGCTGATTTCGTATGCTCTTTACTGGCGATTTGGCATGCCGGATGCGTCTATATGCCGTTGGATGCGGCAACCCCAACGCAGCGGCTCCAGCGTCAAGTTCACCACTGCTCGCCGCAGCTTATTCTCGTGGACAACTCTCTTGAAAGCGCGGCAGCATCCTTCGGGACTCCGGTTCTCAACGTCTCTTCTTGCGCCGATGTCCAAAAGCCCTCGGCAATAGTGTCGGGTGTGTCGGAGACCAAATCAACAGACCCGGCGGCTGTTTTATACACGAGTGGGTCTACCGGTGTTCCCAAGGGAATTGTCCTTTCCCATCAGAACCTAGTCCACGAGCTTGAGTTTTCTTCTAAAAGCTACGACTTCGAATTCGAAAACGTCTTGTGCCAGAGTGCGTTGGGGTTCGACATGTCCTTGACACAGATCTTTACAGCGCTCGCTTATGGAGGCTGCCTGCACGTCGTGACATTGGCCCAGCGCGGCGACGCTGTGTCCATCACCAAACGCATCGTCAATGACAGGATCACCTTCACCGGCGCGACTCCTTCGGAGTATCTATCATGGTTGACCTACGGCGTTGCAGACTTCGGCCAGTCTCAGTCCAGTTGGCGCCGCGCAGTCTGTGGTGGAGAGCCAATCACCCCGTCACTGCTCCGCGCGTTCGCCGCTATCGCGAACCCTCAGCTGAGGCTCTTCAATGCTTACGGACCAACAGAGACGACATGCTCGGCAACCAGAATAGAGGTTCCATACCGAGATCTGGCTCAAGGCTCGCCCAAGGTTCCCTTGACAGCTGGCCATGTGGCCCCGAACTGCTTTGTTTGTATTGTAGACTCGGATCTCAGACCCTTGCCTACTGGTATGCCTGGCGAGGTTCTGATCGGTGGCGCAAAGGTTGCCATTGGCTATCTCGGGAACGCAACCGTCACACAGGAGCGGTTCGTGAGCCATGATCACGTCCCAGCCCACTTCGTGGCCGAGGGCTGGACGTCGGTGCACCGCACTGGAGATGTTGGCTTGTTACTGTCGGATGGTCAGCTTGTCCTTCAAGGCAGGATTTCCGGAGACTCTCAGATCAAGCTGCGAGGTAATCGTGTCGATCTTACAGATGTGGAAGACGCCATTATTCGGGCTAGTCCTCATGTGAATGAGGCCCTGGTCTGTGTTCAGAAACAGGTCAACTCGGGCGACGAAGGTTCGGACTCTGTGCTACTCGCCGCCTTTGTCGTCCTTGATGAGATTCTGTTTCAGAAAGGCGAGGAAGGAGAGGATGTTCTAGGCGGTATCTTGAATAATGTCGATTTACCTCGAGCCTTGAAGCCGACTATCATCCGTTCGGTTAAAGCGCTTCCGAGAAGCATCAACGGCAAGGTGGACCGAAAGGCAGCTACTGAGTTGCTCAAAATGCACTTGGATACGACGGATGCATCCCATGATGACGAACCCTTGTCGGCAGTCGAGTTGCAGCTCAAACAAATATGGAAGCAGGTTCTGCCGTTCGATGCCACTCCTGTGGTTCATAGGTCATTGGACTTTTTCCACGCAGGCGGCAACTCTCTACTTCTGGTTGCACTGCAGAGGAAGATCCGAGATGTGTTCAGTGTAGAAATCCCTCTTGTCTCCCTGTTTGACTCGAGCACTCTGTCCAACATGGCCTCGATCATCGAGCAAAAGTCCATTGAGGGGACGAACATCGACTGGGAGATCGAGACTGACCCTGAGAATTACGTCTCGACCGGTTCCCTCCCATCATTGGAAGCACACACTCTCTCCACGAGCGATTCTGCCGTCGTTGTTCTTACTGGGGCGACAGGGCTCTTAGGCAAGGCTCTTCTTCGTGTTCTGATCAACGACAAGAGGATCTCGGCTATTCACTGCATTGCTGTGCGCAGACCGGCCTGCCTCGAACCGTTCAGAGCGTCCGAGAAGGTTCAAATTCATAAAGGAGATCTTACATTGCCTCGACTTGGCCTGTCCACTGAGATGGCACAGTTGATATTCTCAGTTGCGGACGTCGTTATTCATAACGGAGCCGACGTATCCCACATGAAGTCATACCAAACTATCAAGAGCGCCAACTTCGGCTCGACTCAAGAACTTGTTAAAATTACACTTGAGCAAAAACGACTGATCCCATTCCACTTTGTGTCCACTGCTGGTGTTTCACTCTACTCAGGTCTGGAAACATTTGCTGAGGTATCTGCCGCACCATATCCGCCCCCAACAGACAACTCGGATGGCTATACGGCGTCGAAATGGGCCAGCGAGAGGTTCTTGGAGAGGATTCACAGTCTCACTGGTCTTCCGGTGTGGGTGCACCGGCCGTCAAACATTCATCGCGTCGAAGACCCCCAGTTCGACCTCTTCCAGAATCTTCTTCGATACTCTCGCCTGCTACAGGCAGTTCCCGTGTTCCCCAGCTTACAAGGCCATTTGAATCTCGTGGAGGCAGCAGAGGTTGCTCAGAGTCTTTTCGATGATGTTTTTACCAGTCGCAACTCAGAAGTCAACTACCGGCATCGGATCGGAAAGATCAATCTGTCGATGGATGAGCTGGGGGATTTTGTCCGCACTGAGCCCACATCGTCGGTGGAAATCCTTGACGTAGGAACTTGGACGGCTAAGGCGGAAACGCAGGGTTTGCCGGAGGTTGTGAGCGAATGGTTCAAGAAGGTAGCACTTGGAATTCCTATAAAGTATCCCTTGCTTGTAACCGATAGGCGTTAGGTGCTAGGTATTTGTGGTTTTATGTTGTACCAGACGTCTATTAGTTGTGTTTTGGGGAGAAGAGTGGAATACTGCTTTCGATGAAGATGCACAGTAAACTAGGAACCTACTCATCCTCTCGGGTGCAACTAGGGAGCCCAATTCTTGCTCTGTTTTTACTTTGCATGTTATATTTACATAATGATAACTAGGTTCTACTCCAGCCCTACTCGATATGGCGAGACTACTTTGTTTGGTTACTCAAAGTGCATAGTAATGCATAGCTATCGTGCACAACCTCTGTGTTACGACCCGATCGAATTGTGGCCCGACAGGTTACGTGACTACATCGTTTAATTATAACGCAGGTGCATCATTACCGAAGCTTTTGCTTTGGGGTGCAGTTGCTTGCCCTGACCTGCTCGTAACACGCGCTCTATTCTAGGACTTCTTCCTATAGGGGCGACGGTCTCGGGCTAGAAGCCTGCCATATTCGCTCTGCAGAAGCGGCGACGCAGAAGGTTGCGCCAGCGGACCTTCGTATGCGTTGCTTTTGGACTAATGTGTACGCTGAAGAATGCTTCGGCATACCTGCGTACGCCGGAGCCTGCTCAGGTAGGTTCGCCGAAGCGGCTTAGATCGCAAGCAGATCTTCGCAAGTAGAAAACTGCATAAGAGAATCTGTACACGCAGGAGCCTACTCAAGCAGGTTTGCCGACGCAGCTTGGATTGTGTTGTAGTACATAAGGTGCTGCCTGCAACCAACGGCGTTGTTTTTGGGACAGTTATAAGCCTAGTTATCTACAGCTGTTATGCCTTAGTGGTATAAGTGCAGCTTTAGCGTCTAAGCGTTATAGATACTGCAGGTTTAAATCCCGCGCAGGCTGAGGAAATGGCGGAAATGCACTAGTGGTAGTCATACTACAGGAGGATTCTTTTTGTCTGATGTGTTGTACTTCCCGTCCTGACAGCCATCAACAGCACCACCCTCATAGTTGCTTGTTCCTACAAAATGAAAGAATTATTTCGATATAGTTATTTGAAATGTATATGTGTCTGGAAAATGACGTATTCCTTGTGGTTGTCACAGTTCTCAGGGTTCGCAAGAGATCCGGACAGTCCCGCTTGATCATTCTTCGTGCATACTTCTCTGATGGCCCATATCCAACGGAAACCTTTCCATCGCCCGCCTTGAACGTGCGTACAACTTTCCGACGCAGAATGCATGTATCAAGCCTTTTGATTGCCGTCATACAAAACTTCACATAAAGTGTTGATATCTCGAGGCAAAAACTTCGCTCGGTACGGCCTGGGCATAGACACAAGTGATGTGGCATCGGCGTTCCCAGAAATGGGGAGATGGTCAACGTCGTCGTACTTCTCAATCTTGAAGCTGTTGAGAAGCCTCATATAGACAATGTACAGTTCTCGGTTGGCCAGGAGATAGCCGGTGCACATGCGGTAGCCAATGCCATACGTGAACAAAGGCGCGTCGGGCTGCTCCAGCCAACGTTCGGGACGGAAGACTTCGGGGTCGGGCCAGAGCTCAGAGTCTAAGATGAGTCAACGATTCGTTCGAAAGATGAGGATTATTGTTTCAATAAGGCTTACCCATGTTACAAGCCCATGCATTAAGGAATATCACAGAGCCCTTGGGGATTATCGTCTGTCCGTAAGGAACATCGCGTACAGACGCTCGAGGGAGGGCGAGTCGTAGAACGGTGTAATATCTCAGCGACTCTTTAACCAACGCCACGATGTACTTGCACTCCCGGTCGTCTTTTGCATTGCACATGGGCTGCTTCTCGCTGTAGAAATCTCGAATGGCCACAACAGCCTTGTCTTGAATGTCCGGTCGCTGAGCTAGCATGGCAACAAACCAAGCCACCTGTGTAGTGAGGGTGTCAAGTCCGCCGGAAAGCATAGTCAGACTAATAGAGGTCAGCTCCGCCTTGTTGAGCTTTGCTTCTTTGTCCATGATGACATTCGCCTGAATGCATGGTTTGTGGGTGCCGTTCGCCATGCGCTCGTCGAGACTCCTGTTCAACGCCGTGAGGTAGGCGTCACGTCTGTTGCGCATCTCGCGTGCCTTAGCCGACTGCATGTTGACGGGGTTGAGCCGAAGTAAAGGGATATAGTCTTGAAGATTACCAGTGGTGGATCGGAAGCGGCTGATTTCTTCCTCGACATGAGTAATCTCCTTGAAGAGTCCATCTTTCTGACTGCTCATGCGAACCCCCCAATTGAGCGTCAACGCCAAAGATAGTGAAAAGCGCTGAATCATTGGCATTGGATCAACAGGGTCCTGTCCAGCCTTTCCATACTCATATAATTCTTTAATGAAGTCTCTGGATTCAACGTCAAGATGAGGTACATATGTCGAGACAGAGGGTCGGTTCAAAGCCGAAGCAGCACCCTTACGGCGACGCTTCAGGGAATCGCTGTATGGAGAAGTACCAATGGTGGTTCCGGCGGTGTCTGAAAGAACCTGTGCGTTTCTTGTCAGGTCCCAGAAGTAGATGATAGGTTTCAGCGGATAAAGGATTGATGTGCTTCCACTTACCTTGTGAAAAGTGTAGAACTCTGGACGCGAACTGAGGGCCTGGGCATGCCGCCCGAAAAGAACCTTGGCCGCTGCAGAAGTGTTTACAACGACTATGGGGACATTTCCCAGCTGTATTTGGTAAACTCCTCCAAACTCTTGGGCCCATCTACGGTATTGTTCGGCTGCATTGAACCGGATGTCCCAGAGATTACCGATGAGGGGCATCCCTCGAGGACCATCGAGCTTAGCAATCCTGGCATTCGCGCGAATGAACTCGTTTGCAACGATGTAGATAATGGATACGAGAAGAACCGAAATGGCAACCGACTGCAAAGCATGATCGAGAACCCTCTGCTTCAAAGCCAAGATGACTGTTATGATAGCCATGACGATGACATGCTATTTCTACAGTCATGGTATTTGGGAATCGTGTGAGATGATTGCTTCAGTTAATATTGGTAAAAGTTCTTCCAGACTCTACTGTCGGTATGAAATATACATGTGAAAATTCCAAAGTTTGCCATCTGTCACCAGCTTTGATACCATGGCCTAATCATTGCAGGCAGTCCCGTCGGTTCTCATCGGCACAATGCTACAGCGGACAGCACACGCGCTGCTACATTATAAACCTGTCGGAATCAACATCAACCTCGGGCTGTGTCCCACCCCTTCAGGTCTCTTGCAGATACAAGCCGGGAGGACACCCCGCACGGGATGTTGCAGTTGTGTGTGGATAATGCGGGGTGCGGAACCTACAATTGGCTATGTTTCGAGACCCAAGAAAGCTCAGACACTTCTTTTGCGAGGTTGTACACCCCATAGGCCAAAGTGAGTTTTTTTCCAAGCCCAAATGATACGGAGTTACTTGCTTTACAACGGGTGGGGTCGGCTGAGCTAGAGCGTTCTCACAGACCTCCCATCAGATCTAAAGGCATGCAAGGGAGTCCAAGCTACAGAATACTTGGCTTGATTTCCTTCTCAGAAGGAACATATGTACAATTACTTGTAAATCCTGTTGTTTCGATAGGTAAATTCCTATGAATCCTCACTGGGCTTGAGACTGGGCAGGTCAGAGATGGATTAGGTCACGATGGGTGTGAGCCATGCCTTTTATATCCCCAGAGGCTTTGGTCATCAGTCTGCGTTTCCCACAATCGTGTAAAGGTTCTGGCACAGAGGCATCCTGACGAAGCCCAGCACACTGATTCCGTTTCCAAACCACGACAGTGAGCCTGTTGGGTTAAGGTTGGTGTAGTTCAACTTCAAGGCGTTCTTCATCCAACCGCCTTCCAAACAATCGCCATAGGCAGCCACGACGATGTCCTCCTTCGTCACTCCGCACCATTGCGTGTCGTCCATTGTTTATGTGCCGCAGAATGCTGATCATCACGCGGTCAGAGGAAAGGTAGTGAAAATTTATCCAAATGATACGCCTATGAGCATAACAGAGAATATCCTATGGACGAAAAGTGATATTGGAGAAAGCAGAGAACAGCGCACATAAATATCAACTCTGACGGTATATGTAAGATTCTCGCCGAGGAAGATGCTGCTTGTATTGCGTAGAAATATAAGCAACGCAGTAATCAGCATCTTCCATGAGGACCAAACCAAAGAGAACACCTAACTAGAGAGACGTAAATATGAAAGATACATAGTGAGCAGATGGACTAAAACGTGTGCCTCAATCGAAACGCAAGATATATACATTGAGAAATCGATAGGACGGACGACTGGCCAAACAGGGCAGAAAGGGGTGAACCCCAGACCAACCTCCAAACTCTTATACACATGGCAAAACGTGTACGAGTCAATATGTCTAATAATTCTCAGATCCAATCTAGAAAGATATTTTCGAAAAGCTGGATATTGACAGAGCAATCGTCAAAATGGTAATTTGTTTAGTGGTAATAAGAATAAAAGCAATAATAGTGCGGTAATGACTGTGTGTATTCTACTGTAGCGACTAACTGTGTTTGTAATAATTATGATTCCCTTCTCTGTAATGACTGTGATCATCGTCTACCTGGCAACTGCCCCCCTTACTTGGGACTTTGGCTGGCAACGAACCCATCCTCTCGCGATATATGATATCCGGGTCCATGAAGCAACAAAAGTGTCTTTTCTTCTAGGACTTGATGGTATGAAGGCCGCTTTCCAATCACTTGTCCTCTTTCTTCACATCGATAGTCCATTGGAGACAGAGGCCTGCTTGGTTCCCCCCCGATGGCGTCTCTGCGTCTTCAGGGCGCGGTTTGCCTAGCAATATGTCAGTTCTTCACAATACAATGCAAGTTGGAATGTCTTTCACTCACACATAAGCAGCGATTGCAACTGCCTGCGGCATTGATTCGGATCTTCCCTCAGCCAATCGAGGGCGGATTCGAGGTTAGACCCCCTCCCCTTAGGCTCGCACCAACGAGTATGAGGCTTGCCCTTTTCATTGTCGAGCTTCCCATTGGAATTCTCCCGGCCGGGTTTGACGACATGTATGATGAATCTGTATGACGAAATCTTCTTCCCGTCTTTGTTGTCGTAGACTGAAATACCCTTCGTCTTGGCCATCTTGCCGTCAGTCTTCGCGTTGAACCAGTCGTCGTCACTCCATTTCTTCTTGTGTGCCTCTTTGCAGAAGTCTTCAACCCATTGAGCGGCCGTATTCTTGTCGAACCTGAGACCTCCAGTACTGCATGTCTGGGTCCATCTAGGAATCGGCGCCGAGGACGTCGTACTGGTCTTTTGAGTAGTTGCTGTTTGAATCGGTTGGACAATCAGTGTCGAGCCTTCCTTGGGCAAGGGTCGAAGAGTCGTCGAGGCTGAAGCTGGGCTTGCGGTCTTTGTCTTTGTCTTTGTCTTTGGGAAACAATTACACACCTTGCCTCTGCCGACCGAGAGACCTAAAGGTGCGCATCTACCAGTCTTCCCCTCGGGGCAATGCTTGCAGTCATTATCGGTTAGGCATGTTGGGTCGCTGGTCTGTATCTTCGGCAAGCAATTACAAACCCTTCCCCTGCCTCTCGATAGACCGAGAAGCACACACTTACCCATCTCTCCGTGGGGGCATGACTTGCAATCGTCGTCTTTGGAGCACGCTGGGGAGGTCGAGGCAGGTGTTGTGATGGAAGCTGGCGGTGGCTTGGATGTCACTGATGGCAGTCCGGTGGTCTCGGCTATGTTCGTGGCCGAATATGCGGGTTTCCTCATGGAAGAAATTCCAGGAAGTTCACAGACTGCTGGGTTCAAACCGTCTCGTCGCACTACTACCTCGCAATCTGGCCACTGCCATGACATCTTGATTTCCCAGTTCGATTCCGGCAGTCCTTGGAGAATTTTCCATTTCAGTTTGTGAGACTTATATGTCGCGCCGAGACTGTTATTGGAGATCTCCTTAGACCGTCTCTCGAGGTCGGAGAAGTTCTCGAGGAGCTGGTCTTTCAATAGTCCTACTTGGCTTGAGACCGTTTCCTTCACCCCTTGGCCGTTGTTGCTGAGCTGCTTGTTCATATGGTCTCTGAAAAGCGGTGCGAAAAAAAAGCCTCCTGGTTTTGTGAAGAGCTGAATCGTAGGGTTCTGAGCTGCTAACTCCCGGTCTACTCGCTGACTGTCGTCACTGGGTCAGCTAGCCAAGCCAAACCGCATGTTGTCACATATTTGCGTCAAGATTGCACGTCAAACTCACAATTCTTTGTATATCCTCGAGTTTGTCTTTTGTGCCAACTCCATGGAAGCCTCGATATTACTCAAGGCAACTCCATGTCTTATGCGGTGGAGGAAATCCAATTGCGCATCCACTGCTTCAAGTGCCTCATCAATTGATGAACCAACAACCTTTTTTCCTCTCGCATCTTGAACTCTTCTCATGAGAGTCGGCAGACTCCTTACAATTCCCTATAATAAATGAGTTACAAGATGTTCTTGGATTGAATAGCCTAGACGAATCTTGGAATGTTCATTCAACCATTGTGTCATCCTAGCAAACTCCACGTTCTCCTTTGAGGGCAAGGCTTTGTGCACCTTGAAGAGTAAGTTCTGGGTCCCTTTCGCATTGTTTCCATGGGCGTTGAAAATGTAACGTTTGAAGTCGTTCCAGGTCATGGTTTCCTCTTTCTTTTGCCCAACACCTGGATCATCAAGAACTATCGTGCTTAAGAACTCAGTCAGCCAGCTCTTCTCCCATACATGGTCCAATGATGGCCTGTTAGCACATCTCTTCAGACCAAAGACCGAGCAAGTGGACGCGAGGCTGCGGCCCAGCGAAACAGGGAAACCATGTTCTCCTATCGGAGTTGCTGGTCTGCCATTGCTCGAGACGCTCCATCCACAAGCCAGATCGGAAAGACAGATTGGATAGGCAACTGCTGCGTCTGTCACTTCCCAGCGCCAAATCTCGGCCGGACGCTCCCTCGAGCCCTATGCGCAAGACATCTCCGCCCGCCTGATCAGCCATGGCCGGCTGGGATCTGGGCCACTGGGTGCGAGGGGGGGGGGGGGGGGGGGGTTGGCTGACGCGGCCAACGGACTTTCTTTTTACTGATTTGGCCAGGCCTCGAGGAGATCAACGAGACCGGCACAAAACAATGTGTCAGGCTTAGGTACGGGAGTGACTTGGGGCAAAGGTGAACTTGGAGGCGGGGGTCACGAGGTCAACGTTACAAGACGGAGCAAAGGTTTCAGCACCAAATCGTTGTTGGCGTCAACGTGTAACTGTCTTCACTGACATTAACAGCGTGTTTGACACCGTGTCAAGGCACCCTTTCCTACCCTAGTTCTAAATCCAGCGATGAACCGGACCCTGGCGACGCAGGGACGGGAGAAGAGATACTCACTCCCTTCTCCGCCCCGCGCAGTTCTATCTAGCATTGTGTACCGATCAAAACTTTTCAAAAAGCCACGACCTTGTATTATGATAACCGTGAAAAGCCCGTTTACCCCCTCTTGGACCGCCCTCCTCCGAGTGGCCCCACTCCCTCCCAGGAAAAAAAGCAAACAAAAACAAGCCGGTGTGGAAGGGAGAAGGAGGGGGGCATTCGTTCCCTTCGTGAAACACATGCAGCGCCGGACCACATGTTCTCCGCAGATGAGCGCATGCGCATGCGCGCTTATTTGGGGAAGACGGCCTTGCCGGCAGCCTTGGCGGCGGCGAGGGCGCCGGAGAGGCCAAACTGGCTGGCGACGCCGTCAATGCGGTGGTTGGCGTTCAGGTTCTTGACGACGACGATCTGGAAGCAGGTGGCGCTGCCCTGGCGCGAAGCAATGACGGACCACGCCAGGAACAGCTCCCAGATGCGGTACCACTTCTGGCCGTACTTGGCGTTGACGGTCTCGGCGTTGCCGAGCCAGTTACGGTACCAGCGCCAGAGGGTGCCGGAGTAGTGGACGCCGATGGTGTCGACGCTGTTTGGCGCGTGTCAGTTGTTATTTTGCAGCGACGATGATATGGATGGGTGGTTATTTGTGTGCTTCTTACCTCTTGATTTCCCAGCCGGCGCTCTCGAGGCAGCCGACGTAGTTGGCGAGCGGGGTGGAGGCGTCGGCGCCGGGGAAGATGTGCTTGTTCAGGTACAGACCCCAGATGAAGTCCTCGTACTGCCAGGCCTTGCGCAGACCGGAGAGCTGGACATACATGGCACCATCGTCCTCGAGCATGTCGTAGCATTGGCGGAAGAAAGTGGTGAGCCTGCGGATACCGACGTGCTCGCCCATCTCGATCTGGGAGATCTTGTTGAACTTCTTGGTGGGGATGTCGCGGTAGTCCATGCAGAGGATCCTGCTCTGGGTCTCGGGGATGCCGGCGCGGCGGAGGGCGTCGTTGCCCCAGGCGGCCTGGTTGGTGGCGATGGTGGCTCCGGTAACGTGGGCGCCGTAGTTGACGCTGGCGAACTTGGCGAGGGTGCCCCATCCGCAGCCGATATCGAGCATGGTCTCGCCCTCCTTGAGACCGAGCTTCTCGCAAACAATAGCCAACTTGTTGTCCTGCATCTCCTCGAGCGTCTCCTCACGGTCAATGTCGGAGAAGATACCGCTGGTGTAGACCATGCGGGGGCCGAGGAAGTACGAGTAGTGGTCGTTGCCCTTGTCGTAGGTGGGACGGATCTGGTCCTCGTCCTGCTGACGCGAGTGGAACAGCACGTCGGGGGCGAACTCAAAGAAGATGAAGTAGAAGAGGGACCAGGTGAAGGCAAAGTTGGACCAGTCGTGGCGGTACTCGAGGGCGTCGAGGAGGTCACCGTTGACGTCGACGAGGCCCTCGGTGTACATCTCAGCGAAGGTCTGGATGGGGATCTTGTTGCGACCGCTCCATCGCTGGCGGTCCTCCTGGTTCTTGAAAGTGATGTAGTGCTCGACAGGGCGGCCGGGGAGCTTGGCCTTGTCGTTGATGCGCGGGGCGAACCTCGTGGAGATGTACCAGAAGCCAACGAGCAGGGGGACGACCAAGAGGACGAAGAAGAAGATGAAGGTCTTCAGGCCGCCGCCGAAGATGCGGGTGATCCAGAAAGGAACACCCAGAAGGACAGCTCCGAGAAGGTAGTTGGAGAAAGACTCATTGCCAGGGCCTTCGGCGGGAAGGGGAGGGTTATTGATGGTAGGGTACTGTGAGAGAGAGAAAGAGCGAAAGGTTAGCATTGGATCGTGGCGTGCGATGACAACATGTCACGGCGAGGCCAATTGGCGCGGAACAGCGTTTCAATTGGGCCCCAACGGACGTCAAAAAAGGGGGTGATGCGATACTCACGTTGGTCGTCTTGACACCGCAGTCCTCGTTCGTCTTGAACTTGGAGGGCTGGGCCGCAGGGGTAGCAATGAAAGTAATGTCACTCTCAAGCTCGGCGCCCTGCTGGCGCTTCTCGGAGGCCATGGTGAAGGGCGTTGCCTTGGGGAGGAGGTGGTTTGCTCAAAGGCTTGCGGACTGTGTATATCGCGCAGCTCCTTTTTTTCGGGTGTGTGTGTGCGATGTGTGTGGTTGGACATGTTTGGAGTTTTGGAGGTGTGGACAGATTTAAAGCTGCAAAGCTGCACACTGCAATCCGAACCAGTCGGGGTCTGCCCCCCCACTCCATGGTTCTGGTTTCTAAAGTAAACAGATTGCAGCGTTTCTCGGACACCCACCGCCAAATTGGAACATCCCCGCTTTTACGGACGGTTTCCAGCAGAGGGGGGGTTGCACGGGACTGGCTGAAGAGGGTCGTGGATGGGTTGATAGACGCCGAGACACCCCTGCGGCCCCATGGATTGCCAGGCCGTTGAGGCCACATAGGTATCCGTACTCGGTACGGATAGTGTGTATTACTACGTAGTACGTAGGAGAAAAGTCTTCACCGCCCGTGAAAAGTAGGGGTCCCGGTCGTTTGTCCCAGTTCTCTCCTTTCCCCAGATTGCCAATCTTGCTTGCGTTGCCTGAGATAGGATTGTCGCGAATCAGCATGCACAAAACCATGATGCATCATCAATCGCCGCAAGTCCAGACAACTGACTAATACCATGTACTATCATACCTACTATCATACTACCATGCATGTATGTCATGTCCCACTTGTGCAAACTACGGTACAGGACCAGTGCTAACCACGGATTTGTGCCTGTACCTGGGTAAACAGTAATACCGAGTACCTGTATTTTCAGGCTGTGATGGGGCGAAGCAGCCAATCGAATCCCGTCCCTGACGCAGTCGGACAGCATCAACCTTGATGATCTTCGTCTCGTATTCCGAGGCCACGACGTGCGAAGCCCTGACGTCCAAATTAGGTAGTTTAGCCTCCGAACCGGCTGGCCCCTGGCGGGAATGGCCATCACATGCTGCTGTCGCGCGGAAAAAACCTTGTCCAAAGTGTGTGCGTGTGTACGCAGTAATACTGGTTCGCATTCGGGCCGGAGAGTGTGTACCTGCCTGGACGGTATCAGTGGGTCCTTCCCGCCTCTGGCGGTGTGGGTGGGTATATGCCTACCTACCTGTCCGCTTGCCCGTCCCCGGCGCCGGTCCTGCTGATGCCGAACGGCGGTAGTTCCGGGGCTGCGAGGCTTGATTTGGCAACGGCATGGAGAGATTGCTGAGCAGTGTGGCGTGGCAAGGGAGTCGGGCTTGTTTGAACGGAAACAACCCACACAGCCCACGTCACAGTAATCGATTCCAGAGACGTGCGCCCGAGAGGTAACAGATGTGGAAAATATTACATATATCAACTACAGCTTGCGTACCTCATCAGGAGCGGTCCGACTCCAATCTAACCACAGGCCGTGTGACCACACAGCCGCCATCGTATGCGTCAATGTCGATAATCTATCTACCCCAACTCCTAAACACCCAAACGTGATCCCAGCCTCATCCGGAAGCCTCTGCCCACACCCACACGAGCGAGCAAGCAAACTTGTTGGTATCACAGGGATCGCGATTATAAAGCAGTAATAGTTCAATTAACTACTAGTTGCTTGTTAAGATAGATAATTAGAAAAAGAAGAAGAAGTTGTTGCTGCGGATATTTGTGGTGGTGTAAGTGAGCCGCTAGGGTAAGTCACGTAATAGTAAATCACGTGACTATAGATTAGCTTTACTATTAAACAGTTAAATATCCTAACACTAGTAACTTTCTAAAGTAAAGGAAAATCGCTATAAATAGCCTAGATACTGCCTAGCAGCTAAAAAGCTTAAAAACGTAATAAAAATTAAAAGTATAAAAGTATTTAATACTTTTTATCTATATAATCTGTTATATAGCTTAAGAAACCTATCCTTTTATATTAATTTAAACTATCCTGTTTCTAACTAGTTATTTTAGCGCCTTATTAGGTAATAATTTAGTAAATCTATTAGTAAGATTATTATTACCTTATATTTATTATACCTTATAGACCTTATATTACTTATATAACTACTAAAGGGCTATAATATTAATTATAAGCCTTTTTTTTTTATAGTCCTAAGCTTAATAAGGCACTTATAGAGTAAGTATAAGTTAGTATAAAGGATTATTAGTATATATAGTAGCTTAAGGTAGTTAGTAATTATTATAATAGTTATACTAAGTATATAAGTAACGTTAGTACTAGTAACTATACTATAGATCTTAAAGGCTAGTATACTTTAGGTAACTTACTTACACTTTATTAAGCTAAAGTAAATAATATTACTAGTTATAGTAAATCTATTACCTATAGTAGTACTTATAAGTGCCTTATTAGTAAGAATAATAATAAATCCTAGCTATAAAGTAAAGTCCTTTAAGTATCTACACTTTTAGATTATTAGCCTTAAGGGTATAGTAGATTTATTTAGTAATAGTTAGTAACTTTACTATTAATACTTATATACCCTTATATATTAGGTAGTCTTTAAATTTAATAATAGTTTTATAAGTAGTACCTTTAAAGGTATTAAGTAACTATTCTTTAAAGTCTTTAGTAGTATATCTTTATAGCTATTAACTATATAACTATATAAAGCTATATTATATTATTTAGAGTATAATAATAGTACTTAAGGCGTTATATTACTTAACTTAGGTAAGGCTATTAGGAATATTAGCTAAATTAGTTATACCTTATAGTTATATAATAATAAAGGGCTAGCTACACTTTAGGATAAAATATAGATCCTTAATATCCTATAGATAGATATACTTCTTTACCCTAGCTAGCGCCTATAGTTTACTTTACCTTTTACTTAGTCCTTCCTTTACTATTATTACTTTCTATTAGCCTTACTAACCTCTTAAATATAGGCACTTACTTTTTACCTATAGGGTTAAAGGTAAATCTATATATTAAAGGAATTACTACTATTAGTATAAATAATAATAAAATAAGTAGATAAATAATATAATATAAGGAGGTATAAGTAAGAGATAAAGTAAATAAAGAGATAAAATAATAAATAAATAGATAGTAGTAGATAGCTTTAAGGAGGCCTTACGCTTTAGTAACATAAAGAGATAGCTTTAGGGAGGCCTTACGCTTTAGTAATATAAAAAGATAGCTCTAGGGAGGCCTTACGCTAGATCTTACTTAAAGAACAAGAGGAGACATATACTATCTCTAAAAAGAGATATATATAGACCTTACTTTTTAGTAAGTAGGATACTATAGTTAAAGATTTTTAAAGGAAAAAAAGTAAAAAGTTAAGGTTATATACCTTACTTAAAGGTAAATAATAAGTAGTCTTCTTAAATTAATTAAGATAATAAAGTTAAGTAAAAGTTATATTAGTTACTAATAACTATACCTTACTTAAAAAAAAAAAAAAGTAAGGAGGATAGTATAGTTATTAATAGGTATTTAAAGGATAAAAAAAAGCAGGTAAATTAAGGTAATATAAGTAACCTCTACCTTTTTTACCTTACTTAAAGAATAAAAAGAGGTATACTTACTAAAGGTAACACTTAGCTACTAATTATCTAGTTAAGGGAGGAAGTTATAATTACTATAGGCTACGCCTAGCTAATAATATAATATTAGAAGTATATAAAAGTAAAATTAGTAAAAGCTATTTACTTATAAATACTATATTAAAAGTAGATTACTTAGGTAGTTTTTACTTAACTACTTTATAGCTAGTCCTACTAGTAAGATCTTATTTAGATAAGAACTTATAGAAGTCTATTTACTTATAATTTTATATAAGCTATTACTACTATAGTAAGATAAAAACTTAGTAAGATAAAAATCTTAATAATTAAAGGAAAAAAAGGTTAAAGGATAAAAAGAAAAAGAACTTAAAAAAACTTAGGTATAAAAAGAAGATAATTATACTAAATACTATAAAGGTTATTAGTAAGTAAGTAGTATATAAAGGAAAGGACTTTTCTAAAAGTAATAAAGTTAATAGTAGTAATAGTAGTTATTATATAGTAGACATAAGGCTTAAAGGGTTATTTGCTAGGTATTATAAGATCTTAGGTACTAATAATCTTTAGGCTAGGTAGCACTTTAATACTTTAATCTAAGCTGCTATAGTAAGTAAAGTATTATAAGCCTCTTCTAATAATCCTTACTAATCTATAGTAGTAGTAACTATAAAGTTAACTACTAATTAGTGTTAGTATTATAGGGATTATAATCGTAAAGTAGTAATAGTTTAATTAACTACTAGTTGCTTGTTAAGATAGATAATTAGAAAAAGAAGAAGAAGTTGTTACTGTAGATATTTATAGTAGTGTAAGTAAGCCACCAGGGTGAGTCACGTGATGGTAAATCACGTGACTATGGATTGGCTCCACTATTGAACAGTTGAATATCCTGACAAAACTACTCCGCCTCACCTCCACACCATGTTACGGCTCTGTCTACGGTTCTGCTGCCACAGCGGCTTGCCGTCAGCTCCCTCGGCCTGCTGCTGCGCCGAGTCTGTCCCGGAGCCGCTGCTGTAGGGATTCCCGGCGGCCGTGCTGCTCCCCGAGCTCGTCGGGCGGTATTCCTCGCGCACGGGCAAGGGGGCGTCGTTGTAGCCGCGCGTGAAGTCTTCGTTCTCGGTCGATTGCGTCAGCGGAACACCTTCACCGGTGGAGTGGGACGCGCCGTGGGCCGGGTTGTAGCCCCCGGGTCCGGCGTGCGGCGGCGTGCCGGCGGCTTTGCCTCCTGAGATGGAGGTCGTCGTTCCGTGGGCGCCGGGCATCATAGCCGGGTGGCCGTAGCCTGCCTGGTCAAACATCATCTCACCGCCGGGAACGGCAGAAAATTCCTTCGAGTTGGGCTCCGGGCTGGTTGGGCAAAGTTAGCTATGTGTTGCCCCCGTGGGAAATCTCGCACCAAGGTCAATGACTTACACAAATGACGGGCCCTTGCCGGCACCGGGTCCGAGGCGTCGGTTACGGCGGCGATTGCGCTTGCACATCCACAGAGCCACCGAGATGATAGCTACAAGGACGGCAGCGCCACCGATGGCTCCGCCGATAGTAGCGCTGTGGCGTCTGTTTGCTGCCTCGGCCGCGCCTGGCGGCGGGCCGGCGGCGCCGGAGGGTGAGCTCTGAGCTTCGGTAGCCGATGCTGACTGCGTCGTAGAAGATGCCGAGGTGGAGGTTGTCGAGGAGCTGGAGCTGGAGCTGGTACTCGACGAGCTCGAGGCTGTAGTAGAGGTTGTCGAGGACGAAGTGCTCGAGCTGGAAGAGCTGGTGGATAACGACGACGAAGAAGTCTCCTCTCTCGTGATGACCGAGACCCGGGTGATTGCGACAGTCGTGCTGAGACCCGAAGCAGTGGCCAATACGGTTGCGCCCTGGCTGGACGTACCGCATCCATACTGGTAGGCGCCTCCATCATAGGTGTTACGGTAGCACACGTTAGATCCCTGGCATGTAAAGATGTAAGGGTCAGATGCTGTTTGTGTCGGGCTGTTGCCGTCCACGCAGCTGGTGTAAATGCCGGTCGAGCAGGCGACGCCGTTCGGGCAGCATCCGACGGCGGAGGCGGAGGCATCCATGGCGCAATGAGATCCGGCGGAGCATGTTGCCGGGAGGTTAGGGTCGCCACTGATGTAGCCGCAAACGGTGTTGGTGCTGTCGTCCTGCCTCCTCATCATGCCGAGCCATGGCGCCGGGGTAGCCAGCGGCCAGCTGCGAACATCCAACGTCCGGAGAGCAATCTGTGCTTGTGTCTGAGGGGGAAGGGCGCCGGCCTCGGTGAGGGCGAAGATACTGCTGAGGAGCAAAACGGCCGTCGTGGGCGGCAGGCGCATGAAGCCGTCGCTAAGCAACATCCTGAAAGTCGGGAGGGCTGCTTGCCCGCTTGTATGCCCAGATCAGTTTCTACTCAGTCTTCTTTTGATCCGTCCGAGGAGCAACTTGGATAGAAGTGTTGTTATATACGACTAGGTTTGGAGATGTGTGGCTCTTCACAAGATCAAGAATAGCATAAAGCATAAAATGAGACAAGAGCAAGAAATGGGATATGTGTAGAATAATAGGCCAGGAACAGGCAGAAGCAAATCAACAGGGAGGAGGGACCGGCCCAGAGGAAGAATCGGGCGACGAGGTGCAATTTAGGTCGGAACTGAGGCCATGAGGGAAGAGGGAGGGGGGGTGTAATAATCCTCCGGGCTTCGGGGGTGTGACGGGTAGCAAGCGATAGAGGCTGAGGCTGGTTGGGTTGGGGAGTTGCGTCGCAAGGATCATAAGCATGCACCTTTTGCCAGGCTCCAAAAAAGGGCCTCCCCCCCCCCGGTAAAGCACTGCGCTCTACCATGATAACGTAACAGCGGGTTCGCGTCGCTCGGGGCGTGGCCGAGGAGTCTGAAGATCTCTCTCCCTTGAGATAGATGGATGCATGCTGCCCGTATGCTGTGGCGATGAGGCAAATGCGCCCGAGACCAGTCCGTGCAGATCTGAGAACCTCGGATTGTACACACACCATAAGGAGATTTCGGTGCCGGTGAGCGCCATGCCATGTTAGTCAGGTTCGTGATGTGATGGAGGTGCGTCGTCTCGTTTGCTCCGTCGGCCACAGGCTCTTCTTTTTGGGTGCATGGCTCCCGTCCGCTCTACATGAGCTGATACGATCGCAAGGCAGCTTCGGCCCCCAAAGCCGCCAAAGCTGTGTTTCTCCCCTCGTTGGAAGCTGAAGCGTCACCCGCGGCTTGGGGGCGCTCTTGGCTTCTTCTTCTTCTCCCTCTCCACCTTTTTTTTGGGGGGGGGGGGCGCGATATGCCAAGATTGCCGCTGACACGTTGGTTCCGGACCGAAATCAACAAGCGTAGAAAACACGGGTAGCAGTAGTTCGAAGGGGGACATTGACGGAACAGACCCAACAGCTGGACGGAGTTGGTACGGGTAGGGTAGTGTAGTGTACTACGTAGTGTAATAAGTGTAGGTAGTAGTAGTAAGGGACGTTGCAGAGGGGCCGCCCAGTGAGGCGCATCGTCCTCGCTTGTCTGCGCTGCCTCCACCAAGTCAGATCCTCCGGACATTGCTTATGTAATTCGCACTGTCATCATGTGCTATCTAATCCTCTTTCGTACAGTAGTACAGTGTTAGCTCGTACCCCGCTAGCGGGGCAATCGGACTGCTTTTTTTATACCCGCGCTAACAGAAACTCCCGAGCCGGGGAGGGGGGTGTTCCTGTTCCCCGTGGCGATGCTGTCGAATCAGAGAGTCAGGGTCCGGTCCCCCCCCCCCATGAGGGAGAGGATTCTCATCCCGGCCTGTGATGAGCATGTCCTGTTGTTCTGCTCCGTACACTACTACCTACCGTAGTTGCCTATCTGCCTTCTGAATTGCTCAAACTACCTACAAATGCCGGCGTCTGCATGCCGCGGCGACTTATCCGTACCTTGGGTACATTCGTTGGCTACCCACCTATATCCAATGTACTCATATTGCTGGAAAGCAACGCTGTGTTGTTTCATCACCAACCCGGTCCGATTGGCCTAATGCAAAAGCAACCACCGTAAGACTCCTCCGTACCTACGTACGGTAGGTAGTAATAAAATGTCTTAGCCTCGGACGTGGCCCTGACTCCCTGTGCCACGTCCGTGCTGCGCTCCAACAATCGTGTCACCCTCGACAAACATGTCTGTCTAAACATCGGCCCCCCTCCCAGTGGCGCCGGTCCTGTCATCACTGTCACCCTCTCATCCATGGTGCCATTTGCATCATCGTCGGTCACCATGCCGTCTTCCCTTTGCTTCTTATGCTTCTTCTTCTTCTTCTTCCTCTGTTCGGTCCTTTTGGCTTGCCGAGCTCCTTCTTGGCAGACTTCCGCTCCACCCTGCCCTGTCTCCTCTCTTACCTCACTAGCCTGAAAACTCGCTGCCTCCCCCTTCGGCACGATGCCTGGTTGCATGGCGTTGAGCAGCACGAGTGCAAGAACCTTGGGTAGTGCCTCAAGCCCGGACGCCCAAGTATCCGTTAGCGAGGACGGGGTTGCCCATGTTCGCCCCTGGTCCGAACCCGACCAACCGAAAGACGATCCGGACTTGCGCAACATGTATATGGTATCCAGCCTGCTGCTGGTCTTTAGATTCCCGAGCGCGGGGGATGAAGGCAGTCCCCTCCCACGAGGCGCCCATGCAAACCACCCATCAAAACCTCAACCTCTGTCGGGGCGTCGGCTAGGATTATTAAGATTGTCATCCTGAGAAACTGCGCCTGCCTTCTTATAGATGATGACTTGGATGAGGTGTGCAATCAGTGACAGCCCAAATATCACCGCAACAGCTGTTATCTTGGAAGCTAGGATCCAAGACATGGTAGGAGTTACGTGCGTCAACCGGGGATGCTTCCATGCTTTCCCGTCACTGCTGTGGCGCATGAGGGTTGTGATTTTCGGACGGAGCTGCACTGGCGATTGACCTGGTGGTTGGCGTTGAAGTTGAACATGGAGCAGTCACGGTAGCTTGAAAGTTGGACGCTGGGGCATGTCGTCCGAACCCACGTCTGAAGTTGCCGATTTCTGTTATAGGTAACCAGATCCCTACAGATGCGCTCTCTGAAGCCGGGCCATCATCACAAACATAGATCGAAGAGGCTCAGCCCTGCGACGTTCGTAGTATCAATCCCTCGTGGCCACGTCGCCGAACGAAGCCCCTGAATCCTTCGAGAATCAACGCTAGATAGGCCGCAGCTGAGCCGGAAGAGAAAATGCTCTCGGCCCAGCCAGTACAGTAGTTGGGGAGAGACATTACGCGAATGACGGCTTTCCACCCCCCCCTCGGACGCGTTTTGTTGTAGACTGCGACGGCTCCAGGGCAGAAAATGCTATATACATGTTGAGTCCAATATCACATCCTAGATAAAGACACATCGCATTGGAAAGCGAGGGCTTGATGTAGGGGTGAGATGCCTGAGACTCCACGATGCGCCCAAAATTAAGCTGTTCCCATGACCCACTCGGTGTCTCTTGTTGAATTTGACCTGGATCCTACTGAGGCGGTGAGATTGGACATTCAGCAACACACACACACCGCTGGGTGCCGTACAAGTAGGGAGCCTGGCACTCGAGTGAGAAAAAGGAAAAGAAAAAGAAAAAAAGAATAAAAAAGGCCGGTATTCCATGCGACCTACCTATCTACTAATACACCGTATTGAGTGAGTGATAGATGCGTGAGTGAGTGAACAGATGAGTGAGTGTCAATTGAACCAAGCTTTTCTCCCCATGAGCCAAGGTGGGTAGCTGTCCCATCTTAGATCAGGTCCACCTGAAGGCGCTAACCCCAAACCAATGGAGATAGCAGCACGGGCCAATGGTAGTCAGTTGACCCAACCCCGCCACGGTCCCAGCAACTTACTCGTTTCCAGTAAAACCAAGTCCCCACCTTTTACCCCTGTTCGAACACGCCGCCGCAGCCGCAGCAGCAGCAGAAGTGGCAGCGCGGCTAGCCAGTAGTTGCCAGTTTATCTGATCGCGTCGTGTCAGGGTCCTCAGGCTCGGCATCCGTTCTTTTTTTTTTTTTTTCTGTTTACCGCTTCTTCTATGACCACAGACTGTCCGCGGCTTGGAAGAGCGAGCGAACGAGCGAGCGTGTATCCGTGCCGTTGCCAGGTGTGCTGCTGTCGCTTCTCGGCTGCAAAAAAAGCAAACGCAACACAGCGAAACACAACGTAGCACGACGTAACACAACGCAACTACTTCCGTAGACTACACGGCGTGCCGTCGATCTGCTGCTTGCTTACTATCGCCAATCTACGCTGACCACCCCCTCCAAAGGGATCCCCAAAGGAGCAATTACGTCGCCCTCTTCTTCCCGTCCATTGGCTAGCCCGACGAGCTCTCTGCTGCAGCCCGCCGCACCCGAGACAAGCACCGGCCCAACATGCCCATCCGCGTCAGGTCCAAGAAGCTGCCCAAGCCCCGGGACTTGAGCCCCGTGTCCTTGCACTTCGACTCGCTGGAGCTGCCTGACATCGACACGGACGACACTTTCCGCAATGTGGTCAAGAAGCTCTCCGTGTAAGTTTTGGAACCGGCCCCCTGTTCTAGACCGGATCCGGAGCAAACAATGCCACCTCCCTCGCCCGAGAGGCTCCGGTTGGAACGCATAGTGAGGCCGATGTGCTGATCAACTCCCCACCAGATACTTTGTCGACGTCATCGTGTTGCCCAGCACCTTTGAGCAGCTGCGCACCACGGCTGCCGGTGAGCCGTTGCGAGTCTTGGTCGATCACCTCAACGCTACTTGCACCAATCCTGCCATTGTGAATGCTCTGCTGTAAGTCTGTTGTAGAAACTGAACCGCCACCCTCCCGCGTCTCTCCACTGTCTCATTCTGACACAAACCGCAGCGCCCTCAAATGGCACTATGCCGTTGACGAGTCCGAGTCCAACAAGGGTCTCTGCGAAGCCCGCGCCAGCGCCTGTGAGATCGTCGCCTGGCGGTTCCTCACCCGCCTCTCGGAGCGCGAGGCCGTCGACTACTGTCTCTATGAGATTCCCGATCCCAAGGAGCCGCCGACGCCCCCGCCAAACGCCGACCTAGAGAGCAACGAGGACTCTCCTCTGCTCTCCGGCGGCAGCTGGTCCGGTAATGGCAGCCGCCGCTCCTCCGTGCGCCCTGGAAGCAGCGCCAAGCGCTACCAGCTCCTGTCATCTCTCTCCAGGCTCACGATGAGCATGCACGCCGACCAGGAAGAGGAAGAAGACGACGACCCGACCTCGCCCTTCACCAACCTCAACGCCCTCGAAATCGCCGCCGTCGCCGACGCCAAGCGCTTCCTCAGCCAACACGTCGTGCAGAAGATCATTACCGGCATCTGGAACGGCGACATCATCTTCTGGGACAGCCTCTCGGTCCACGCCCAGAAAAAGCCCCGCTTCTACAACGCCCACACGACCGACATCTTTTCCCGCCTGAGGGTCCCCAAGTACCTCAAGGCCTGGGAGGCCTTCTTCTTCTTCCTCTTCCTGTGCCTTTACTACTCCGTCCTCGTCGAGCAGAACACCGAACGCATCACCCACAACGAAATCGTCCTGTACATCTGGCTGGCTGCCTTCCTGTACGACGAGCTGAGCGAGTGGGCCGATGCCGGAACCATCTTCTACGCCACCGATGTCTGGAACCTTTTCGACATGATCATGATAGGCATTGGTATCGCCTTTGCTGTTCTTAGTACGCCAGCCTGCTTTTCTCTCTCTCTCTCTCTCTGTCTCTGCCTCTCTCTCCCATTCTTTTCTGGGCTAACCTGCCACAGGGGTCATCGGTATTGCCAATAACGACCGGCACATCACCAATACCGCCTTCAACGTCTTCGCGCTCGAGGCGCTGTTCATGGTGCCGCGGGTCTTCTCCCTCCTCAGCTTGTCGCCCTACTGGGGCACGCTAATCCCGTGTCTCAAGGAGATGGGCAAGGACTTTGTCAAATTCATGGTCCTTGTCGTCGTCATCTACCTCGGCTTCCTCACAACCTTCTCTCTCATCGGCCAGGACGCCTACAACTTCAGCCATATGACGATGATCCTCACAAAGATCTTCTTTGGCTCGGCGTACGTCGGCATCGAGATCATGGATGACATCGACAAGGTCTTTGGCCCCCCTCTCATGATCATCTTCATCATCCTTTCCTCCTTCTTGCTGATGGGCTCCCTGACGGGTATGCTGTCCAACTCCTTCTCCCGCGTCATCACCCACGCCCGCGAGGAGTACCTCTACGTGTACAGCGTCTACGTGCTCGAGGCCTCGACTAGCAACCGGCTCACGCACTTCTACCCGCCGTTCAACGTCATCGCCCTCGTCATCTTCCGGCCCTTGCGCCTCTTCCTCCCCTCGGACGACAAGTTCCGCCAAAGCCGCATCCTCCTGCTCAAGGCCACCCACCTCCCCATAGTCGGCCTCATCAGGATGTACGAGAGCATCCGCCGCCGCGTGATGCCCGACGAGTACGCCGGTTTCAAGGGACCACGTGGCGCGACGGGCGCGACGAGACAACGCTCGCGGGGCGCCTTCCAGGCCAACCGCCCGTCGTCTGGGTACCGCCCCGCGAGGTCCCCCCGTCCCGAGGAGCGCCTTGAGTCTCGCCATTCGTCACGCCCCCAGCACCGTGCCATCGAGGCCGATGAAGCTGACGCGCCTTCAGCCGTCGAGGTGCGCATCTCGGAGCTCAACGACAAGATTGACAAGCTCACGGCGCTTGTCGAGGCCCTCCAGCAGCGGCCCGGATCGCCCTCTTGAATATTTCAGTCATGATGGTTCTTGAAAAGGTAGATTGCCCTACACTCGGCTCGATCTTTGGGGCTTGTGTCAGTATAGTGTGTGTGTGCGCGCGCGCGTGTGTCTTGTTGCTTTACATGTTTGTGTGTGTGTGTGATATGAAGAGCTTTGGTTGGCTGTATCTGCGTTACCCGAGACATCCTGGGTGCGTTTGGTTTTAGCTTGGCGTACATGTGCTCTTATTTGTACTTGGTGAGATGGAAGCCAGTGAGCGTGGAACTGGGTGTAATTGGGTGTTGTTTTCAGTGTCATCATATTTGAAAGCTCGGAAGCTCGATAGTTGATCTGCCGTCTTGAAGGTAGATTATGCCAATGTGGACAAGGGCTTGGAATATGTTCTTCAAACTCGGCGAACTGGGAATAAAATACATCACATCACTCGTCATCATCACGCATCCAACTGTGATACGCGCTCTCAAGCAGTGGGCTTGATGTCGATAACATTATCCCTCTCGGCCGCGTGTGTGCAGCCCCCCCCCCCCCTCTAACCCACCTCAAGCGCTATGACCAAGAGGAACGAGACCAAAAAAAAAAAAAAAAAAAAAAAAAAAACCAACGCCGGCGCCGCGCCCCACTACATGCAAAAAGTCGCCATCGTACCCTCTCTCGCACTTGTCCACAACTTCGTCGAAGTGATGCATCAACAAAAACAACAAAAACGATTGACGAGCTTTCGCGCATCTGGAAATGTGACAAGAGTGGGATTCGAACCCACGCCAATTACTTGACTAGCACCTGAAGCTAGCGCCTTAGACCGCTCGGCCATCTTGCCTGATGGTTATTGAGGAGTCGGCGCAAAATGTGCCATTATGTTGCAGAGAATTCATCAGGTGGGGGGCGCGAGGGGAGGGGGAGGTGGGGATGCTGCCCGAAGTTAGGGATGCGGGTACCGGCATTCGTGGTTGGACGGCGCCCGCTTGAGTTCTTGTTTACGGGGACGTGGCTTGGATTGGCTGAGAGGTGACGAACCCTTGCGTCTTCTCTAGGCACCCTGTTCGTTAGATGAACGTCTGGTTCGACCCCGAGGAGGTGTTTGACCCCCAACGGCTGCCGGTCCGGACTCGGCTCCGACGGACCGGCCCCATACAGCCAGCCGATGCTTCAGACATGGCAAACCCCCCACCCCCAAACCCCTCGTCCGTCAAACACGTGGCGTGCGTCCCCTCTAAGTGAGACAGTCATCGCATAGCCTACGGTTTGAGGTGGTCTTGTTTCTGTCGGATCGGACTGGGGGGAAGAAAAGGCTACGTTCGACGACCAGTGTGTCAAACTCGCGTGTGCGCTACAGCGCAACCTACCCTATTCCTTTTACTGCGACGGCAATAACCAGCGCCGGGAAGACAGACCAGACCGGCTTGTCGTCAAGACGTTTTTCAACGTCATGGATGGGACCTCGACAAGTTGTATTTGATTCTTCCAAGTGCACACGGCCGCCGGCTCGAGCTAGGGGCTACAGAAACTAGAAATTCCCCAGCCTGAATGAACGTAGCGACAAGACTATGTGCACACGTACGCTGCCCACCGTTGCTCTTCACACCACTAGGGTGTCTCTGATCAAAACCGACGAAACGACGGGACCATGGCCGAGTCCACCGCCTGCAACCCATCTGGAGCTCTCGGGCCGTCATCTGATAATGACATCCGTACGCATGTCAAGGTTAAACCCAAACTCTCCGAGGTAAAGCCGAACAGCCATCTTGACTTCGAGGGCATCAGACAGTATGTTGGATCCCCTTTCAGAAGCAGAGGCCGTCCGTCCGGCTCCAAGGGGATCCTCATCCCCTCTCTTATGAATACCGTCCATGAGAAGGTCTTGCACCTCAAGAACGGGCCGCGATCTCAGCCACTTGTCGCTCCGCACAGTCTCCCAGAAGGACCTTTGCCTTTCTATCCTGACTTTTGTCAAGTCCCAATCCCATCTATGTTTCCGACAATACGCTCCGTCAACGAAGGGCTGTAGAGAGGCGTCTGCATCCCATCCCATCCCGTTCTTCCCTAAAGCAAATATAGACACTACATCTTGAGCAGCGGATAATGGATCGCTCTGCGGCATCAGACTTTGGAAGGCAGTCCGTTGCGTCCGCCACTGTTGCTGCATCTCGGAGCAAGGCAATATAAGGGATAGAGGTTTTCCATCGGCACCTGGTTGCCTATCGATTGCCGACAAGAGACTGGTGGTTAGGTCTGCCCAGTCTCTAAACTCCCTAAGGATCTCGACCGCGGAAAGTTCTGGCGGCTCTACCTGTACCTCCTGGAAGGACGGTATCTTTTTCGACGGTAAGAGAGCCCACAAAAGCTCTGTGATGGCTTCGAAGGACTCTATAAAACAATCTCCGAGCACGTACAGTTTGCGAGGCTTGCCATCATCCGTGTTTCCCAGAGGCAAGATACCGACGGCCTTGAAAGCATCTCGAAGAGTCCTGAGCCCTTTGTCGCATTCGGGGAGCGGCCGAAGGAATCTCTCCATCCTCTGCCAGCTTTCCCACAGCACCACTTCCGAGCGATACCGGGAGACCTTCAGGTCAAAAGCAATATCTAGTAGTGCTTCTCGTGCCTCTGTGTCGTTTTTCTGTATTGGTCCAACATCGTTCGGACGTGGCTGGAGAATCCTTTGCAAGTGCTCTGAGCACACGTGCTCCTCAGTGCCTGACAGTCTCTTCAGTAGCACGTTCCGCCTCAATAGCACCGCGTCACTGCCTGGAGATGAATCAAAACGCGGCACTGGAATCAAGCTCGGAGAGGGGCCCGGGGTGGCTGCACTAGGTTTTTGGGGCGATGGCAATGGCGGCGTTTCGAAAACCACGTCGCAGGCACAGACAAGACTGTGAGTGGTCCCGTCGTAGTTGGGCCTCATGATAGCGAATCCTTCAATACCGTAGAGCCAGTAAAGACCGTCTTCCGCCGAGATGATGTTCAACCAACTGGAAGATTGGCGAGAGCCACAGGGAGCTTTGGGCATGAGAACGACTGCTCGCCAAGCGGATCCGTGCCGGACAAAAGGCCGGACAATCCCTTTTTCGACAAAGGACTTGAAAGAATCCTTCAGGCTGCAAAGCTTTATGGCAATAAGGTGGAGGCCTGATGTCTGGGGGTTTATCTGGATGCTGACGTCTTCGAGGGGCTCGAAACCGAGCCCGGGCGCCCAGCTGGGTCCCTGGAGCAAGCGTTCCATAGCCACCCTTACTGCAGTATTGGAGTATTTCGATCTTGAAATGGATCTTGAGAGAAGACCGTGGATTCTCCAATCAGGTTTGAGGGGCTCGACAAAGTCAGGAACCCAAGTGGGCAGCCGCCGCCGTTTACCCCGGTTGATACCGGCGAAGAGAAGCACTTCTCGGCCCCTGCCACACTTCTGAACCAGCCATGGGGCGATCCCGATGCTGACCTCCTGAGACGTGAGGCTATAGTCTGCAGCAATGGTACGTTCTTCCGTTCGTTGAAGCATGCCCAAGAGAGCAAAGATTCCGTCTCTGGGGTCACTGCAAAAACACTGGCTGGTCTCGGTCATGAGACCCAGGAGCTCCCATCCGGGATCGCCCCCTCTATTGTGCATATGGGCCCAAACCGACACGGGGAGGTGTCTTAATATACGGTCGAGCGGCCAAAATGCTGATTTCGACCCGCAGAATATGCTCAGCGACCTCGCCAGGGTGACTTCCTGGACAAGCCACAGCCTGCGGAAGAACGGGCGTTGGGAAAGACTAACGAAGGCTTCGATACAATTTCGGCATGCGCTTTATAGCTTATTATGGACGCATACATAATTGTCTGTCGAGTGGGTTATGGCATCGAGAGCCATGTCGCTGTCCTCCGATGCAGGTCCGAGATAGACTAGCACCCCAGTCGCGCCCGCGTAGATGCGTGGCATAAGCGCCACCTGTGCCGACCGTTCCTTTTCGTCGTCTTGGTTGATACATAGTGAGTCAATCCAGATCTTCCGAGGAGGGCCGTTGCAAGAGATCCGAACGCTCCTCAGGGCGTTTTCGCAGTTCCGAGTAATGGACACAATGTCCCAGAACGGGCCTATGAACATTGGCTTGCATCGAGTCGAGTCGCCGGATACGTCCGCCCAAGTATAGGAGACAGCCTCGTACTGGGCCTGTTCGGACCCGAGTCTCACGTTTGCGAAGGACCCGTGGAGAAGGCTGCCGCTGTCGGAGGAATCCAGCTCCAAGAGCCTGATCTCGTCGTTGCTCCAGAACACTGGGTAGCATCTCGAAGGCTTGTATGAGTCGTCCTCCGCGGTGGTTCGGGCTTTTTGTGCTTGCGTGGTCCCAGACAGTTTACTTGCAAGGCTTCTATGCGTAGACGATGTACCTCTATAGGTGTTCGAATTTGCCTGGTCGTGGGACATAGTGCTGGTGCTCGAGCCGGGGAGATATGACGGCGGTATGCCTGACGACCCGTTGTCGTACATGTAATCTACGCATTCCGGCCATCGTAGCTTATAGCTTTTATTCATTTCATTGGTTGGCGTGTGGGGCATCGAAAGGGGGCGTGCAAGTGTGATGTCGTCGGTGCAGCCGACGGCATCGCACCGTCTACAGCATGGAAGACCACCTACGACCACCACATCTGGACGCATACAGGTAGGTTCGTGCCATCTAGACATTGGAATCGATCTTGATGAACCAGGTTCTCGGGGTTATCTGACGACTATGTTGATTGTTAAGGGAGGGGGGGTCTTTAGCAGAGGACCTTTCCAGAGTACTCTTGGGTCGTAGTGATCAAAAGAAAGAGGACTGGCTGATGGCGAAAACATGTTCTGGCGTACTCTGAATCCTTATCGGATCGAGAGTAGATGACGTGGCACAGCTCTCAAGAAGGCTGCAGTGACCATGGTGTAGACTGGTGGCTCGCATTTGCCGTCATGCGTATGAGCTGCATGATAAGAAGCCATTGAGAAGCCATTGGTTAGAAAAAGACGCAGGAGACGATGTCACTGGATCACCTTGCATGTATAGCCAAGAAAGCTGTCAGCATCCGCCAAATACGTGGCGTACGTCCCCTCTGAGAAAGTCGTCGCCTTGCTCACGGTTTGAGGTGGTGGACTAGTCTCATTTCCGTCGGTTCGATCCTACGGTGTCGCAGGTTACCACTATACAATCTCGAAATAGTGCACATCAGCGATTGTTACGGCCACAGACTGCCTGCGAGCAACTCGGAATTGCATCTATGTATGAGTTTCAGGCATAGGTCGATCACAACCAAGGCTCTTCACAAGTGCCCGCGATTACAGAAGAGGAGGTTGAAAGAGTACGACTTGTAGTTGGCTAAATAAACATCTACTCGTCTAAGTGGCGACTGTGAGGCTCGCTGCACTTTGACCTAAGAACTTTAGCAACCGCTCGATTTTTCGAAGCTTAAAAACAGTGCATCAATCCATTTCGTTGCTCCCATGAACACTAAACTGAACCTGTCGTGGGACGAAGCAACAGCGGCTAGTCCGACTCACTCATGTATGTAAGATCAATCACCTCCCGTTCACCCGACATCACCTGCGCCTTCAGTTCGAGAGATCTCGGTCGTTCAAGAACCTCGTCCTCCGCAGTGGCCGTCGCGAGGCTCGCGGGCGAGCAAACACTACCACCCGGCCTGTCTTCCTCATCCGTCGACTCCTGACAGCCATCGTCCCTGTCGACGTCCATGGGGTCGCCCGGGCCGACGGAGGAGGCCCCGTCGCTCGCATCGGGGATGTCCTCTTCCACCGTCTCGGACCACGCGTCCCCCCCGGTTCCGTGGCGCGGCGGAGTCTCCCCCTGGCTGGCTTCCGGCGCCAGGCCTTTTGCGTCCGCCGTGAGCTCGTCTCTCCAAGACACATACCACAGAACCAGCTACTGTAAGCCACCCTCCATGAGCTGGACCACCGAGGCCGTCGCGTGCAGATCCGCAATGACCACGGTGTCGATCAGCAACAGGGCGGCGACGGCCGCCATCCAGACGTGCACCCAGACCGAGGCCGGCGACAGGAAGATGATCGTAAACATCTCCGCCACGGCAACGGCCTGCCAGCGGTTCGGGAACCATCTCTTCCCCTGGTGGATCGCGTCGGACAGCACGCGCTCGACAAGCCACGGCATGGTATAGGTGCCCCAGTGCCTACCAAACTTTCCGTGGTCGAAATCCTGACCCGGGCCGTCAAAGGCGGCCCTGGCGTCCAGCCTCTTGCCCCATACTGTCTTGATCGTCCCGCCGTTGTCCCACGGCCTCTTCTTACAAAAGTCCCTCCACCTCGGAAACACCTCGACGGCGATTTTCTCACTGACTTCAAAGTACTCCCTGTGCCGTCTCGTGCAGAGGCATGGCTGGTTGTATCGGTAATTTCCCAGTTCTGCGTGTATCAACTTCTCGGCAAACCCGTAGAACGGAATATTCTCGGCCATTGCCGTGGAGTGCCAGATGCTCTTCAGGGGCTTGCATACTCTCGTTATCTCTTTGAGACGACCCTGCGCGTCCCTTTCGGTCCGGCCAATCTTGACCAGATGCGCCCCGGTTCCTCTTGGTTGGAACATGAAAAAGGTAAAGGCCCCCGTCCTTCAAGTGACATTCTGTGTCCTTTGAAGGGCCGTTCCTGATCAGCTTTGCCATGGAGCTGTCGAGCTGGGCCCCGGAGAGCTTCTTCGACGGGGTGGTCGGGACGCTCGCGCTCCTCTCCGCCGCGCTCGGGCGCTGTCCCTTTCTCTCCGCTTCGTTCTGCGTCTCCGGCGAGGTGTGAGAGCGCGCGAAAAGCGACACCCGGCGGGCTTCCGCCGCTTCGTAGCCGGCAACGACATTGGGTCCTGGCGGTGCTGTTGTCCGGAGGGGCGAAGGTTCCAGCCGTTTGTTCGATCCCGAGGGATTCCTCCGGGCTCTACGCGCCGGTTTCTTGGTGGGCGTGTCCATCTCACAGTGCGACTCTTCGGATGGTTCGGGACGGATCAGGGCCGCCTCGCGCGGGGCGTCATCGTCCGGGACTGGGAGGTTGACTGACGAACGTCTCTGCCGCGGCTGATTGGGCGTCAGTCCAGACTGCGTCAGCACCGGCGGAGACGAGGCTGGGTCGAGTTGAGTCGGCATGGCAGCTTTGGGTCGGCGTGTGATGGCCGTGCCCGATATGGCCCGTTGCTTCTCAAGGAGGGGCAGATCAGGGCTTTTCTCACACGGGGAGATATCAAAGGACTCCATCTTGTCTGGTCACGAATGGCTGTTATGTGCAGTATGCATAGGCAGAAGCAGCACAGAGAGCGGCAAGCCTAAAGAGCCGAGCAACATAACTGGCGAGACATGGCTCGTTAAGTACCTCCAAGCATCGACTTTATTGCGGCAAGCAGGAGAGTAATGAACCCCATGTTGGAGACCAGGGTCCCGGGCGGATATGTTGGTCCGAAGAGCTGAGCCTTCCGTCTTGGGTGTGATAGCCCGTCGCCATGCATATCAACATCGCATCTGTTGCGAACCAACGAACCAACCGACGGCTCTGATTGGCGGCCGCATCGAACCCCTGGCCTTCGTGATGGAGCATGACCATACCTGCTTACACAAAACTGCAGTTCGTATTCGAAAGGGCTGGTGCGCGCGCGTGTGTGTGTGGACCAAGATGCCGGGATGACAATAGCAGTGCCTCAAGGAAGCCGCTGTGGTGTCCGCCTAGATATGTACAAGTCTTCGTGGGGGAAGGAAGGTGAGGTGTTGCATGGGTCTAAAAATGGCGTCTGGAAGGAAGAGACCTGATTATGTCTTGGATCAAGGCTGCGAAACAGATTACATAAAAGTCAGCATCAAGGCCATTCTCCTATCTTAAAAGGGGCACCAACTCAGCAGTGCCCAGTCTCAACGCGGCTCAGGGTCACCCAACTCCGTTTTCAACATCCAACATTGGCCGATTCCCTTCACATTTACACATACCCTCTCAATCATGAGTGGCGGGGAAAAATACTAGAGTTCGAGCCTCTTTTCATTCGCATTCAATACATCATCTAGCGTTATCCGTTGCCGGGCGTGGATGGGTCTACACACCCACATAACAGATCTGCTTCCAGTCTCCGCACGCCACCTCAGGCCCATTGACGGTAGTCAAAGGGCTAAGGCTATCATCTACTCATCGTCTTCCGTCCCGCTCGTATTCTAAAGTAAAAGAAAATCTTATCTACGATAGTGTCGTTCCGATCGTTTGCCCGTCACCTGCGTCGTTGCCCCTTTTGGTGTTTGGTTTTCCTTCATCGAAACCTGGAGACTTCCCTTATTTGAACATCATGACGTTATATATAAGCTCCCTGTAGAGGCTGATGGAGAGGGAGTTTACACGCTGCTGTGCGTGCATTAAAAATAAAATTGCTTCCTCAGATTCCGCATTCGCGCAGAATTCGGCGGCAATTGCGGCTGAACCATGCTCGTCGTCGACGCCAATGTCGAAGATTCCTCACCGCTCGGCTCGGCCGCGGCGTCTTCCTACTGGCCCGCGGCGCTAGCGAGCTCATTGAGCTTGCCCCGCTCCTCCTCGGTGAGCATGCCATACCACTCCTGGAAGTTGGCCACGTTCTCACGTGCCGTGCGCAGAAAGAACTCTGTCAGGTAGGCCTGCGTCTCGTCGTCGCGCTGGCGGGCACCGGAGCCCTCGATGAAGGACATCAGATCCGCCTTGGTGCCGCCTAGGCTGAGGTCGAGCGTCTCGGGCTCATCCTCCCAGCCATCGTCTTCGTTCTCCTCGTCGGCGTACTCTGCCGCGGCCGCCACTGCTGCGGCGTTGGCGGCGGCGTTGGCACCTGAGGCGGAGAGGAGCTCTTCGATCAGAACCTTGAGAATCTTGAGGGAGGCGGGAATGACAGTATATTGGTCGGGGTCTGAGTCGTCCAGGTTAGTTATCGAAAGCGTTATCGCTGCCGAGGAGCACCTACTGGCTTTGGCACGGGAGCGCGTCATGATTCTGCCATCGTTGCCGCTGTTCACAATCAGGTCGCCCTTAACCATGGTCTGGGCAAGACGGATATCGTTGAGAGAGTAAAGCTTGGACAAGGCAATGACGCTGCAGGGGGGAAAAAAAAAGGAAAAAAAGAAGTCAGTCTCGTTTCTATCTTTGAGCAGCACTTGGAAGACTTACTTTTGACGGATTTCGTCGTACCCAGCAAAGCTGACTGAGTTCTCGAGCCACTTGCTCATCACAACCTGCAGACCCGTGTTGCCGTGGATCTGGATCTGGCTGAGGAATTCTACAACATCACTGGCACCCACGAGCGACAGGCGGGCAAAGACAAGGATCAGAGACTGGATGAAAGGGGCGGCCTCGGCGGAGGCGAGCCTGGTAGCTACGGCCTGTAGGAGCTGGGGCAGGAAGGGACCAAGGCGCTCTTGGCCAGCCTTCTCGACGAGCTCCGCCGCAAGACCACCGACTTCCGAAGCAGAGTTGTCCTCAACAGAAGGGCCCAGCAGACGGTCGATGATGTGGAGGCACACCTCGAGACCCGATCGGCCGTTCTCGTCGTGCCAGCCAAAGACCTGGTGGTGGTCGTGCATGAGGAGATACTTGACAGACTCGGCACCGGGTCGCAGAACCTCGCCCTCATTCGACTCCATCAGGAGGCGGTTAAGCTTGGGGAGCGTGGCGGCGACAAAACCAGCAGGCAGAGGCTCAGATCCGTGCTCGACAAGGGCGGTGAGCAGCTCTGTGGCAACGGTAACAAGAGGATCATCCTGGGTAACGTTTGCGGTGTTGAAGGCCGCGGTCAATGTAGGCAGAATCTTGGCGCAGAGAGCAGTGTAAGAAGCAGTGTCGGAAAGAGTGCGCACGATTTCTTCAAAAGCCTCGCAGATGAGCATAGTAGCCTGGAAGTTTGACGCGCCAAGCTTGGCAACCATGAAGAGAAGGTCAACCGAGGGAACATCCTGCGAAAGCACAATTCTGGTGTCCATGTTGATGGCGGCGCGCAGGGACTCGGCAAGGGTGACGAGGAGCTCATCAGCATCCTCCATTTCATCGGGGTCTTTGTTTTGCATGTATTGAGCGATGGCGTTGATGATGGGGACCTGACGATCGGCAGTGACTCTTCCGGAGCGGATAAAGCCCTCGACCGCCTTGATGCAGGCAACCTGAACAACCTCGGACTCCTCGGAGGTGATGCACTGGATGATGCGGTCGAGGAGGGCGGGCGGGGTCTGGAAGCCCCTAGCCAGAGTACCCCCAACGAGGTAGCCGCGAGCCCTCAGCAGGGGCTGCTCGTTCTGGTTGACGGCGTAGTCGACCAGTCCAAGGTACGCCTTGGAGAGAGCTTCGGGGATGGGCTTTTCCATGTCCTGGAAGTCGCTCAGGAGCATGTTGAAGAGGTAAAGAGAGGCCTCCTGACTCCTCCAGTTGGAGCCGTCGCCGGGGAAGAGAGTCTTGGTGTAGCCAAAGAGCCCCTCGACGGCCTTCTCGCTGTACCATTCGCCGAGCTTGATGAGCAAGTCACCAGAAGCGGTGCGGGCGGTGTAGTTGGCCGTCACGGAGGTCTCCTCGGCGAGGTATAGGGAGCAATCGATATCCCACAGCTCCTCCTCTTCGCGGCTGATGCGGGAGTAGCCTATAACCATCTTCATGACGTCGACCATCCAGGGGGTATCCTGGGCCGAGGCGTGGGAGGCCAGCTGGGCCTCAAGCTCGGCCTGAACGGGAGGCGCGCGGAAGCACTGGTTCAGGAAGTCGAGCTCCTCGAGTATCAAGAAATCCAGCGTGTAAGGCAGGCTGTCTGCGTCCTCGAGGCGGCCCTGGGCCTCGTGTCCGATGTAGAGGTCCTCGTGCGGCTTCTGCAGCAGAGACAGCTCTTCCCAGACGGCGGTGAAGAGGCTGGTGCTGTGGGGCAGTAGGAGGTGGGGGAAGACGGACTTGACCTTGAGGAGGGTCTTGACGACCTGCAACTTCATGGCAACGACGGGGTTCCAGCTGTCGGGCTGTCCGTGGGTAAGCTCGGCGGGGGCGTCGGGCAGACGAGACTTGAGAACCTGGGCGAAGAAGGGATACCAGTCTTTGAGGGCCTCCTCGGCGAAGGTCTTGACCTCCTTCATGTGGTCCTCCTTGACGATATCCATGAGGTCGAAGCAGGATCGGAAGACGGAGATGGCGAGGGCGCGCAGGTTGGGTTTGCGAGCCTCGTTCAGGGCGACCTCGGTGACGGTCTTGACGATGTCGCGGGCCATGGTAAAGAATTGGTCCTCGCTCAGGCTCTCATCAATAATGTCGCCGAGAACTCGGAGGGCACCGTGAAGTTGCACATCGGTGCTCGTAGGTATGACGCCCAGGACGGTGGGCAGGAGGCTGGGCCATCGTTCGGGGAAGTCGACGGAGGCGATCTTGCCGATAGCGTAGCTAGAGACAGGGAGAGAGAGACCAAGTCAGCTTGACTCTTCTTCTTCTTCATTGGGCTCGGGCGTGCCGTAGAGGGCGCGTGGACCGGGCAGACAGAGAGACAAGCGCACCACCATACCTTGCGGCAATCTTGACAAGCCTCTTGTCTTCATTGCTGAGGGCGATCTCGAGAAGGGTGTTGCGCAGCTGTTCGCGTGCGGGATCAGAGATTTCGACGAGGGGCTCGCTGGCGTCTCGGTCCTCGGGGTTCCAGTTTCTCTCGATGAAGAGGCGCAGGGTGCTGAGGGCAGCCTGGCGGATGGCGGTATCGATGGAGGTGTGATTGGCGATGTTGGCCAGGGAGGTAGGGAAGGCCGGGTTGGAGCGGGCGTGCTTGAGCTCGATCTCGGCCTGCTGGCGGGGGCCCTGTTCGGAGCTCTGGGTATTCGCCAGTAGCGAAACCAACTGGTCCTCCATGTTGGGGCGAGTTCAAAGGCGATGTATCGTGTTCAGTGATCTACGCGCGCACTTGGCCGGCGGGTTGTCGGGGTGCGTTTGCAGTGTTTGTGCGGACAGTCGATCGAGTCCGTCGGCTTCGGCTTCTCGCGGAAAAAGGTATGCGCCGATAATCGTGAGTCGCGCCGTGTAGGAAGAGGGGTTGAGGGGGAGAGAGGAAGAGAGACAGACAGCAAATGAAAACTAATTAGAGGACTGGTCCCACAGGAGAAGGTCGACCAGTAAGGCCGGGATACCGAGGGGGAGAGAGAGGTGACAGCATAAACAACAACAAGAAAAAAAAAGAAGAAAAAAAGGAGGTGGAAAGAGTCCCGGGGCTGAGTCAACCGACGGTTAGGTACCCAAACCCAAAGATAGAAGTAGAGGGTGCAAGGTGGTGGGTACAAACAGCGTAAACGGTGTGTGTGTGTGTATGTGTGTGGATGGGCTTTGTGCGTACCTATGGTTGTGCGCGAGCGTTTGTGTATCTCTCTCTGGTGATGTTTCTCACTTTCTTTTTGGCGGGGTCGTTTCCTTTCCCTTCCCAGTTTTGACGCGTGAGTGGAGAGTCTCGGGGCTTCTCTCACAGGCCCGGGGGGATTGCCGTAGTCCCTGCTATGCATACCCACGTACATAGGTATAGCCTATAGGTACCCAGTAGGGAGGCAGCACGGAGGTACCTACATCACCACTCGCTCTGTAGGTACCTAAGTAGTTTCCCCCGCGCCAATCCTCTCGGGTTGTTTACACCACCTGGCTACATAACTAGTAAGTACTTCATCTTGCGGAGCTGACTAAGGCGTTAGGTACAGTAGGGCACCACGCGATTGAAACTGAACCCGACCAGCAAACGCGCCCGCATGCTTGCCATGGTAGGCACACTAGGTAGAAGCCGCCGCCGTAACGCTGCCGCACCAACAAAACGGCTGGGAAAGGGAAGGGAGGGGTCTTCGAATCCATCATTTTCAGGTGTCAGGACCAGGCACCACACACACCCAGCCCAACGCGGAGGGACGTCAAGCACGGACCTCTTGGCGCCTCTGGCAGACCTTTCCTCTCCACTTATCTGGATGTGCTTAGGTAATTCTCTCATTCTTCACGAGTACCTAGCGCGGGGTCGAACCTTTGGGCGGTGTGTGTGTGTTTGCGTACCTACTTACACAATGACAGAGTGCATACCCTACGATACAGCATATGCCTGAGCCCAAGGACTCTGACCCGAGCCTAACGTCCGTCCTGCTTGGGCCACCGTCCATAACCCAGTCCAGGTCATAGTTAGACTCGAGATGGAGGCGTCCGTGGATGGAAGCGGTGACGGTAAGTGATAAACACTTGCACGTGGACGCGGACCAGAACTCCGTCCCCTCCAGCTTTCACCGTCTTCTCTATTCCCTCCCCTTCCCGGGCCCTGGGACTGGAACTACAACTGGAACCCACTCGGCCGTACGTACCATAGCTCTGGCGTGGTTGGGCACAATGACATGCCACCAGATTCCTCTGCATCAGTATGCTTCAATTCATCCAGTCTGTACGACAATTTGACCAGACCCTGCCGTCCGTCCATTGTCATGTCTATCCATAACAACCCTCTTCTCGACACAAACCAAATGCCACGTACCACATGCAACATCCCGTTCATCCCTTCATTTAAAGCCCTATAAACCCACCCCTCTCATGTCTACCCTGACCGTCTACCATCGGTCTGCCTCCTTACTGCCCACCTGCCTGCTCAGGCCTGACCAGCACTCTCCCCAGCCTTTTGGACCCGGAAATCTGTGCAATGGACTCAAAACAATGAAAGAGAAGAAAACAAGAACAACGAAACACAACAAATCAATCCGAAAAAGCAGTAGTGGTACACCCAGAACTCGGACTCGCTCGCAACGCATACTCCCCAAAAGAAAAAGAAAATAAAAAATGATTTAAAAAAAAAAAAGAAAGAAAAAACGCCACAAGCCCAACTGCCACCCTATACACGCGCATCATGTACTCTTTCCGCTTCACCTTGTGACACCAGTTTTGACCTGCTTGACCTTATGCGTCGGCACCACCCTTCATCATCGTCCGCAGACTGACGATCTCTCTCTTCAACCGCGCATTCTCCTTCTTGACCCGCGCTGTCTCCTCGCTGTGTTCGCGCAGGCTTCGGATGAGCTCCTCCTTGTCCTCTCTGCCCTTGCCCTTTAGCGCCTTGACGATCTTGCCGAGCTCGCTGTTGAACTTCTCGTACATGAGCTCGTTCTCCGCCGTCGACTCCCTGTACAGCTGGTCGATGCTCTTGACCTTGGTTTCCGACGCCTTGAGCGTGCTTTCCATGTCGCGCTGGATCATGGACTGACGATCCGTCAGCTCCGCCATCATGCTCGGGATCCGCTCCTCGAGCGACTTGACCGACGCCGTGAGCTTGCGTAGATCCACCGTGTTCGTATGTGTGCCCAGACCCGAGTTGACTCTCGACATTTCCTCGGCAATCTTGGAGAGCTCCGATTGCAGTGATGCGTCGACGTCCTCAACCGCCTTCTTCTCCGTCTGTAGCCGTTCCCGTAGCTTCTGTGGCGACTGGAGCCGGAGCTTTCCGCTACCTGGGGGTTTGCCGGGGCTCGTAGATGGCCGTGGAATAGCGTCGGACGATTGAGTGCCCACCGGGCGAGCGGGTCTCAGAGTCGGAATGTTGGAGGTCGACAAGCCTCTAGCATGTCCCTTGGGCGTGCGACTCGGCACGTTCTCGCGGTCAGAGGGCGTGGGCGGTGAAAACATTTCTGGCAGACTCGTCTTCTCCTTGTGGCGAGGGGACACCATACGAGGAGACCGCAGGCTGTGGGATGTCGGACTTATCGGTATCCTAGATGGTGACACGACCCGCGGCGTCGAGTTGAACTTCTCTGACGTCTGCTTGTTGATCCGTAAGGGCATCAACGCTTCTTCGATCTTATCCCGAGGGTCGATGATAGTAGCTGCCTCCATAAGGCTTCTCAGATCAGAGAGCGAGCTTCGCCGCTTCTTCTTGGAAGACTTGGCCGGCGTGGCCTCGACGTCAGGCTCGCCGATGGTCTCAAGGCGCATGTCGAGTCGGTGGGAGCTGGTCGGTCTTGGATCCTCGTCGAATGCGCCTGCGATGGGCGGCCTATCTCGAGAACCAGGCCTCCTCAGCTTGTTCGGTCCGGACTGAGTTCCAGAGTCAATGGACTTTGCCCGTGATGATGTCATCTTGGACAAACTAGAGCTCGAGGCGGCATCTGCAGAGGCGGGGTGGCGACCGTGCTTGCTCAGCGTGCGCCAGACAGAGGAACGCTCCGGGTCGTTCTTGCTGTTCTGTCGTAGCAGAGAATCGAAGCCAAATTTGCGCCGAATGGAAGACGTATTTGATGTCAGCGAGCCTGAGTGCGACTTTCCACTGCGAGAATTCATGGACTCGAACGCTTGTTGAACGGTGAGATTGACACCAAACCCGGCATCGTCGAAGATCCTGTCGCAGTCATCCACTAGGCGGTCCAGGAGGTTGATGTAATTCTGCGCCGTGCCGTCCGAGACCAGGAGTTCCGCGAACGACACAGTCAGGATACCTCTATCACCGTCGTTGCCGCAGCCGTCGAGCAGATCGGCGAGCAGCTTGATCAAAGCCGTAAATGCCCTCTGGTTCTGCGGCGCCATTTCTTTGAAGATGAAATTGACGAAATCGGCAAAGTTGCCAGGGACTTGTCGGTTCATCCGCTCGAGCAACGTATCCAACGTCTGCTTCGTCATGATCGGGCCCATCTGCTCACCCCAGGCGATGCGGATGAACTTCTCGAACGCGACAAAAATCACATCAGCGCCCAGCTCGGAGGAAGCGTCGAGGTCAAAGGGACTCTCGATCAACCGGTTGTAGAGATCATTGACCAGAAGCTCATCGGCCGCGGACCTATTTAGCAGCATCCTCCCAACGATACTCCCCTTCCGAGCCTGCAGGCTGGCGACGTATCCGGTAAAGGTCTGCTCTAACCGCACAAGCGGGTTCTCGGGACGGTCGTCGCCGCCCATCTTGATAGCGTCTCTGCCTTTGGCAGAACCGTAAAGAGAGCCCGCCTCGCTATTTGCTCGTGACACCGGTGGCGGGAAGACGTTGGTTACTGGCACCCGGCTATACTTGGGCGAGTTTTGTCCTTCCGTGTGGGTGGAGCCGCCCCAGATGCTGGAGAAGAGCCCTTTGACCGGCGACGAAGCAAGGAAGGATCTCGTCTTTTCTGCCCTGGTCATGAGAGGGAGACCCTTAAGGACCTTTGTGTAGTAAGAAACCAGCGCGGGCGCCAGTCGCATGTTGGACACGCTGAATTGAATGCCAAGTAGCTGGATGACTGGGTATATAGGGTTAGCATTCTCATCTGCATACTGGTCTACTGGCGAGCAATCTTACTTCTTCGAGTGAGCGTGGGCAAAAAGTCATCCAACGCCACATCGTCCGAGAATTGTTTCCCGTTCAAGCCGGCAGTCACCATGCTGATCTTTTTGAGGTCGCCACACTTGACGTTGACAGTAATTTCCACTCCGTAATGGCCTATCGGTGCCCCCTTGGTGCCCTTGTCATGATCGATGACAATGCGAATCGGCGCGGGCTCCTTTCGGCCATCAATCAGCTGGTCAACGCCCTCTTGAAAGACGGCGGCAAATATACCGAGGTTGCTGTCCGGCATCCGAATGGAACGCAGGGTCCAAGAAGGGTCCTCCCGCTCCTTTTCGGGAAAACGACCCTCAACGCGGGCCTTGGCGATGTCTTCCGACCACTTCGATGTCCGCGTGAAAGTCTCGTCGAGCAGGAAACACCGCGACGTAACGGCGGTGCCTGTGACCCACTCTCCAGCATGGGCTCCCTTCATCTCTTGTGTCGAAGTCATCCAGATGAGCTTGCCGTCCGCTGACTCGGTGAAACGTACATCGGCAAGGCCATGCCAGCCGGTAAATGCGAGCTCGTAAGAAGGATGTCCACCAGCAGCGTTTGTCATTGAGAGAAGAAGCCCAGCTGCCGAGGGCTTGTCGATTTCGCGCAGAAGATCCTTACCGCTCATTGGCTTGGGGCCCAGCTTCTTCACAACGACAACACAGTCGGAGAACAGAAGGAAGATTCCTGCACGCTCCGCCATCTCCGGTGGGTCGAGTAGGCGGTAGGGCGCAGGAAGCTCGACGAAGTCGACCGCGTGGATGAGCCGCCCTTGGGGCTCGAGGTCGAGAGGCCAACTTTCGACCATGTTTCGCAAGCGACTCGTCACTTGTGGCTTATCGGGGATGGGCTCGTCCATTGAGCAGATATTGGTAATGATGTCGCGCGCTTTGAGCATGGGCTGCAGCGCCGGGTGTGTCATGGGGAGACAGCTGACGATTTGGTCGATAAGCAGACTGTAACGAGGAAGGCGTTGGACAGGCTCGATGAGGATAGAGCGAACAGTCTGCTCGCCGGTCTGGAGGACCCGTTGGCGGAAGCTCGACTGCTGACCCAGACACGAGTTGAGAAGCGTGGGGAAGTGCTGGCTCGCGCGGATGTAGTCCTGGTAGCAGTCCGTGAACTTAGGGAACCACTCGAGAAAGACCCTCGCGATTGCCAATGAGCCGCTGGGGTCCTTGGACTTGGACGGCGACCCCATTCTCGATCCTGTAAGCGCAATCGTCGTCACTTGCATGTCCTTGACAGCTTCCTCCTCGGTCTCGTCCATGATCTGACGGAGCTCCTGCACGAAAGCAGAGTTGACCTGCAGTATTTTATCCGCGGACCTAGGAAACAGCTTCTCGAGCTCCTCCTCGGAAGGGCTCAGACTGCTCGGGTCGCGTTGCTTGGCAGATTGTCTAAAGTCGTCGGCGATGTGCTTCACCAGCTCATTCAGCTTTAACACATATCTCTCTTCGGTATCGACCAGCTCTCCAAGCTTCATCCTCAGATCCACCTTTTGGTCCTTGGAGAAGGACTTGCTACGGTTCAGCGATGTCGGCTTCGAGGGCGCCCTCCGTAACTTCGATGTCGGCAAGAATACGGGCTCTCCCAGCGCCTTCACCAGCGGCATGTATCCCCCGTACTGGCGCAGCGTCGGATCAAGAAAATCGTCCTCATCGTCAGGCACCTCCTCCAGGTCCTCGGTTTGCAGCGGTACGATGGAACCGGGCGGCAGGACAAAGTCGATGTCAACGTTGCTCAGGTGCTGGGTCTGGAGGGCGGTCCGTAGTGTCTCGAGAACCTCGGCGGCGTTCTCGCTCTTGACCATATCCTTGGCGAGGTCGGCCGCATGTTGCTCGCTGAACAAAGCCGGACCGCTACCCGGGCGACGCCCTCTGGTGGTCGGGTATGTGTTCTTCAGGTGGTTCTTGACGACTTCGGGCAGCTCCTGGAAGTACTTGTAGAGGCCGAAAGCGAGACCGCGGTATACCTCGTCGCCCTGCCATTCGCGCGGCAGATGGTTGACGACAGAATAGAAGGGAGAGTTGGGTTGTATGGTAAGACGCGGGAAGCACTGGAAGCCGGCGGGGCTGTAGATGTGGATCTGGACGCGGGAGCTGTTGAGGGTGTAGTTTGCGGTTGTGGAGGGTCCATGGAAGAGGAGGATCGGCAGGTGTCCAAGGAGGGGGTCGGTGGCGTGGTAAAGGGTGAGGAGCTCGGCAGGTAGAGCCAGCTCCTCCGTGACACGAACCATTGTCGGGGCTGGCGGCGATGCGGCGGTCGGTCGGTCGGTCGCGTGGTCTCGTCAATGGGTCTGGGTCATTGCTGACTGAATGGTGTACAAATCGCACAAGGAACAAGAAGAAGCGGAGAGTTTGCAAAGTTTGGTAAACGAGCGTGTGATGCAGGCGTGAGCGCGTGTGTATGTCAATGACGACAGGCGCAATTTGGTCCCCAAGTCGAGGTCGCGGTCGAGGTCGAGTTCGATGCGGCGGTCGAGGTGCTTCTGAGGGCGGCGGATGGATTGATGGCGATGTGACGAAATGAGATGGAAGAAGTGCTCCAAATGCCAAAGAAAGAATGAGGTAATTAGGGGGGGGGGAATGAGCGTGAGGAAAAAAGTAGCCAAATTGCCAGGCTGGCTAGCGCGACCAAAGTTGGGAAAGATGAAGATTGCAAGCTAGCAACTGAATTATCGTGTATCTCTAAGGTTGCGGTGTCGGTGTGAGTTGGCTGGCTTTGAGCTCGGCCAGGGTCGAGAGTTGGGAGAGTCCGTGTGTTGACAACAGTAACAGCAACACCGATAGCAGGCGGGCAGTGAAGTGGGAAAAGCGCGTGGTGGTGGGTGGGTACACTTGGGCACATAGTAGTTTGGGTATAAAGCAAGGTACCTTATGGAGGGGGCTGGGCTGGGCTCCATTCGCCAGTCGCAGTGGTGGGGCGTGTGCTACCAAGTTAGCTGGCTGCTGGCGGCGGGCTGTGGTCCGTGGGTCCACCCGGTGTGTTGTTGTTTGTTGTTTAGATATTACAGTTGAGAGAGGTGAAGCCCAATCTCTCTCCCTGCCTCTCAGGTTGTAAGACGAAGGGGTGGGGTCCTGGTAAGATGCGACGGGTCAGTCAGAATGACAGGGAGAGATGAAGAAACAATACGGAGATCCCTGGGGTTTAATTTACCTCTGTTATCGAACCCTTTGTTGATCTCGATGTAGGCCCTGACAACGCACTGGGACGAAAACCGGCCTTGTTTCCGGTTGCTGCTATTGACCGACACTCCCATCACACGGGAATGGGAGAGAGAACAAAGAAGGTTGAAGACGGAGAGAGTGTGGTAATGGGCTTCTGGTTTCTGGGGTGGGAAAGAATGACGACAGCCCGCCCACTGCCTTGCAAGACAAGGGGAGGGATTAAGCGACGAACGCCTCTAAACCTGGCCGTGGGTCTGGGCTAGACCTTTTTGACTTTTTCTTTTTTTTCCTTTTCTTTTCTTTTTTCTTTACCGGGGGAGAATGAGCCCAAGATACGGGATCCAGGAGGAGGGGGTCGGGAAGTCCTGGGCTGGGACATTTTCACTCGGAAGATGGATTGTATGCGGACGCTACACCTTCGTACTACACACAACACTTGACCAGCCCAGCCCAGCCGTCAAGCAGGAACCATGTGCGATGGCGCCCGCCTTTGGGGTTCGTTAGTGAAACTGGTGGTTGGTCTTACCCTATCTGTCTCTGTCTCTGTTTCTCTGTCTGTCTGCCGGAGAAGAGATTTTTACCATATGTCGCTCTGACTGGACGACGCCAACGTGGTGCAGATGCAGGGCGAGGCGTGTTGCAGACGGATGCACCTGGATTGCCGGCCTGCGGCATCTTATCGTTCGTTGCCTCCAACCTCTCACCAGTCATCGTGTACGAAATTACACTTCAGTACCTAGGTAAGATGGGTGCCTAGTTTACCTACATTCTGAATCGGTACCTGAGCCAGGTACTTAAGCTCATCATCCCTCTAGTCTCACCTTGCGTGCTGGCACTGGTGCGTCAGCGAGCGCCTCCCCCGCTGTTACATTATCCACACGGTACTCTGTAATACCTACCGTACCTAAGCTGCTTAGGTGGTTTGTTAGGTATTTGTACAGATACATGTGCCTTACGTATACACATCATACCTAGGTACTACCTAGTGTACCTACCTGGAGAGAGTGAGGTGAGGTCAACATAAACAGATTTAACCGCGACCCGCTTTATCACCCGTCGCGTCCACTCCTGCTCCCAACTTTCCCTCGGCCAGCAACCAGCCCGCACTAAAACAAGATACCTGCACAGTACGTACCCGCTCTTTTGACCCAATCACCGCACCTCTACCCCTGATCCCCTGTCTCGAGGATGGGACCGGGGTTCTTATGTCAGCTAATGGGGGCCCACCACCAATCTCGACCGAATCAATTTTGGGCGGAGCAAGGGACCTGGACAGACAGCAGCTGAGAACTGGACCAGGAACCCCTCCTTCCCGGAACCTTCAAGCCTTATTATGGCCCTTCTGTTTTTATTTGTTTCCCCCTTCCCTCTTGACCACCCCGCAGTACACTAGTTGGACGGCGGCTTCCGGTCCGACTCTCATCCTCACACCTAACGTGCCCGCTTCTCGGCTTTCCAGACCCGTCAACTACCAACTTTACCTACAGCACGAATAGAAGCGCCGTCTACCTACGTCACAGTATCCAACCACACCTCCAGACAAGGCCATCATCCCCTCCCTCCCCAGCCCGACCATGTCCACCCAAGACGTCGGCATCCCCTTGACCCATGCCCCGGACTCGCGCGGGTACAGGCTCATGGAGCTCCCCCCCGAGCTGGAGGCCCTGCTCACAGCCGAAGATGCCCCGATGTAAGTCGTTTGGGCACGCACTCAATTTACACGCTCACACATCGCAGTATCACACTCACCTCCACCCCCACAACGGCCCTCCTCAAGGCCCGAGACAAGACCTACAAGCTCCTCCAAAAGAACACCTCCAACTCGCTTATCCTCCTCGCCCCTCACGCTACTACGCCTCTGGGCTCAGACACCTCCGCCGCCGTGGGTCTCGGCGCCATCGCAACGCTCCACGAGACCATCGAGCTTGTCGCCCAGGCGGAACCGCAGACGATATCTAACCTCAAGAACACGGGCAGCAAGGGCAAGTGGCACGAGAAGTTTGGCCGAGGGCGCTAGACTGCGTGCGTGCCCTCACTTGTGGATGCCTGGCGACCTGTTGATTTGTATTTAACGCCGTGCTTGCGAGTACCCTACTGTACGAACTAAGAGGTCCCCTCCCTCATGACAACCCAGAAATAAGATACCCTGCCTCACCCTATGAACATCTGCACCTGCCCCCCTGTGTGTGTCAGTGGCGACCTGGGTAGGTAGTAGGCAGAAACTCAGTTCTTCCTATGACTCCATGCTCAATGCTACGCTGTGAAGACTGGTAGGTAAGGAGAAACGAGAAAACAGATCCCGAACCCCCAACACCGGCTTCATGGTGCAAACCCGACATGGCTTCCCCCAAATCATCTCCCCAACTCGAGGCGGGCTTCGCTCGTCAACATACCCACTTCGGGTGTGGTTTGAATGACGCAGGACTCGGAGCAGTTGCTCTGCGACGTACTGCCAGTTGTCTCAGGGTATATTGTCGACCAAAAAGAAAAGAAGAAGAAATAGACGGGAAACGAGAGAGAGAGAGAGAGAGAGAAATGGGGAAACGCGGTTTTTAATCCAGCTCCAAAGGCTCGTCGCTGCTCCCTGCAGCTCCAGCGGCGGCTGCTTTTTGTCGCATAGGTGCTAGACGGGTCAACACCCCTTGGGGGCCGGCTGGCATCAACCAGTTTGGACGATCCGGGGCCGGTGGCTGTTTCGGCGGGTTTGGGTTCAAGCGGTTGACCCCACGGTTGGCTCGTTCTTGAATATCCATTGCACTCTCTTCTTCTTGGATAGGTTCACCTTGTATGGCACGACGGGGTTCAATGCGCTTAGGTACCGTCATGCTCTCTCTCCATCGGGTAGACATATCGCGATCATGAGACGCTTGAACGATTGCGGATTGGTCTGGGGTTTGCCGGACTTGTTGATCTCCCGTAGCTTGCTTCTGATTCTGAGCTTGCTGCTGAGCTCGCTCGGCATCCCGGGCTTGCAGTCGAGCTTGCAGAGCTTCCCAAGGCTGTCTATCGTCTGGAGCTAGCTGCGCATGCTGATTTGCAGCGAGATTGCGATACTGTTGCGCAGCCTGATTATTGGGATTCGGGGCGAGACCTGTTGAAGGCCGTGTTTGAGGTCGAGGGGAGAGTTGCCCCTCGTTCATCTGGTGGCCCTGTCGCTCAACTTGTAGATGTTGTGGTAAATGCACAGGCTGTACATCGGCTTTCGGCATTCCGGGGTTATTTGCAGGACGCCGGCTGCCCTTGTTGCAATGATTCTGCCTCTTCAGTTCCCGGGGTGCCGGTGCAGGCCGAGGCGAGGCTCCATTGACCGGTCCAAACGGTAATGCTGGCCCCACGGGCTGAAGCTGGTTCGGATTTTGCTGGTTGAAAAACGGCATGTTTAACGGGTAAGGCATGTTTAAAGCCCCGGGCATGACTACAGCCTGCGGCTGCGGTTGTTGAAGTCGGGATTGGTATTGCGGAGCAGGAAAGTCAAGACCGCCTGCCATACCCGGATGCCCTCGGTATTCGGCAGGTGGCCGGGCTGGAAACCCGGCCTGGTTCGCGACCTGCCCGGGAACTTGGTACTGTTGCGGAAGTGCAGGCCACAGATGGAGGTTATCACCTGGCAGTTGGCCAAATACGTTCTGTCCAACAACCGGCATGGCGGCGACAGATTGCTGTGCTACTTGAACTGGGGGAGCTTGAACAACTCTCGGCGGCGGCTGTCCCTGGGAATGGTGTCCTGCCGGTCTCTGGTTCCTGGGAGGGTCTCTGGGCCTTCTAGGTTTATCCTCTGGCATGTCGAACTTGAGAAAATCTCTGTCAACGCGATGGTTGCTTTCCAATACCTTCTTGCGAGCCTTGTCCTCTGCAGCCTTTACTTCAGATTCGTGGCGTACACGTACATCCGCAACGTCAAAGAGCGGGCAGTTGCCCACCTTTCCGCCCCGTGACTTATCGTCAAAGTGGCTATAGTCGCAGGATTTGGAACAGACGTAGCACTGGATGTTCCTGCAATTAGCAGCGGTACAGGCCATCTTATTGCATCCCATTTCTTTGATGAAAGGGGTGCCACCTATTGGTACTCAAAGTCAGTAGCTGCAACATGCACGACTGTGGTGACAACGCGGGCTGTAGAACGCGACTCACATTTATTACACTTGCGAATCAGAGCTGCAGACATGGCTTCCTCGATTTCATGCCGAGCTCCAATATCTTTATCGCGCGCAGCCTCCTCGCACGTCTTTGGAAGGTGCGTATCCTCCTTGCAGTGGCGACAGCTGACCTTCCGGCAATCTGGGTTGTCGCATCGGAACTCTCGATTGGTATCAATGGGTGGATATTCGGCAGCGTAGGGGCAAAAGGGACATGTTTCCAAGTTTTCTATACCCGCCATCCGGAGGATAGCCGCATTCTCGATACGGTCTAGGGCTGCTGACAGTTGATCGCTGAGGAATTTTTGGCGCTGTTCTCGAGAAAAGCCTGCCTTGCATTGGTCCATGGACATACAGATCAGCTCATATTTTGATTGACCAACGGCGTGTTCAGCAGCCCGCCGTGCACAGTCAACACAAAAGAGCTCCAGAAAACTTAGCTGTGTTCAATCAAGACACTTAACGGAGACAAGAGAGTACTCACATGAGGGTTCTCCAGGTTCTGGCAGCATACCGCGCGGTTCCGAGCGAGTTCGCCAAAACAACACCCGCACTCCACGACATTACCGTCTGCCAAGGCTTTAGCAAAGTTAAGCTTCTCCTGAGCACTGTCAAGGTATGCTTTTATTCGTTTGCTTCTCAGTTTTCGGGCGGCCTGAAGTTCTTGTAACGCTTGATGTTAGGTCGGATTGTTCGTGGTTTCGATGGTGCGATCCAGCTGCATGTCGTCGTACTTGTTTTCTGTCGCAGGTCTGGATCTCTTTGTTGAAGAGAAGCCTTCCGGGATGTTCTCGCGCGACCCCCTTCGAAGTTCGCTAATGGCTATGTCAATGGCCACGTACGCTGGTAGCAGCTGGTTGCTTTTGCTGGCCAAGACCTTACCGATGCCACTGATAGTGGCATCAGGGAATTCATGCTTCAGAACCTGTTTCCTATTTCCGACATGAGTCTCGTGTTTCATCTGGCTACAGGCGTCCAAAGATAACGAACGTGATGGGATAGTTGGGGGACTGGGGAACTTACGTTATAGCTAAGTATTCCGGGTTTGACTCCATTCCCCGGTTGGGATGTTCGTAGGTACGACGAATATTGGCTTCTTCATCTGGATCCTCTGAAGTTTCTCGCTTCCGCTTGAGAGCATTGGAGTAAGATCTCTTTGGGTACTGTTTCCCCATCTCGAAGAGTCTCAAAATCTCGTCGATGGTTTGCTCTGAATTGTGCTGGAACTTGAACGCCGTCTCTTGGAGAAAATCGGTGCAGATATCCGGAAAGATGGCAAGAACGGTAGCCACACAGGCACTCTTCGTCTTTTCGGCGGCCTCTGCCATCTCTGCGACTGGGTTTGTTTGCGGGCGGTATCCTTTCACAAATCCATGGATGGCGTTCGCAATGCGCTTCGGCAGCCTCGTCGGGTGCTTACAGCCTCCCTGGGCCCTTTCTTGCACCGGTGGAGGAGCCTGCGGCGGTGGTAAACAATCCGCTTGCTGTTTTTGGTTAGCTGGCTTGTCATCTTGGCGCCATTTCTTCAACCAAGTCCACATGGTGAATAGACCGGGATGATGGTAGATGGCGAGGAATGGGTAAGACTTCTTGACATGAGATGAACATTGAGAAAGCGTAGAGCATGACTATGCAACCATGAAACCATGACATTGAAAGGGGGGAGGGCAGCTTAGGGAGTTACCCGCATGGGTATTCTGTACTGGCGAACCATGTTCAACGCGAGGCGCACCCAACAGAGTTCTGCCACGGGTGAGAAGACTTCTCACTCCAGCCCATACATTGTGATTTTGTGGTAAGGCGGCATACGCATGTCTTCCAAGCGAAAAGATATGAGTCACTCGATGGAGCAGAAGGTTCAAGGTGAACCAGAAAAGGAATAAGGTTGTGCACCCTACTTCAACAGAACGTATCGTCGCCGAGGAGTAGTGATAAGAACAAGAAAACATGAGCATATAACATACCTGCTGGTTACAGCTACAGTAGAGAGGTGCACCTGTGGTCTGGGTTCAAGTTCGGCCCCAGCCAGGGCGTATCGAAGGAAGAGACGAAACGTCGTCGGATCGCAGCTTGTGGGCGGGGCGATGAGAAAACACCAGTAACGAGACAAACGAAGGGATCGCCGTCGAGTATTGGGCGATCAGAGGTCGTAAAAGGATGTCAAAATATTTCTGCTCATCAAGAGGAATTCGCCTTTGCCTGCGTACCTGGATTGCGATGGTGCCTTTTTCGGTGAAGGCAGCCGGCCAAACGGGAGGAGGTGAAGTCAAGTCTCGTCAGAAGGTGGGCCCTCAACGGATGGCAGGTATGGCCGTGGGAAGGTAACCCTGTGCCTGGCTGCTTCCAGAAGAGAGCAAGCAGCCTTCTGTACGGAGTACCAAGACCGCTTCTCTCTCTGTCTCCTTCCTTTCACATAGGTTCTCTTACACCGTTTTTGCTGTCCAACCAGAGCAACCAAACACAATAAGGCCTGGGTCTTGAATGTTTGGACGACTGGCTCCTCAAACAACACTGTGCAAACGGGGCTCCTCCTCCCGACTAGGCGCTCACTATTCTTCCTTGAAGAACTTAAACGACTGTCTGTCTGTCTGCCTGCCTGCCTGTATGGCTGACTTGCTGACTTGCTGGCCCGTCTAGCCACACTCCCCACCGCTTCTGTGCCTTTTTGCTGTTTGAACTTTCTTCGATGTACCTTGAAGTTCCTCGTGCAGATTGACTTTTTCACCGCGCGTTCGTTGAGGATCGTAACTAGGCGTGCCGGCCAGTCTGTACGCTGTGTCCCTTGTCTATCGAAAAAAACCCTCCGACATGAAGTGACGTTGGGAATCCACGAACCTGAGTCAAGGGGGTGTGATGGCGGGATGGACCCGTGGATCGTCAGACGGCCCGAAGGCCGGGCACTCTTAGCCTAGTTCGGCTGGGTTGGCCGACAGGTCAACTGAGTAATGGATTGAAGTTGCCATCATAGGCAGTGTTGTGGGGAAAGCAAAGACGAATACGCGCCCGATCTTATTCCCGGCGTCTGTGAAATAGTATCCATAAACCTCCAAAGTGCGATGATATTCATGTTACTCCCGAGACAGTTTATATGCTGCCTGCGAGCTTTGGAAGTTCACCACAGTGTCACGCCTGAGCCACGTCCTTAGAAACGCGACTGGCACTGGCCAGGAGCCAACTTCATCCCATTCGGTTATAGCTTAAGCATCTCTTGGTATCAGCCCAACTCTTATCTCAGCATGACACTGTACTAGCAGGTCCATGACGGAGCCACCGCCATTTTCATTGGATACAATGCCCACCTCTGCATGAGGTGTGGTCAGGTGCTCTATAATCGGTACACTACTTGTCTCAATACGGTTCCTCCTCCGCCTTGAGCCAACGATGAATGGTGACGGTTGTTGCTATTTGTTGCATGCATCTCGACACATGAAGATGGCGGTATATTTGTGCAGTGACCAAAGGAAAATCGGTCGATGCACCTCCACCTATAACGGCCTTGTGTTCTTGAAGACTCTCATCTCCACGCATACAGCACCGAGAATCATACGGCAGGCGACTTGCCATCTCACATGCAATACACCGGGCCGCAGCTGCATTACTAGTAATCGTCGTCCGAGGCCAAAAAGTCGTCATCGTCCTCATCCTCACTGTCAGCGACAGGTCTTTGCCTACGCCTCGTCGACCGCCTCATCACCGCCTTCTTCTTAGGCCTCGGCTTGGCCTTGACCGGCGCAGGGAGATGTTCCGAAACGGGGGAAGATTCTTCGGCGTTTGCCGTGCCATCCGCATGGTCGCTCGTGTCTGGCTTCTCGTCGCGGCCGTGATCCACGACTAAATCACCATCCATGTCCTGATCATCGTCGCCTTCGTCCACTACTGGGAAGAAGCCAGACGTGAACCGCTTTGGTTGCTCGACCTCTTCTTCCTCGTGACCTTCTGGGAAGAAACCACCAGCCATCTCCTCATCCCTCATCTGCATGGCTTCTGCGTCTACACGATGCGTCTCCTCTCCTTCCTCTTCTTCATGAGTGTCTTTGATGGCCTTGGCCGTTCCCTTTTGGAAAACTGGAACGCTGTCGTCAACATGCCCATAATCCTGGCGAATGCGCTCGACGATTCTGAGACCCTTCAAGAACTTGCTCCACACCCTCAGCGCCTCCTTGCGCCGCTTCTCGTCCTCCTTGCGTGCCCGCTCCGCTTCGTCTTTGCGAATCTCCTCCATTACCTGGTCGTGATATTCTTCTGCGATGACAACACCTTGTATGACGGGCACTGCCATTCGGTTCCCAAACTCAAAATCCACAACGGCTTCGGCATAGTCGATCTTGAGCCTTTTGCAGACCTTGACGGCGCCTCGGAACGGGACATGAGCGGCACCTGATGACATATTATTAGCAAAGCCATCCATATCGTCAAGCAACATGCAGCTCGTTACCTTCAGGACACATGTGTTCAGCGAAGAGATCGATGTTGCTACAACGGGTAAGCGAAAGGCCCAGTCAGCATCAACAGGAAAGCTTACCCATATTCGTTCTTCGGGATGACGCCATCCTTGATAGGGGGAGGGATGATCCACTCGGTCTGGTCGAAGCTGTACAGGCCCTGGAGAACCTTTTCGCCGCTCACGGCCTCAGCTTCTGCGATCTCGCGGCGCCTGTTGGTCGTCGCTGCACGATACGGCACCCTCTTGAGCGGTCGCTCGCCAGGCTTGGGAGCTCTGCCCTGTTTGTGCCAGGTTTCTGCACTCTTGACATTCACGACGTCCTTCCTCGAGAAAACTGGCTCGTCGGAGACATCCACGCCTTTTCCCTTGTTCTTGAACGTCTTGACAGGAACAGCCGTTGGCAACAGAGCCTCTTCTCGTTTGAGATGACGCTCGAGGCAGAACTCCTTCGACTGCTTGTAGTACGCAAGGGTCTCACTGCCCTCTTTCACTTCCTTCTTCTCTGGTTGAGCCGGAGTCAGATCCGTCGAATCCTCCACTTCGTCCTCTTCTGTCAGGGGATGCTTTTGGCCACCCTTGGCGAAGCCTTTCATGGCCGATTTGAACCAGTCAAATTGATCATAACGCTTCACCTTGCCGTGACGATTGTAAATCGGGACCTTTTCCGGCGACATCCTTGAGCCTTTCGTGCGGCCGGGCCACAGTTGCTTTCTGAGGTAACGAACTGTCACGTCCTTAGCTGTTCCGTCCGAGGAGAAGCCAACAACATACGCCATGACCTGCTTCGCCTTCTCTGCCTTTCCTCCACGCGGCTCCAGTGATTCAATCAGGTCTCGGTTGGTACCGATGACGTTCTTCACAATCGGATCAACCGGCAGGTACTTTTTCGTTACTGGTGACAAAACCTCCGTCCAATAATGAGGGAAGTCCAAGTCCTGATCGAACTTCTTGGACACCACTGTAGATTTCCGCGGTGTCACTTCTAATTCTACGACCGATTCGTCGTCGCTGTCCGGGTGCTCCAAGCCGAGTTCAGCATCCGAGTCATCCATCTCAATGACGGCATCCTTCTGGCTTGCGCGCCTCGTGCTTGAGATTCGTGATGATGTTGTACTTCTAGGTGTTTGTTTGGCGCCCTTCTCTGCCAAAACTTCCTTGGCTGCTTTGTTCGTTTTCCCTTTGGTCTTGCCCTTCCCACTCTTCGTATCATTGCTGTTGGTGACAGAAGGCGCATTTTTCTCCTTCTCAGGGTGTGCCTCCTCAAGCTTTGTCCATCCAAAGCCTAAGGGCTGCAGACTGGCGACCATCCGCGCCTCCAATCCCAGAGCTCTTATAAGAGCTGTGAAGAGCTGCGATCCTATATCTCGGCTTCCCGTACACTCCTGGGCGCATTTCCGGAAACCCTCGAGGTCGTTGATTCGTTCTCCGAAGCGGTCCTGGTCATGACCTTCGGTCTCCCAGGCCTTTCGCAATCTGCCGACTCGTTCCGGGTGCATGTAACCCCACTTACGAATGCCGGGCGCTGTGATGCGAAAGCGTTGCCTCCACCAAGCCACGAGAGACTTCATAAGCCTGAACAGTGGATCGCCGTGGCTCATATCGGCAGCCCCTTCTTCCATTCTCTCGGCGGCAGGACCCCAATCTCGAGAGTCATCCTCAACCTTCTTCCCTTTTCCTCTGTCTCTGGTCTTCTTGGCCGGCCTGGTCAATTTCGGTGGAGGTCTTTGCGGCTTCGCATCCAGTCCACTGGCCCTCCTCCATCTTTCCACTTCCTCCCAAAGGCGGGGTGGAACATGGGACATCATAATTGCCTGTACTTCAAGGTCGCCAATCCACGAGTTTCGAAGTGCATTGTGCCAAAGAAGATACTGGACGTGGATAAAATGCGTCACAACCCGTATCTTCTTTTCGCGCTTCGTCGGCCCCTTTTTGTCGCCGTAGGGGTCGTTCATTGCAGTTCCAAACCCGGCATCGAGGGTAAGCTGGAGGTCTTGGGAGGTCGTCGCGGCCTTTGCCAAAGTAGTTCTTGGGGCGGGAACATCCTCGAACTCGATGTCGTCGTTATCGTCATTGTCGGATAGCTCCTCGGCCTTTTGTGCATTTGCGACGGGGACATCCTCGAAGTCCCCGTCGGATAAGTCGCTCAGTGCACTGGTTTCATCGCTGTCGCTCACAACATCAATAGCAGAACGGCCGACTTTGGACGAGCTAGGCGTGGTGGTAGCATCCAAATCGTCGTACAGAGTGGGCTTCCTGCGAGCAGACGGCACCCTGGGATTTGGCTGACCTTTGGCAACCTGTTGGCGTTTGGGGCTGGGTTCTACTAGCGATTCCTCGCGCAGCCGCTTGCGCGGCACGTGTGGAGGCATCGTGTAGGTAGATTTAGATGTGAGGTGTGGGAAGTCGCCCGTCGTCCGAGCATGAGAGCAGCTCCTCAAGGTTTGCAGGGTGGTGAATGCGACGAGACGGTTAATGGGCAACGTCATTGATTCGCGAGAAACGCGCAGGTACGCGGCCCACTATAGGGTCCGGGGTCCGCTGGATCGGGTCCGGTTGAATTATGGGTCAGTTTTCGGGGATCGCTTAGATCGCCCCTCCCCTAGTGAGGGTGGGTAGCTGCCGTTACCCTCCCCCACGCTACCTACTACCTACCTACCTGCTTGCTTGTGTCTTGAAGACCTGGCTCGGATGACCAACCAATGCGAATAAAAATGCTGTAGTATATAGGTAGTAAGTGAAAATGAAAACAACAAGCAGAGGCGACTACTCTTGCTTGCATCTGCATCGTTGAAGCCCTTAGCGCAAGAATCCTTGTTCCCCCATATCCCTTGGCTCTAGGTACCAGCTGCTGTCATGGATCAGTTGCTTTCCAGGCTGCCCGCGGCCACGCACGCGCTGTACTTGGCGCTCTAGCTTTGACGGCTGCCCCGCTGGAAGCGAGTGACCGACACGCCGAAACCCGCTGCCAACTGGTTTCTTCCAGACTATTCCTCTGCTATTTCTCAGCAACACCACGTCGCCATTGTCATCGTCGCCTCCCTCTCAGCCTCGTGCCACTGGTTGCGCCTCGGCCGGGGTCTACGCAAGCACATTCCGTACTTCGAAATCTGCCTCGGATCATCAAGAATAAATAGACGGTGGGAGCCAAACACGTCATCGCAATGGCGTCCTCATCCAACTCCGACGAGACGAGTTACGTCAAGATGGACGATACCAAAGACGGCTTCGACGCGCAATTGGTCGGCAAACACTGCGAGTACGACTACTGCAACCAACTCGACTTCCTACCCTTCTTCTGCCAGAGCTGCAAGAAAACTTTTTGCCTCGACCACCGATCCGAGACCGCTCACAAGTGCAATAACGCCGGTGCCTGGGCTGAGCGCCGACGCCAAGCGGAGCTTGCGAAGCCCGCCTACGGCCAGGGTCGTCAACTGCGCGACCACGTCTCCCAGAAGCCCTGTGCCTCGCCTTCCTGCAAGACCACCATTGGCACCTCTCTTGTACCCGGCGTACACTGCCCAGGCTGCAATCGCGACTACTGCCTAAAGCACCGGCTGAAGGAGGATCACGACTGCAAGAACCTCGTTCCGCTCGGTGCCCGTCCTGGATCGCAGATCGACGTCGCAGCGCGGACTAGGAGCGCGTTCGACAAGTTGAAGGCCTGGGGAACAGCGAAGAAGGAGCAGGCCGGCAGGGCGCTACCGAAACCGAAACCTACATCTGCGTCTGCCCGACTGATAGCGGTGAACAACCTCAAGAAGACTGCCAAGGGCGACGACAAACTGCCTCAGGAGAAGAGAGTATATTTGTACGTCGAGGCCGAGGCCGAGACCGCCAAGGCCAAGTTCCCTAAAGGCGAATTCTTCTTCTCCAAGGATTGGGTGGTTGGGAGAGTGCTTGACGAGGCAGCGAAGCGGCTACAAGTGGAGAACCTTAACAACCGATCGTCAGATGAACGAGACAAGCTGCGTGTGTTCCACGTGGAGGGGGGTAGATTGCTGGAATTCAACGAGAAGGTCGGGGCATCACTGGTTAGTGGCAACACGGTCGTCTTGCTGCGCGGCGTTGGCCCTCCGCCCAACCTAATAGAGGTTTAACGAAGATGATGATTTGATGAAAATGTTCATAGTGGCATTTCCCGTATATACCCTCAATTACGCACCATGCGCTTATGCAGGCTGCCTAATTCGCCTCCCTAGTGCCCCCCCCTTTCATGAGTTGGAGATTTCGCCATGCGCCGAGCCAATTCCAATTGAGTTGTGTTCCAGATCACCCCACAAGCGCTGCAACCTACAGCTCTTTTTCCTTCGGCTTCTTCGCCAAAAGGTCCTCGCGACCAGTAGCCGGAGCATCGCCAACAAACTCCTTTCCTCCGTACAGTTCGAAACCCCTGTGGAACACCCATTCCACCGCGTTTTCGACCGGCTCGTCGAAGAGACTCGGTAAGAAGGGTACGACGGCCAGACCGAGGCCGATCGGTGCCCAGGTCCTGATCTTTGGGTTCTTGGCATTCTTGAGCGCTCTCCCCGAGTACTTCACCACGCTGTGGATCGTAAAGGCCGGAAGACCCATACTGGCAATGCTCTGGAATATTGCTCGCTGGACCATGACAGTTCTGTAGTCGTTGAGAGGCGTAACCTTGCCGGCGGGGACAACTTCGCTGGGCGTGGTAGCGTCCGAGACGGCACCCGGCAGTCCCGTGAGCTTCGCTTGACGCGCCGTGAGCTGCAGGTGTGGATTGAGAATGCGCTGGTTGGCCCAGTATGCTTTGTAGCCTTCGTAACTGACATCACCGAGAATATACAGCCATGAGATTCCATATGCAGAACGGACGAGGGCGGGATGCGCGACTGGCCGGAAAGATTCGCCAATGTCGGAGGTGTATGCGACATATCGATGGGCACTCATCAAGATCGTGCGGATGCGGGTGGCGTAGGCAGCATAACGGAGGTTGGACTCGGTGGACTCGGGTGCGCTGTATCCAGTCAACTCAGCATTCAGAGTCCTGTCCCCACGGTCGGCACTCACTACCCGTCCACCAGCTCATCGAAAAAGTTGTCGTCTGAATCCGACTTATCGACTATCTTCTGAAGCGCCTTCGGCAGCTTCTCACGTGGCGGGAGCTTTTCCGGGTCGAAAGTCTTGGCGCCATCCTCCTTTGGCGACTCTTTCGGCTGTTCGGGTGTCTTGTTCTGACTTCTTCCCCACATGTTGGAATTTTGTTGCTATACTTCGTCTGAATGTGATACTGCTCAGAGTAGGAGGTGTTGACACTTTTATGTGTACATGGATGGCGGCAGCGCCGGGGGAGAAGGGGGGGCTCGACGGAGCCTAGGAGGGCGTCCTGCGCGCCGGAAACGCCCGCGGCATGAATCCTCTGACTACGGTTGTGACGTCGGCTTTACTTGGTTGGTTGAGACCAATACCTAAGGTAGCTCGAGCCACAGCAGCATGGATGTAAACCTAGGGTGGGTGTGTGGCGCAGCCATGAAGGTCGGTGGCTTCAATTTCCCGCTGTCTGATGGAACCGTTCTTTCAGCCTGGAAGCTCAGGCATTCACATCGCCAGCTTCCGAACGAATTTCAAGCTCCGACTATCGAGACCCTCGACGAATCTCATCCAACTCCAATTGCCTCCACCCCATCGAACCAATCCCCCCCCCGAAGGCTCGCAAACCCCCTAATACCGCCAAAATGGTTCAGATGTACACTATTGCCGGCCGCCAGATTGGCTCCCACTACGTATGTCGCTCCTTCGAGCGCGCCTACGCTCTCTGCAACCCCCGACTCGGCACCCGAGCATCACAAGGCTAACCTCTTCCGCGCAGCTGGCCATGGGCGTTCTCGCAACCCTCTTCGGCGGCGCTGTTTACGGCACCAGCGGCAGCAAGCCCAAGGCTACCGCCACTCCCCCCATCAACGCTTCCAGCTCCGACGAGGCCGACTTCATCAAGTGCGTCATTTTGCCCGACAAAAGGAGACTCTCCGTCGTCGCCGTGACACCCCCTTTGCTGACAACAAGACAATAGGAAGTTCCTGGACAGCGCAGACAAGGATGAGAAGGCGAAACACTAGAAGGGCGGTTATCGGGCGAGTCATTGGTCTATCGCGACCCAGTGTATTCATAGAGGGCTTGGTTGATGGGAATGAAGACATTTTCTGACCGGCAAAACACAACGACGAAACGTACCGTAAAGGTGACTTGGAGTCGAAATCGAACCGCAATGTTCAAACCCTTTCCAGCGATTGCATGGTATGAGTGCAGACAGGATAAATGAAAGATGGATGACTAGGGGGACCATTCCCAACTTGCATTCAAATGCCCAAGACTCTCGAGTGTCCACGGCAATCCTTTCTGGCCCCAAAACTGCACGATGAATTCCGCTCTATCGACGAGTTCTTTGGTACCATGGAACGTAGTCGAAAGTAGGCTTGCAGTGTGTGGTTATGCCCCAAGAGGACTGTCTTACACCTTCTCACTCGCTCTCCCCAGGATGCAATCGCAAGGCTGGCATTCCAGCTTTATTCAGGCAGCGCAGTAGTTGTTACAAGATGCTGGTGGATGCTGCACATGTTCTCGCCTACTCATTTCCGTACGACGACGGTGTCATAGTGATCTTTGCAAGGTCGCTCTCGGCGGACTGACTTTGACGCTAGGGTTCATATGGCCCGGAAATACTTGATTCAACAGGAATGGAACAAAGGCTTCAGTGACTGAGGTGTTTGATATTGAGCAGTCCATGGTTACAAGTTTGGCGTTATCCCTGAGCCCAGGCTACTGGACAGACTCAGGGACGCAAATTCTAACACCAGGATTAAGTAAAGCTACAGCCCTCGATGTATAAATCTGCAGACAAGACATCACTGACAGCCTTGGTCTTCCACTGACCAGTTATCCGACAGCAAGGGCATCGTCGATACTGACAACGTCTTCAACCTTAAACTGAAGCGTCTACATGCCTACTGGGATGCTAATGTCGATAAATTCCGATGATCAAGATAGAGTTCAGGTTGTTTGGTCAATGCTATTTACAAGTCCCCTATACGCACCAGTGACATGAACGATAGCCGTGCCAAGTCCTGAGCGAAACCTCAGGGTTGTAATGATGAAATACTGGTTAAAGTTAACAGACTGTCAACAGCTCAAACCAGAACTGAAATAATACGCCAAAAAAAAAACATCTACGCTGGCGTCCATTATGGGTAAGCTGGGGTCGCATCGGCCCCAGCCGTGTCGGCAGTCTTACGGAGCGGAGTTTCAGCAGATGCTGCCCCGGAGCACCACTGAAATTCAACCCAAGAATCAAGGTTATAAAAAGACTCATTAGTTGAAGTGAGGAGGCTTCGGAAGAAGTGAAGGTGTATTGGAAGTCTCGGCCTCCTTTCAATCCCATTGGGAGCTCCAGAATTATTTTTTGTTTGCTTTCGCTGAATAAAACCAAGCGTCCACTCAACACCGACACCAACGCAATCATGCGCATTAAGCAAACTTCATCAACAAAATGGCCACAGTGAAGGAGACCGGTATCAAGTTTATTGAGACCCCAGTCAAAGTAAGTCAATTGCGCTCTGCATGAAAGGAACTCACTGGCGTTCACTTTGTCCGTATTACAAAGGCTGACCAGCCATCACAGATAAGGGATCGCCGCGACCTGACACCACCGCCTCAGCACAGCTCGAAAAAGGTAAACTCGACCAATCCCTCGTCCACTTTACTCCGCTACTGATTATATGGATGACGTTAGGGAATTTCGATCATTCAATACGAAGCAGCTCTGGAATTCATTATCGGCCCCAGCCCGACTCACGCCCTCGTCCTGTCATCAGCAGAAGCTTCCGCCAATCCTTTCTTCCATAGCGGATGCATCTACGTTCCCTCGCGCAACGAGTTATGGGCTACTTCCGCACCACTCGCGGCGTCCGACCCCACGCGACCGCCCACGATCCTCATGTCCAAGGTCATTGTGACACACAATTCCGCCAATGACACCCTCACTGCTGAGTGGGCGAAGTTACGCCCGCCGCCAGCGATGCCGATGCCCGCGAGCGGGTGCATTGTCGGTGACGACAGGATGATCTGGTGCTCGCAGGGCACCATGGATCCCGAGACGGGCAGCGTCCTGTTCATGCCTGCCGGCAGACCGCCCCAGGTTGTGGCGTCAACATACTACGGGCGGGACTTCAACTCGCCGCACAGCACCGCAGTCTCATCCCGCGACGAGGGCATCTGGTTCACGGACCCGTGCTGTGGGCATGAGCAGGACTTCCGGAGCCCGCCGCAGCTTCCGCCGCAGATCTATCGATGTGACGCCAAGACGGGCGAGGTTAGGGCCATGGCAGATGGGTTCGTTCGTCCCACAGGAATCGCGATTGATGATGACTCTTCGACGCTATATGTTGCGGATTCTGGAGGTGTCCGAATCGATGGCAGTCTCGACTTGAATCAGTGAGTCCGAGCATGCCGCCTTAAGATTTCTTATCTGGCTAACTCGTCGAGACCACGGAGTATATACGCCTTTGACATGGTGAAGCGGGGTGAAGCCGTCTTTCTCGCTAATAGGCGGACGTTCGCCCTCGCTCGAAGAGGTGCTCCTATGCACCTTATGTGTGAGAACGGCAACGTATGGGCTGCTTGTGGCGATGGGGTTGAGATTTGGAACAGCGGTGGTTCATTGCTTGGTGTGATTCAGGTGCCGGGTAAGTGAGTTGCTTGACATGGATCCATGGCCCCCATAGCTGACCTAGTTTCGTTGTCTAGGCGGTGTTGTGAGCTTCTGTCGTGGGCCTAAATACAGTCTCTACCTCTGCGCAGGACAGAGGCTATGGAAACTTCAGCTTTCAGACAGACAAAGGAATCATTCCGTAGCCGGCAGCCCGGAACTACTATGAAGGGTCTGATCAGAGGTCTAAAGAGCCAATCCGGGAATTTTCTACATTGTATAACCTTGGACACCCGTGATAACTAATGCTATCTCAGACCAATAGTGTATATTCCTGTGTTTCAATGTAAACACCCGCCCTTGAATTTCTTTGTACACCCCAAATTCCTAACTCCTGTGCGTTGTCTTTGCAACATCATGAATATGGGGTCTAAAATTCGTCAAGAGATCGTCCTCTCACTAACTAGGCACACGCTACCGCCAGATGAGCTACCAAAGTTGGGGTTCTCTATTATTAAACCTATTCCAGAGAGCATTTTCTTCAGTTACGGTGTCATCTGTGCAACTCTCACCATTTTCTCGAGTGAAAGCGTTCTAGAGTTGTCCTGGCACTGGTGCTTGCGAACACGTTGAGTGCCCTGTCGTTATGATTAAAAGTAGCTCTTTGATGACGACCATCCAGGCTTCCCTATATTATGACGTCTTCATAGATTGGGAAACCCGTGATGTCTGTGCTTGAGAGGAAAACTGGCACACAATTACCTTCTTCATGGCATGAAATATGCCCATGGCTTATTCATATGAGTCTATCTGTCAATACGTCTACACACACCGAAGTACTGTCACATCTCTCCCACTGCAAGCATGCCTCCGATGGCTGGCATGACATATATCGCAGGGCCAAGCACAACGCCTAGATAAAATGAAGTCTTGATGTTGCGGAAGTATTTTGCAACCAGCCAGTCTATCACTCGCTGCATAAAACTTGCGTTGTCAATGGCGTGCGCTATCGTGCCGTTTGCGGGAATTTTGTACACGCCATAGATCTCAGAGGGGAACACTGCCAGCATTCTGATAAGGAGGCCATAAGTATGCCGAAGGCTAGCCGGCAGAGGATCCAAGCCTTATCGCAGATGGTACTGTGTCCTGGATTCAAGCCGGTCAGAGCGGTAACGAGGACAGCTGGGAACAGCAAGGGAACTGTGGTGACGGCTGGGTATGAGGCGTGGGTTGCTTGACGAGCAAAGTAATCAGGTTGAACAGAGACAATGAACGCATTATAGTCACGCCAAAGGCGGCATACCCGTACCTCTGGAGCTGGTCGCCTTGAGCACGATATACCGTGGTAACACCCCACATGGCCTGCCCCAAATCAAACTGTGCTTTGGTAGTATTGTAACTGCTCCCAAGCTGGATATTTACCGGTCTAGTTGACTGGTCCTTGAGCCCGGAGGCGGTTTTAAAGGCGTGCCTACAGGCACCTCAACCAATATGAACCCCCTGGGCAACACACAAGTCACCTGCATGGTTCAGGACGAGTGTACCTAACGGCCAGCACCGAGAACGTGAGACCGACACCAGGGTGCTGTGGGGGTATCGTACCTGGCATAACCAAAGCAAGATCAGAAAAGATTTGGAAACATTGATGCTTTAGGCGTATGATTGCATACTGGCAAGCTTCTTGCCCTTTGAAAGGTCATCCTCCTCAAGAGCGACTTGATCCACAAGACCTAGAACCTCTGAGTTTCGCCGACGACCATGCATAGCGCGCCGGCCCTGGTGGCCCGGCTGAGTTCGTCGCGTCTGACAGTTCCCGTGCAGACGATGAGCCAGAGGGCAGCTCGCAGGGAGCCTGTAATTGGAAGGAAAAGAGCTGTGATAACAGCGAAGCAGGTGTCAAAAACCGTCCCACCAGGCCGGCTGGGTAGAGTGAAGCCGTGGACAACGTAGTTTGTTGCGTAGGGGATGACAAAGTCGGTCCGGATCGGAGGCGTACGGATGAGTCCTGAGTCACCGTGGCTCACGGTTCCCGGGTGGGTGGAAAGTGTGAGGTTTAGCTTCGAGGGCTTTTTGTTGCCGTTTGAGACATCTTCCTGGACAGTATTAAGGTGCTTGGTGATGAGCCTTGAAGATAGACCCTAGGATGCTGATAGAATGTCGATGTGATCTATACAGAGGTGGAATTCGCGGTCGTCCAATCCTCGAAAAGGGAGCGACTAGAGTCCCGGATTCTGTACCTTGGGCACTCCCAGACGTCCCTGTCTTCACAAGATCACCAACTGAGACGATATCGCCTAGCTCTCTGCGGGGTTTAGTCTCGGAAATGTACCGTCAGTCTGTTAATCCAGGCAGGAGCCGATGAAGCGAGAGAGATGAAGAACTCATCGTCGCAGAGTACACTTGGTTCATGGCAAAGAGAAATATCATTGGTCTTGGCACGGGAAGAAGCAAGGAACGACATTGAAAAAACGCGACGAAATGAGTCTCGAAACAAAGCTCAGCTCAATGTAATAGGCCTGTGTAGTTCCATTGGTCGAAAGTTCAGCAGAGATGGAAACAAGTTCCAGCGTGCATACAGTGGGGGCAGGCAAGACCCTTGTCGAGCTTTATCTTATCAGACAGAACATTGGATCTTAGTCATCAACGCACGCACTCTAATGGGACGCGTCTCAACGCGTCTTGCGCGGGGCATATCAATTTCGCGATATTTCATCCCCATGAGATATTCACAGACCGAGACATAACAATGGCACCTACAGCAACCGCACCTGTTACGATGTCTACCCCCGAGAACTCTGCGAAGCAGAGCGGATTTTCCCCGGCCAAGCGCCACGAGGAATACCAATACCTTGACCTCGTTCGCGAGATCCTCGAGGAGGGCGAGCATCGGCCAGACAGGTAGGCAGGAAGATATCGAGTAGCTACATCGAAGCTGTTGAACTGACCAGGACACTAGAACCGGCACCGGAACGTATTCTATCTTCGCCCCTGCCCCACTCAAGTTCTCTCTCAACAAGAACGGCAAACCTCTCCTTCCCCTCCTCACTACAAAGCGCGTGTTCCTTCGCGCCGTTATTGCCGAGCTGCTGTGGTTCGTCGAGGGCAACACATCTTCTCTGCCGTTGAGCGAGGCGGGCGTCAAGATTTGGGACGGTAACGGTTCGCGTGAGTTCCTTGACAGCGTCGGCCTCTCGCACCGAGAAGTCGGCGATCTCGGCCCTGTCTATGGGTTCCAATGGCGACACTTTGGCGCCGAGTACGTCGACGCCAAGACGGACTACACGGGTCAGGGCGTCGACCAACTTGCCGAGGTTATCCACAAACTCAAGACAAACCCGTACGACCGCCGCATCCTCCTCAGCGCGTGGAACCCCGCGGATCTAAAGAAGATGGCCCTGCCACCATGCCACATGTTTGCGCAGTTCTACGTCTCCTACCCGCGGGCGCGCAGCGCACCCGCCGACGGGGAGAAGCCCAAGGGCCATCTGCACTGTCAGCTGTACCAGCGGTCCTGCGACATGGGCCTCGGAGTGCCTTTCAACATCGCGAGCTACGCGCTGCTGACGCACATGATTGCCCGCGCATGCGACCTCGTCCCCGGCAGCCTGACTCACGTCATGGGCGATGCACACGTCTACGCCGACCACGTTGATGCCCTCAAAGTGCAGTTGGAGCGTGAGCCCAGGGATTTCCCGCTGCTGGAGATCAACAACAGGGAGGCCGGGTGCAGCATTGATGGGTGGAGGGTGGAAGATTTTGTGGTCAAGGGGTACGACCCGCATAAGACGATTGCCATGAAGATGTCCGTGTGAGAGAAAAGGGCACATGCACCTGGGACGGGGACGGTATTTTTGGTCTGATTTCATTGTTGTTGCTCGGCATCATGAGCTTGGATTCGGAGTTGCATTAATGAGGCGCCACACATATTAGCTTGATGGCATGAATATGAAAAGAAGCAGCATTGGGATAAGTGACGAGTTGGCGTGATTGGATTGGACTTGCGAGGCGTCAACAGCGAGTGGCCAAGTCGTGTTTTGTTATTCTGTTCAGTTGTCCATTCATCACTCGTCAGCAACGAGATGCTGGCTATGAGTTGGGATTCTGTACATGATGAGAAGCAATTAATTGATTTAGGCCCGCGTCTCTGGCCTAGCACCGCCTCGACTTAACTTCGTTTACTGGCATTAAGCATAACACATGTTCCGATTCAATTACAAAACCGATATGAAACTTATCCGTATTTGCCAATGGTGATGTGATGCAACCTACGCGAGGAAAGGGTGGGGTGAAGCTTGGGCCAGGAGGGAAAAGGGATGCCCTGCGCACCTGGAAAGTAAGGTAAAGCACCCAATCGCATCTCATTGGATGCATAAACGGGTGACATGCAACCCCCATTGAACTATGTCCCGTACAGTGCTTGGTCACTAAATAGCACTGCCCTCGCTTCGCCTTGCAGCTAAACACTTGCGCCTTCCCACATTTCCCCCCTCGCCCGGCCTGTTTCTTTCCTCTTCTTCCTTAACCCAAGCTACTCCCCCCAACTTCGGATACAACGATTCCTCTCAAAACCGAAAACCCGATTTTGCATCGCGCGCCAAAGCTTGCTCTCCCCATACCGCCCACCCCCGTCTTACACATATTCATAATACCTTAATACCCGGCTTTTTGGGGAGTCAGGTCCCCGTTCGCGCAGACGCAATCGGTCGCACGGCGAAACCGGCCCCTCCTCTCGAATCGAAATGTCGGACCACGATCACACCCAGGACGCACACCACGACACCGCCCACGAACTCCACCACCCGCCGCAGCCAGACGTCCTCCCTGGCGGCCCCGGTCCCGACGGCACCGAGAACCCCATCTCCACCCCGAAGGAACGCTCCTCCCTCTCTCTCGACCAGCGCCGCGCCTTGCGCCGTTGGGCCAACGCGCAGACCATCCGCCCGAGCCACAAGGCCTGCATCGACTGGTTCTACAATCAGTATGGCCAGCACATCTCCCAGTCCACAGTCTCCCACTCCCTGAGTCCAAAGTACTCCCGCCTCGATGGCGACAACCCCCAGCTGAGCGGCTCGCGCTTGCGTTTTGGCAACTGGCCTGACGTCGAAAAGCTCGTCCTGCGCTGGTACCAGCAGGTCCAGGCTACCGGCCGCCATCCGACCAACGAAGAGCTCGGCGAGAAGGCCAAAGCCATCTTCACTGCCCTGCCCCGCTACAAGGAAGAAACGCCCCCCGAGTTCTCCCCCGGCTGGATCCACCGCTTCAAAAAGCGCTATGGCCTGCTCATCCGGCGTCAGCGCCGCCATGGTGACGGCGGCATCAATCCTGCTGAGGACATTGGCTACCTCGCCGACTGCGTCCCGCGTCTGATGGCCCTTTCCGCCGATACCAGCCCCGCCGCCATCCGCGAGGCCATCCTCCGCTCCATTGGCGTCGAGACGAGTCTCCAGGTCTGCGCTCTCGTGCGCGACGAGGTCCTGCGCCGCTTGAGCGGCGGCCCTGGCGGCGGCGCTTCCGCGAACCCGATCTCTCCCTCTGCAACGGTACACACACCCGACCACCACAGCGCCGACACGAGCATGGTTCCGCCCCCGGGCAACGACACCCCCATGTATGGCGACGAGGACCCAGACATTGCGCTTCAGAACGCGCTGCGCCAGCTGCAGCAGGAGGAGGCTGAGGCCGAGGTTACGGCGGCGGCGGCAAGGGAGGAGCGGGAACAGCGTGAGCGCGCGCAGGGCACCGCGGCTGCCGCCCTCGCGACACCCGCCGTCCAGAGGGCCACATCTACGGCCTCGCGGTTCATCCCCTCGACTCCCGAGCTGAATCTCACGCCCATTAGGAATGACGATCCGGTCTCCGTCAACGAGCGGCCCTTGCGTTGTCCCTTCTGCGTGAATCAGAGGATGCTCCGGACCATTAAGGAGGCAGTCGAGCACATGTCTACTCACGTTGTTGTTTCTTGATTGCCCCGCAACCTTTTCAATAAAGGAGCCTAGTGATGGGGAAGCAAGGCAGAAGAGGGAAAAAAAAAAGAAGGATGGACAGAAAGTAATACCCACGTACCACACTATAGTTAGAGTTCACGTCTCGGAGCCGTGGCTGAGCTGTGCGGAAGGTTCCATACGATGATGGCAACGGCAACTCTCCGCTTCAAAGGCTTTTTATATTTTCTTCACTAATCACACACCGGGGGGGGGGATTGTCAACATCCAAGGCATGGCTCAGTTGTTGAGGAGGTGCATGTACGTTCTTATGAGGAAAGAGAGCTTGTTGTTTGGTAGCTTGTAACAATCGCACCGGCCAAATGTTCTGGGTGCTTGCTTGCATGAGACGCCCAACGCTTGTATACTGCTGGGCTTGCGGCGACTGGTTTCCGTCCTCCCTGTTTTACTTCTTTTTTGGGGGGGGGGGGGGGGGGCGCGGGGGGTCTATTTACATGGCAGTCGGTCATATGAGTGTCGATCTGCGGACTCGAAAGAGGATGTTCATCATACGTCATTTATACACCAAGGGGCACGCGCGCGCTCTGCATGTTGTGGTGACTTGTCTTGATTCATCTCTCGCTCGAGTACGGGGAACCGAACCCGGTCATTGTCCATTTGCCTGATTTCATTCGAATCGTCCACACCAGTTAGGCTCGTCATCATTAGACCTCGAACCTTCCTCCTTGTCGTGCACGCCGCACCGTCTGGCAAAGTCGGGAAATAGGAACCCTTTCTGAGAATAAGTCTCACGCTAAAAAATAAGATAAAACGACAGGCCAGACCCTTCGTCTGGCCGAAAAACGCCCACCAATGTACCCTTCCGTATCCTCATGGTGGAAACAAATCCATCTTGCGTCTTTTGAGAAACTGTTGGGACAGATAGAAACCCCCGAGGGCTGTATCAATAGTTTTTCCCCCGTCGTCAACGTCAATAGCCATCGAGGAAATCGTAAAGTAGGGGCCGACTAAAGGCCAAAGAAGGAAGGGGTAAAAAGGGAGCGTAGCCGCTTGTGCGAAGGAAAGTCGATCCACTGGCATCATGGTCGTATATCGAGTCCAGCTACTAGGAGAAAACAATATAGAAGTGAAAATCAGCCATCGCCCGTGCAACAAAACGGGGAATGGTAATGCGTCGCATGCGCTGGGAATCATGAAGTAATAATGCAATAGCGGTTGGGGTATGCTTTTATCTCGCAAGTGGCAGGTAGAAACGATCTGGAAACGGTCGAAGGCGGGCGTTGCCGCGGCATGCCGTGCCTTAAACTTGCTCCACATATAGCAGGAGCTTCTCGTTCCTTTGCAGGGCATAATCAAGGTCGTTGTCGCTCATCAAGTTGGGCTTGTCGCCGGTCGGCTCATCTTTGTAGAAGAGTTGGATCTCTTCACCATCGGCAATCTTGAGCCTGTCCACAATCTTGTCGTAGAGTTGCTGGAATTGGATGTCTGTCGGAACTCGGATAGCAATTAGATCACCGTTGAAGTAAAGTTTAATCTTCATGGCCTGTCCTTGGCCGATACCGGGCGTAGGGGGCGGCTGGGATTGGGACAGCGACGATGGCTGTCGGTTCATGCCCGGTTGGCCCATTGCCCGTTGCTGCTGCTGTGGTGCAGCAGACAGGCCACTGTACCCGTTGCCGTTCAGGTTGTTCTTGGACGACTGCCGCGATGCCGCATCTGCTGGCGACTCGGTTGATGACGGCTGTGAGCCACCTGATAGTCGGTATTCGTCGTTGGGCGCATTCGGGTCGATTTCATAATCGCCCTCCCTAGGTGCGAAAAATTGTTTGACAAGGGTACATCTTGCGATGTAGGCCGGCTGCGCAAGGAGGTTCTTGACATAGGCGTCCAAGTTGTGAAGGCGACCCTCAGTGATGGCATCGGTAACGTAGTTGACCGGACCTGGCATGTATGGGAGAGTGCGCTTCTGCGTCCCGGTGTTGCCTGCCTCGTCCGGAAACTCGGTCAGTAGGGCGATTTGGAAGTCATAAAAATCTTCGTAGTATCTGGACAGCTCCCAGTGACGGCCATCCTCAAGCACTGCCTCGATGACGAACCAGTACTTGTCCTCAGCGAAGCAGTATCTCGGAATACGGGCCGAAATAGGTGCGTACAGCTGTGACGCTGGCTTGGCGTAAGGACTGGCCTGACCACCAGCCTGCTGAGAGGTCCGCTGATAGACAGCCTGCTGCTGCTGCTGTTGTTGTTGTTGTTGTAGTTGCTGCTGCTGCTGCTGCTGCTGCTGCTGCTGTTGTCCGGGAATGTGTTAGTTCGCAATCGCGGGCTAGGGGGATTGGGGGGCGGGCTCACGTAGTTGTTGCCGTTTTGCGAACTTGTGCGACTGCCTTGTTGAATGCTCATGCGCTCCATGCCTTGCTCGATAGATCCTTGCTGCGGCGGTGCACCGTTGTCGAACTTGCCCAGCGTAATGCTACTATTCTTGTAATCGGCCGCCATTTTCTTCCATTCCTCAACTTTTGGAATGCCCGCTTTCTTGATGGCGTTCGAGGCGTCTCCAACAGCGGTGTCCGTGGCCATGTCGCGGATCTCAACGAAGGAAACTGGAATCAAACCAGGTCCGCCGAGTCTACCGATGGGCTTGGCGACAAACCATTCGGGGTTGGACTGCGCGATGACGATGATGGCCTCGCCGGCCTTGGCCTCCAATTCGTCGGCCCGTTCTGCTACAAAGTCGTACATAACGATGCCATACACCATGGCGCCGCCCCTACTTCCGGTCCGGGACATGCGCTGAGTCAGGGGCGGCGATTGCAAGGCCCCAGGAGGCGGCGCAGCTTCGGCATAGCCGGAGTCGTGATCAGGGTTTTTGGAGATTGTGGGAGACATGGTTGGCGGCCGGGGGATGGCGCCGCCGTCGGACTGACCACTATCTCTCTCGGTTCGGCCCAAGGCTTGGAAGAAGGCAACAGGCACGAGGCCTCGGGCGTCGGGCAGCGCAGGGTTGCATGCTTCGTACCAATCGGCATCGTTTTCTCGGCCGATGACGTGGAAGAAGTCACCTCGGGAGAAGCTCAGTTCCTGGCCGGATTGAGCTTCATAATCGTAGAGGGCTCGGATGACCTGACGGAGGAGTGGTCAGCGAAGGTGCGATTGCGCTGATGTCAGGACCCCGCCATGGGAGCCCCGGAGGCGCATGAGGCTGGGGCTCAACATACCTTTTTGGGGGGGACGATGGCGACAGCGGACTTGGGGGCAATGTTGATCTTGGCGTTGTCCTTTTCGCCTTTGATGGACCGGCGGAGGGCCTGGAGAAGTTGAGGCATGGTCAGCAAGTGGTCGGAAAACCGATTTCTGGTAATCGAGTCGCGATTCATTGTGGATACAGGCTCAGGCGCATGCGGGGTTGTTCGTGGGATAGAAGCGGGATACGCGCAGAGTGAGATGCTACAAAGGCAGAGGACAACAAAGCGCAATTTGTGCAGGAATGTCTCAAGGTCAAGCTGCGATGCTTGCAGCAGAGAGTCGCAAGTGCACGTAGTGATGCTGTGCGCGCGCGCGCACGCAACTGTTCACTGCTAGGGAAAGAGGGAGGGGGACTGGAAGGGCAGGAGGAGGGGAAGGGGAGGGAAGGGAGAGAGGAAGAGGGAGGCAGCGCAAAGTACAGCAGCAGGTACCAAAAAAAGGGTGGTTCACGAACCTTCATCTTGTGTGACGATCCTCTCTCTCTTTGGGGGAGGGTAGCTGCAGACTCTGACAAGAGAGTGAGATACGATGCTTCAATAAGAAAGTGGTGATGGAGAGACGGGTAACCCTGTGGCACCACGGGAGAGTTGAGTTGAGAGCGTCGATGGGGGAAGATAGGTATGGAAAAGCTCCTTCCGAAAGGTAAGGCAAGGTGTGATTGGGCACCCGACAGGGATAGGGGCGTGGACCTGTGCGACTATGGCAGACGGGGGGCAGTGCAGTCGTCTTCTTCTTGTCTTGTGTTGCTACTTGGGACGAATCGATGGCGGTCGCAGCTGTCGTAGCGGCGTGGCGTGGCGGTTGTTGCAATTGCGGTGCAGTGCCGACTGACCAAGAGGAAGAAAAGCGGGATGCTCAGATTGGAGCGGGAAAGCGTCAGGCGGTGTTGTTGCTTTATTTTAATTTTCCGTTTTTTTTTCCCCTTCTCTCTTTGAACGATGAAGGAGGGGGTGATTATGGTTGGACTGGGACCGGGACCAGGCTGATGCCAGTGCGGATTGGAAGGGGAGAGGGGCAGTATGATTGATGACTGACTAGGGCGCACTTTCCTTCTGATTACGTTCCTTCCTGAATTGTGGTGGCCGTTGGGCTTTCTGAGAAGGAAGCAGCGGGCTCGACGTCAGGTATGAGAGGTAGGTCCGGTGCTCAGGCCCTTCCTTCCTTTCCTGGTCTTGAGTGGGTGGTGTAGAAACGGCCTTGTTGTTGTTGTCGTTGTCGTCGTCGTCGTCGTCCTGATTGTTGTACTCGGTGCAAGACTTCTTCCCTTGGATACCGCTTACAGCTCCTTTTCTTTTTTTCCCCCTCCCTTTTTCTTCCCTCTCTAACACGCTTTTACCAGGTAAATAATGGTTCCTGTACGTCCTTTAGAACTCCTCGTTTATTGGAAGGGCGCAGGGGAAGGACGGGAGAAAAAGCTAGTCGTCGACAACTGTTGGCTGGCCGATGAATGGGTTCGTGACCGATCTCTCCCTGGCTTTCTTATTTGGTTGACTCGGAGGATGGGTTGCCTGTATTGTCTTCTCTACCTCGCTCTCTTTTCGGCCTCCGAGACAGGGTGGGTGGCCCGCTAATCAACTCGAGCTACACAGGACTCAACGGAAGTCGCAGGGGTCTCGATATCTCAGTTGGCAAAGGCGCACAACTCGTCGTCGCTCCTACGTCAATGACTGTCGTCCAAGGCCAAATATTGCTTTCGACTACTCGGCAAAGTGCAAAGATTGCGCTGGATTGCGGCGGGCAGGTTATGAGTGACCTGGAGGGGTGAGGGGAGGTAAGGG